CCCCTTCTCTAGTATCTCCGACCACATGTATAGAATGGCAGTTCTTCTTGCTATGTGCACTTCAGATGAAAAACTAGACATACCAAATACGCACTGGTCATACTGTCGCAGGCCCGGATCTTGGCTGATAACAGAGGAACAGATGTGTGATGATGTGTGTCGTTCATGACCTTGCGGAGGCACAGGGTAAGTCTCCAATGCCAACGAAGATCACTTGCGACTGAACTCTGCGATCTTAGTCGGCGATATCACTCCTCGGAAAGGATCAGTAGAGCAGAGAAACAGCGGCTCGAGGAGGTACGGGTATTCATGATTGTTTCACTGGTTCGGGCGGGCTTATTCGGGGTACCTATGTCGCAGGAAGCAATGCATAACTTCGTACATGAAATGCTGCATAAACAGTCCTGCAGCTCAAAGGATAGAAGCGTTGTGGGAAGGTTTTGTCCCATGAATTCCTGTCTCGAATACTTCCTCGTTTACCAAATTGATGTCGCAAGGAATACGAAGACGGGAAAACGCCGGAAGCGCGATTCGTCAAAGGTGCGTCGAACCTTGGATATATGTCATTTTCTCTTACTCGTTCCTCAGATCTAGACCGTTTTGAGTTAGCCTCTCAAGGTAAAAGAAAATACTGGCTTCCTTCACTTTCCCGCGGCTTATTCGTTTCCCAGCGTTTGAATATGAACGAACATACACTGCAAGAAATCTACAAACATTTTTTGATACAAGTCTTCCCAAAGTACGACACACCGAGGTCCGTGAATGGGGTGAGGATCTAATGAAGGAGCGAAAGGAACTATGGAAAGCCATAGAACCGGAGCAACCAACTTTTAACAGCCTACTATGATGCTATAGATACTCATTTAACTACGAATACACTTGTATTAACTACTAGCACTCCTCCCCGTCTCATCAATGCCAATTTTTAATGGTGGAACAACCTCAACGACGTATGAGCAAAGACTAGACCATGCTCATCTGCTGCCTTGATACATTCCTCATCCATGACACTTCCACTAGGCGCTGCAAGGTATCTGACTCCACTCTTCTTGGCCCGATGGACATTATCAGGGAAGGGGAAGAATGCATCACTCGAACAAGCCACCCCGTCCAGCTTAGCAGCCCACTCCTTCTTCTCAGCATCAGTAAGGGCCTCCACCTTCCCTTCGAACAGACTCTCCCCACTGTTCCTTCTCTCCGCCTTCAAGAACCTCACCAGCAACAAAGAGGTCCGATAGCATTAGCCTTCTCGGCGCGTTTGACACCCTTCTTGAATGGGAGAGAAAGGACTCGGGGGTGGTGACGGAGCCACCACAGATCGGCTTTCCCACCAGCCAAGCGAGTGCAGTGGATACGGGACTGCTGGCCGGCTCCCAGGCCGACAATGGCACCGTGAAGAGCGTACGCGACACTGTTCGATTGGGTGTATTTGAGTGCGAGAGTCGCAACGATCAGGTCCGGTAACGGCTGAGGAAGGAAGCTAACGCGAGATTATTATGTGAATGTGAAGAGGTAAAATGCTAACGAACCTCCTTGGTCTTCGTGACAATATTTTCGAACAATTTGGAGTCTATTTTGCAGGTGTTGCGTTTCTGTTGTAGGCTGATACCGAACACTTGCTTGGTCTCTACTTCAGGTGGTTCATAAGTGGATCGATCTGTGTCGGATTTGATTTAGACACAAATTTTTGGAGGGAAAGATCAACGGAAGCATACCTCGAGGACACAGTATTTGCCGCCCTTCTTTTTGGAGAGGATGTCCAAGGCTTCGGGAGTATAACCCGGAGCTATGATACCGTCGGAAACTTCGCGTGAAATGATCTTGGCTGTCGCGAGATCACAGGGAGCAGAGAGCGCGGATAAAGTCTCCGAATGATGACATCCTATCAGCACCTATACAATGATCAGCGACGATGGGTTCCCAGGTATCAAATCATCTCACCTCTAGCCCGGGCGTAAGCAGCGGCAAGCGGAGTAGTAAGAGGAACTTTCAGATCGTCGACACCGTAAACACTCTTTTCAGTCTCGTTCAGTTCAATCCCTACAGCAGCGCCGGCAGGAGAGACATGTTTGAAGGACGCAGCCGCGGGGAGGTTCAGGGCTTCCTGGAGTTCCTTCACCAGCGCGTAAGAATTCAAGGCGTCGAGAAGGTTGATGTAACCCGGAGATCCGCATAGCGCTATAGCCCTGGTGTATCAGCGAAGAACAGGATACCAAGAAAAAACTGAAGTGACCTTTGAAAGGCAACGCTCCCTCGGTCACGAAGGCTTGAGCAGGCTTTTGGTGGGGATTCGCACCATAACGAAGGGGGATCCTCTGAACGGCACCAGCGAGCTTCTCTTTGGGTAGATCGCCAGAAGCGTATTGCTCACGGAAATACCCACTAATCGCTTCGTCGTACCTGGCGGTCATCTCAAAAGCCTTCAACGCCAGCTTGCTCCGGAAAGCCTGTCCCACATCGCCCTGTCCAGCCTTCCACGCCTGCAAAAACTCGGTGTAGTCTTTAGGGTCAGAGAGCACCGAAACACGCTCGTGGTTCTTGGCAGCTGCACGGAGAAGGGTGACGCCGCCGATGTCGATCTCCTCTACGGCGTTTGCGAGGGTGCAGTCTGGCTGGGCGATGGTCGAAGAGAAGGGGTAAAGATTGCAGACGACGATGGAGATGGGCGAGATGCCCTGGGCTGCAAGATCCTTTTCATCGGAGGGAATGTTTCGTGCGAGGATACCTGCAGATTGACTTTAGTGTGCTGGTAAGGCGTGAGATCGCCGTAGATACCTCCATGGACGGCCGGGTGAAGTGTCTTGACCCTTCCGCCTAGCATTTCAGGTGCTTTTGTAATATCAGAAACATCTCTGCGGTTTCTTAGTTTTCCCTTAGCCGTCACGGATAGTAAGAATACGCACTCAATAGGAATCCCTGAATCCCTGATCTTCTTTGCTGTTCCTCCAGACCCGAACAGACGGACCCCAGCAGCATTGAACCCTCGAGCAAGCTCGAGCAGATCCGTTTTATCGTAGACGGATAGAAGAGCTAAAGAAATGAGAGCATTCAGCGATACAGAGGAGCTGGGATACCGGGAAATCAGGACCAATAGGCTGCGACATCGTGGTGGTAGTCAGTAGAGAATGTGCAAGATGTAAATTTGATGTAAATGTCAAAAAAATTCGCGATCGGGATTGATTCCGTTATCCGATATATTGGAATCGCGAGGCTCAGGACAGCGAAATAAGCGAGAGAAAAGGGAGTATGTATCCGTTGCAAACGAGATGGTGTATACTACGTGAGTACAGTCCTTTTATACGACAATTCTAACTAAAAGCCGCGGGTATAAGCAACGAATACGTACAACTAATGAAAGAATAATAACACGACGTTAACAAGCGGCGACTGGAAAGACGAGTACCTCGACAGTTAATGATCAGCGCCGTCGCTTGGTGACAATGTGAGCTCGAATATCGAACACGATAAGATTGATTTTCTCTGGACAACGAAAAGCAGCAAAATAAAATTAGTAAAGAAGGGTATGTTATAACTATAGAGCCTTGAGCTTTAGGTGTGTTTTTATACTCCCCGAGAACCTTTTATCCTCCTTCGACACCCAGATACAGGACTCAGATCCCTCTGTAACCATGAACAGTTCCACCAACACTTCTTTACCAACTGTCCGGACTTCACCTCGTACTTGCTCGATTCCCAACCAGTTGTACGCGTCACTATACTCTGCATGAAGGACAACAAGATCAAGTTCCACGAAATCTAGACGTGTCGACCGTCTAGTCGCGAGGTTCACGAAGCTCAAGATTTTCTGCGCAGCACTGTCAGAAGAAAAGTAACCTGCTACCCGTAAGGATCGCAGATTCAGCTTCTCTATGCTCTCGGGGAACCCATCCCATTGACCATCTGAAACGTGTTAGTTAATCCAGCTCTTAAACGAGGACCAACAAGCAACACACCTGCATTACCAAACGAGTTGACACTCCCCTTTGCCGTTTGTTCGTACTCCAAACGCTCAAGAGAGAACCTAACAGCGTCGAAGAGTGACCCCAAATCTCTGATACGCGGCCCCGTTGCATCACGAAGCCGTAACACCTTCAACCGATCCAAGGAAACACTCCCACCCGGGCGCACAACCCAACTCTGAAACGCATCAAGGGACTTGCTACTCAATTGAATATCCAAACTCTGGAGATACGACGGATGCGGAAATCTCTGCGACTTCGGGACGTCGTTCTCCAAGAACTCCGTACGGGTGAGCTTGAGATGTTTCAATGACGATGAATTCCGGAACAACGCCTCCGCATCCACAGGACTCAACACAGAATCACAAATATGGACGGAGGAGATTGTCGGAAGGTGGAAGAGGTCGGGGATGCCACCGTAGGATGAGGGCAGGTGGTCCATGCTCACTGAACCTATGTCAATGTGCGCCACTCGCGCAAGGTGGGTGATGACCCTTTGGAGGAGCGGCAGAGACGAGAGGCATCCGTAGGACGTCCCAAGGATTCTGAATGTTCGGATGTAGCGGAGGATATTAGGGTAGGGTATCATGGATTCGAAGGTAGGGGGCTCAGATGCGCCTAGGAGACACGATCCGAAACTCTTTTCGGAGCGATAGGTGTAGTGTCGGTGAATACACTGCTGAGCGATGGGACGCCATGCGTGGCAGACGAGGGAACATGACTTCCAGGTATCGATGTCCTTGGGATATTCAAAGCTTTCGATAATGGAGCATATGATTTCTTGAGGTATCTCGGGTATCATGACTGCGGTCACGGTTAGTTGTTGAAGTGAAGGGTAAAGATGAAACTGCTCACCGGCGCGCTCACTTCTCGCAAGGGCGTCAGGGTTTCCTTGTAAGTCTTGAATAGAGTTGGCGAACATTTATATAAAGTGGCCTGAGCCTTATATATAACGGTCACGAATGATCGAATGACCAACGTCCATCATTCCGAGTCGGTACTGACGTTATTTTTCAAAATGCTTTAGGCTCTGGGCAATGACAATTAAGAGTTCCAAGCAAGTAAGCGTAGAAGTTCAGAAGAGATCAATATTGTGGCGCCTTGTTGGAGGAAGAAAAATACACCTTCCACTATCACAATATCTGGATCCGAGTTCCAGTTAGCATTCCTTCTCTTCGACTAGTCATGATCTGCGTACCCGGGGTCCCTGACACAGTTTCCGTCAAACTTTTTGATTAACAAACTCGATTGCTCCATGGACAGTGGCATGTCGAATCGAAGTTGATGCTGCCATCTGAATCATCTCCGTTGCCCATAAGAAAATGCTTGGTAAAGCTGGACATATTTCTTTATTCGAGAACGCTCCATAAGTGATAATACTCGTGTTTGCTTGGTGCGATTCGGAAGAAGACATGTGGTCCAGGGCAAAAACGCCCGAGAGGGGACTGAGGAAAAACAATCAATCCAGAAGGCAGCGGTCACGGAAAAAGAGGATTTCCATCCATTTCGCGGGGCGTCGCATACTCCAAACGAGAGCCGATACTTATGCATCCTCATCATCTCCCACTAACTCCATGCCTGCGAAGAGCTCAATCCAATCATCCAGACGCTCCCGAATGAACGTGTCCAGGTCCCAACAGTCCGTCGAAACCGCGTCAGGCTCGCCGTTCCACAAGTAAATGTCCGCGTCCACCATCTGACCCTCGACAGACACCTGGACTGGCGTCACTATATATGCCTCGCCTTCGAAATCGTCCAGCTTTCTCCGCTGGGACTTGTCCTGAGGGCGGAGCAGCAACCGTCGACGACCGATGTTTCGTTGTGCTTTATTAAGGCGGGATAATCTTTACCAAACAGAGAGAAGCGGGCATAGCCTTTGAGTTCTGCAGGCTTGACGAGAGGTGTCACGACGTCGGTTTTCCGAGAGTCTCCTGTTAGTGCCCAGGCCAGTAGAGGTATTGCGCGTAGCGTCCCGTATAAGAAGAGTGGCCGAGGCGTCTAGCACACGTTTGAATGCCGGCCTGCATGGAGAAAGGCGTCAGAGCTTACCAGTGGGGAGTTCTGGCGTGTAATTGTCATGGTTAAGACTGGTGGCTGTGCAAAGACGCGCCTTTCGCTTCCCAGCCATGACATCGGATGACGGGTTCAGTATCTCGGCACCACAAAGGATATCGCAAAACAAAGGCATCATTCTTCTTTGTGTAACTAAATAATATGCTAATGTGTCGACATAGCGACCCTCTAATGTCTCTTACTGTCCACCACTATACCACCACCACCAGCATTGATCCAGAATCTCTGTTATGTACCGCTAGGCGACTCGCTTTCGATGGAAAATGGCTCACACCTGCCTTTCGCCGGACTTTGCAGTTGAACTTTGATGCCCAATGGGAATATGCCATCCCCCCGCCAGTGTTCGATGTTGGGAACCGTACTAATCGGCCGCTCAGAGACTGGGGGGACTTGGAGGAAGACGGGGATGAAGGGAAAGGACTGGAAGAACTTGAGGAATGGGTACCGTGGTCGCGGGAAGACCTTCACTCCCCGGTACAAAAATACGGGGACATAGAGATGGACGAAGCCGACGGAGAGTCTCACAGCCCTTCCACCCGACTCATCCTAGACGCTGGCTCTAATGGGAAATCGAAACATAGTCCTATCTCACAGTCGAATTCCACGAAGGCGCGTTTAGAGGATGAAGTATACTTGGGCTTCACTCGGGGCGCTGATAACGAAGGGTTTGATGAAGCCGACACTGGATTTCACATAGACGAGGATGAGATGGAAGAAGATATGAGCTTCGGTTTCTTCCTTTCCGGTCGAAGTGGTGTCTCCTACGACTGGGGTGACGACAATCAGGTGGACGAAGACGAAATAAACACGGCTTTCATTGAAGACGAAGGCCCGGACGAAGAGGAAGACGAGGCGGGCGTGGAATCAGGCCTTCTTTCATTATCTCAGGGCAGCAAGACAAAGGATCTTCATTTGTCACGTAGAGTTTCGGATGCCTTGCGAGATATGGAAGACAATGCTGTCTTTGAGCGTGGATGGTCGAACGATGCTGACACGGGATTTCATGTTGAGGACGAGGAAGATGATTACATGGACAGCCAATTTTTCCTTCCATCCATCGACCGCAGTCGTTCTGACGACGAGGCGAACGCAGCTCCCTTAGGGGGCGACAGAAATCCTCAATCTGTCAACACATCCCTTCCTGATGTACCAATCGAGCCGCCAGATGAAAGCCCAGACTTTGCAATGTTGGACGAAGACGAAAACGAGGACGCAAACACAGGGTTCATCGACTTCAAAGCCGCCCTGGACACAGACGAAGAAGACGAGGAAGAAGACATCGATTCTCGGTTCATTCTCTCGGATGGCGACATACAATACCATCATGGCTCTATCAGCGAGATCCTGGATGCTGATGACTTTACTGTGCAGGATGTGAAAGAAGAGGAGGAGGGAGAAACGGAGAAACACATTGAGGGAGAGTACGAAGAAGACAAGATCTCAGAATGGGTCGATGAAGACGATTCACAAGTCCACGGTTCAGAAAATGCCAGTGGTGACTACGAGTTTAAAGGACATCCTTCTAGGCTCATACCCATCGTACGTTCTCTCTCCGCTCCCCTTTGCCTTCCCACTTACCATATCCCCTATCCCAGCCCCAAACTATCACATCGAGACTGCTCACATCGTCCGTCCACACTCCACAGCGCTTCTTGGCAAAGTACCGATCCCTCTCTACGCGCGTCGAGTCCCTAGGCTCCGGCTTGGGGTGGATAATCCCCGTCACCACTCCCGGCGGAGTAGTCCTCATCGACGGGCACGAATCCCCCGGGTGCTGGACGCCCCGCTCCCTAGCGGCCTTTTGGGGTTTCCTCGGGACGTTGCATAAGGAAACGGGGGTGGGGGTGGCGTATGACTTTTTTGGAGGCAGGGGGTATTTTTTCAAGTTGTATCATTGTGCGGGGCTTAGTGTGTTGTTGAGGGGACGGTTGGATGAGTGGGTTTGGAGGGATGGGGGTGGAGAAGGGGAGGGTGAGGGAGGGGTGAGGATGTTTAAGGGTTTGAGGTTGTTGTTACGCGATTCGGTCAATAAGGAGGTTGGCTTCTGGTGAACGTTGTCTATGTATTCTATTTTTTTTGATTTATTTCTTGTAAGTTCTTGTATCACGCCTATATATCTAGCTATTCACTCTGCGCATCGGTAGATACTTCCTTCAATACATTCTAAGGTCTTGAAATCATCCCAGCTAATGTGTTATCACTTTCATAAAAGTAAGCTACCACAGTAATGAACACTGGCCAGTGGAATGTGCATCTAGTCACCGACTTTAGCTTCGAAAAGTCAGGCGGCATCCACTTTGCGGCAACTGCCGGCGGCTCATTTCCTCCGTGCTTCAATGAATCGCTGCTGGTTGCTTATAGCTCTCGTCCCAGCCTTTTGTCCGGTTAATCGGTGATGGTCTACGAGAAGGCTACAGTACCATCGATGGAGATACTCACCATTCGATGCCCTGGTATTTGGGTCCTGGGTGATTATCGGGTACTTTTTTCAGACTTTACCAAATCTGGACCTCAACCTTTACGATGTCTCAAGATTTCACCTCTGGAGTACGATGAATAATAGGCAGAAAGTGAGTTACATTTTTGTAGCAAACGGTGACAGACTAACGAGCTATAACTCAGACTAACCCATACTTGGCCGCAAACGGATCATCCCCCTCCCCGTTTACCATCATCTCCAAGAACCCTGCAGCAGCATCCGCGGGTCCTTTGCCAGTGAGATACTCCAGAAACGCGTACGCCAGATCCATTCCTGTTGCGACATCATTCAGGATTGCAATACTGCCGATTTGATCAAAACGATGCTTACCAGCGGTGATACCTGAACTCGACCAGATTTTCTTGTCTTCTGTGGCGACCCATCGAGCTTTGGGGATCCAGGTTATGGGAAGGTCCTTGGTATCCTCCTATAAATCCGGCTGGATTAGAGATGTATGGCAGGTGTTGCATGCACCCAAGAGTCACCTCGATCACATTGAACATTTCTTTGTTCGACGTGGCGCGTTTCCCATCCAGGAGCCCCGTGCTAGACAGGATCCACGACCCAGTGCAAACCGTCAGAATGTACTTCGCATTCGGCCCTTGTCTCTTCAAAAAGTTCATCAGGCTGTGCTCCGTCTTGCCATTACCAATTATTCCTGTCACTTAAATTGTAGGTCCGCGTCTTTTCTAGTAGCTCAATACGCACCTCCGGGAATGAGGATGATGTCAAACTGCTCTTTGGCATCGTCGTAGGTCTGGTCTGGGAGTAGCTTTGGACCGGCAAGAGGGACGATGGGGTCAAGGGTGTTCCCGAGGAACGTCGCGTCGATGGCACAGTTGGTTTCGTTCGCGCCGAGCATGTTTGGGAACATCTTGCGAATCGCGGTGCTTCGAAGGGACAGTAACTCGACGGGACCTTGGTAGTCGAGCGATGTAGCGCCGTTATACAAGCATACGGCCATGCGATAAACAGTAAATGGAGTTGAAGTCATTGCGACGGTGAATATGAATTTGTATACTGAAGTTGTTGTCTACTTTATACTCAACAGACTAGGTGGGCGCCAAGACTTGGTGGGAAATACTTGGGTAGTACGTGTCGCGCCGGCACGATGTAAAGGAGATCAATGTTACTCGGGGTCTGTCACTCACATGACCGTTGCGATCGTTTCAGCCTAAGGCTACAGGACCGAGGTACATATGGACCCACTCTAATATAGTTATGCAGCTAATTTTCGAGTGCAGTACATTTATCACACTAGCCATGAGGCCTTCTTCTTGAACGCGACCATTCAAGTTGTTGTGAACTATCTGACCAGGTAATTTAGAACCATTGGACAGAGAATACGTTGATTGAGGGTGTCCGCTGTGATCGGTAAGAAGTCTATTGCTTACATGGTGAATGGAGGTGGGTGATGCTTAATGGGAAAATTGTGTATTAACGCGCAGCCCAACGCTTACCACGTCTGACACGGACGATGTAAGCTTACTGCGATACATGACTTTACTCCCGTGGCCGAAGTGTTTGAAGCACTGTAAGGCTAGTTTCATGTACACGCGTGAACTGTTTGTCCTTTGCACTCTATTCCGTCCTGTATTTCCTGATATCCCTCCTTCATCCGTCATCGCCGATACCTTTGGCAGAAAGGACTTCCAAATCACCACTTTCTAACAAGCGTGAGGGGCCAAGGCATCCCTGTCTCGAGCGACTCGCTTACCAATCTGTCCTTGGATGCCTTTGTATAGACGCACGTTGTCGGTGAGCACCCCGCATGTTTTTACTCATCCAGCCCAACCCTGGCTGTCACCTCGCAGACAAAACGGCTACTGCAATCTGTGAGCCACTCCATGTCCATCATTTGAGTGGCTTTGGATGCTGCTCCGACGCGTTCAAGTGAGGTTACTAGTCTACAAGGTGTAGAGATCACCTTTGATATTGGTCCTGCGAGTAATACGGAGGGCCTCGCACGCGACCTGGACAATCCCTACGGCATGTGTAACTTACTACATAGATATATTCTAACAAATTGCAAAGCTCGTTCAATGGTCATCATAACTGGTACTTTGACCACGTCTTACAAGCAACCCGTTACTCTGGTACACAGCTCAATCTGGACAACAGTGTTCAATTTCGAGGCTACTACAGTCGGAAACATAAAGAAGGTAACAAACATCTTCAAAGGGTCATGGTAAGGATACTAAGACTAAAAGGGGGCGCGGAATAGGTGAAGGTTTTACCGGTTACAATGGTGCTGTTCACCGGAACGACAAGCTGTGGCGTCAATGGAGTATTACTGTCATTGGCGCTTCCTGTCAAAACTTGCGCTAGCACCGTAGATGAAACCGAGTCGAAGAGAAGACTGAATGTCACAGCGGAAGCGGTATCCACTATATTAGCGACCTATCAAACAGTTTAGAACGTACTGACTTGACGTAGAAAATCATTCGAAGGATGCGTACTTTGATAATGAGCTCGTTGGGTACTGTCGATGTCTGTCGGATTACGCTCCAAAACAACGTGCCATCAGGGTCCGGTAAGGTGCTTGGTATGTATTCGTCCCCGCGGTTTTTGCTAAAGAGCTGTAAGACGGCAAAGTTAGAGGCAGTAAATATGAGGAAGCGACTGCTATGTGCGACCTTCTGAGCATAGTAGCTCGTTGAGAGATAAACCGATCCGGCGCTGACAGATATTCAATCGAGAGTACAAAGAAACAGGACGAAACATACTCAAAAGAGATCAAGTTAGGAGGACGAGAGCGTATCAGAAGATCAAAACGACGAGGAAGAAGACTTGCGATTTCTTATGAGTGATGATTTCGAGAGGGAGCTAAACGAGGAGGACGAGTATGAAGTACAGGAAAGCCCAGAGGATGAAGAGGAAGAGCAGGATGGGGAGGAAGCGTAAGAGGAAGATGACGAGGGTAGGGACGACGATCAGGATGAAGACATAGACTACAACGGCGATGGCTATGGCGACTATTGATGTTCTCACGTTGATATCCTGCTTGCAACATGTATTTAGAAAGTATATTAGAACAGGAATGCTTACACAAGTATAACAATGCACCAGAAATATTACCATACCCATATAACCCACCACAAGGCTCGCAGTGAAAACATGATCTGAAATAAGGATGACGGCCAAAATATAAGGCCTTGTCAGCCATTGCGAGGCGACGATATCACTATGACAAATTACAACTCCTGTAACGGAATAGTAGCTTTTCCCGGATTTAGCGGAGATAATTATCCTTGAAAGTTTGCGTATCATAGGCGGCTAGAGATGGTATCATCGCAATAACTTGTTTGCGAACGAGACTGTCTCGATGGGTTCGGAATCGGAGAATTTCCTCCGTCGTATCCATAGAAGTTTCCTTCATAAACTAGATGACATTCGTGATTGAGAATGATGAACAGAGAAAATAAGTAGACGTACCATCCCAGCATGCAAAAAAAGTTCGCTGTACGTAAGTAGCGAGCCATGTATGATCTCTGGTTGTGGCATCCTCAATCCTGCCTGAGCCTCCGTTAAAATTCCGTTCAGATAGGTGTTCCGACTTTGACGCTCCCGCTGTACGACAATTTCTAAGCAAGCTGCCAGCAGTTCGGCAGCGCCCTCCCTGACAATAATGCGCTGATCTCGCAGAGCGACGACCATGTTTTCGAACACAAGGCTTATGTGAGAATGGAAATATCCGGGGCTGTTTCGAGCGAGCTCCTTCAGGATTAAGACGCCGGCGTATCGAGGTGATTCCTGTTTCTCCGGCTGCATCAGTTCGATTGCAGCGGGAACTTCATAATCCACAAACCGGCATCCAAAAGCAGAACTGCCAATATGTGCTATCTGTCCTAGGGTCTTGGACGCCACTAACATGAGGTTGACGTCTGAGTGGGGAAGGAGATGCTTGACATAGTTGTAGAATCGAAATAAGTTGCGCTTGGACTCAATGGTTTCCCCGCTAGTAATTTCAAGGAGGTGATCTAATAGCTGTTCTAGTTCGCGTGGCAGGTACGAGGTTGGCTAATGACGCGCCTATAGCCAAGATTCCACCAAAAATTTCCGTTGTATTCTGGCTATGCATGAGATCGAAAAGCCTTCGATTGATGTTGTCGTCTCATAGCTTGGCTGCAGCATCAGATGTCATTTCGGCAACAGTAGTGGCAACCTGGACATGGGCATGAGCTTCTAGTAAAGTTGGAATAATGGAGATATTCACATATCGACGCAAGTTGACAGAAGATTCCAGTCGTACTTCATGACTCTTACTCTTCAGTCCTTGGAAAATCTGCGACAAGACATCGGCCTGCGTCGACTGTACGGTGGATGTCATGGCCCGCCAAGATCCAGATCGTAAAAGAGGAGGAGATGTTGATTCTTGGTATTCCTGCAGACAGTCTTCCTTTATATGGCATCTCTCGATCACATGCACAGGCTTGATGGTCTAGTAGTATGATTCCTTGTTAGGGTTGGTACCGATAGAGAGCGAGGCTTCGTTCCAGCTGGCGCTAAAGGTGTTGGGAACGGACAAGGTCGTGGCATATGTTACGGCATTTCTCCGCGAGTACCCGTGCAAGTAGATCACATGATTAAGGAACAATAATTGTATCATATGTTTTGCAAACAGTATCATACTGCAAGTTTATATGGTTTATCACATTTTTGTAGTTCATTCTCTCGCTTACGCTTGTGTCTCGCCTCTGGCTCGTGCTCTCGCCTATGCTCGAGGGTCCCATTTCTGCGAAACGGGAATTGAACCCTGTGGGGAGGTTGAGGTCCCGGGTTCAATTCCCGGTCAAGCCCGTGGATTCTTCAGAAGAAGTGATCCTCCCTTCGTTTTGACTTGAGGCCTGTCAGACTTAGACCGCACGACTACGCACAAAATCTCCATGAGGTGTACGTTACGGTTTTCTACCAATGGTCCAACCCCTCCCGGAGTGTTTTGATACTACACGGTGACAGTGAAGATGTTCTCCGTAGACGCAGGACTCGTAGTTGGTGATAATGTGGTGGTCACTTGAGTCCAAGACGTTTGGGAACCCGACACGCAGATTGAGGCATTAGCGAGAATCTGGCCGGATGTCGTCTGAAGTCCTACGTTGAAGTCTCCTTGAAAAGAACTTGCGGGCAGGAAACGGTAGAAGAACGAGGCGGTGTATACGCTTCCCGGGGTTACGTTGATACCTAACACTCGTAAGAATATTTGCATGATGGATCTCGAAGATGAACTCACCTAAGTAGCCAGTATTCCCGAAGCCAACTGGGCCAGTACTGTCATCAGGGATAACCACGCTTAGCGCATTGGGGAGAGCAGAGGAGACCGGCTGAGTATCCGCAACAACAGTCAAGGATGCACCATTGATTGCCTGCCAAGCATTAAGTGCGTCTGTAGTGCCTGGAGAGGAGCGTGAGATTCGAGGCTATGAATCAAGCAAAGAAGAATTACCTGGCGCGACTTGCTGGAAAGCGCGATTCTGCAGAACTGTAGAATTAGCAATTAGCCTTGCTGACAATAGTTAATAAAAGATTATTCCAAGTTACGTTCGGCATAGAGACCGCCGTCTCCGCTCTGTAAGAGGTTTACTTTCAAAATTAAATAGATATCGACGCATACGAACATGCTGGTCATAGAACAGTAATTTCAGCACACCAAGTACACCGTGAAGGCGAAAAAGCACTGACGCTAATATCCTGTAGCAATGTTTGGGTCAACCAGACGTTAATGTATAACGCTAGAAGATTGTACCTTGTACATAATACCCCCTAAAAGACAGCTGTGTGGTAAGTTTACCAAAGTACTAAGCATGGAAGAAAATATTGACATAGGCTGGTCGGAATAGCGTGGCTAGCTGTTGCGCTAACGCTAACAGTTGTTTGCGCCGTGCATGTTCCTGCAATAAATCCGAGTACAGAGATGAAGAGTTGAAGAGTGTTAAACATCCTGATTATGCGTTGAGACTCGAAAGTCCGTCAGCACTCCTTATAAATGTTCTTGGACCAACGGCCCGTTGGAAGCAATCGATTATCAGGACTGTCAACTGGTCGTACCACATGAGGATCGCAGAGTGTGTTTCATTCTCTGTGGAAAATGACGAGCTGGAGAAGAAGTTACGATGATACCTGCACACGAGGATCGCAGAGCGGGTCCAATCCTGGTATGAGAAATAGGCATCTGTAAAAGAAGAAAAAAACCACCTGCTGATGCGAGTAATGCCAACTATGAGAGAGAATGTGGGTACTGCACGATTTTGAATGGACGCGCAACATCAAGAACGATAGAAGGTCGCTTACGGTTGCAGATCTACAGAAGGCTAGGCCTGTGATCAGTTGTTGAGGTTTCAGATTTTCAGAAGGATAGGCCTGTGACCAGTTTCTGCTGTTTCAGATCTTCAGAAGGATAGACTTGTGACTGTTTACGGGTCTACAAGAAGCAGGGAGAGACGCTGGATCACGGCGAAATGCGTATGGCGGCATGATTGCTTTCGAAGTTCATCATGAAAACTAGCTCAGCGGCCGTTCCTACAGAATGGTTAACCAAAAATATTCTCATGGTCTTCAAAATATACTACCTTGCTTATTGTAGGGAACGCCGACATTTTCCCTTTATCATTCGTCGTCGATGCGTATTCTCCTTATCGATGAAGTTGTTGAATTGAGAGGAATCCAGGATCAAATGGACGTGCAAGGCAATATTTTCTTCTCTAGAGGTGATGTCCAATGCCTCAATATTGGCTTTCAAGTGCTCGCCCTTCCTACCACCGGTGGTGGGGAAGACGTACGGTCAGAGAGTGGCAATGTCAGTGGCGCTAAACACAGCAATGGCGTTCTTGGCGCCGACTCGCAAGTAACCTTTTCCAGCGCCTTGCACATGGCCTTTTCCTCTTCGATGCGTTCCAAGCTCTGCGTCATCATATTTGCTCGGCCCTTCTCGCCCGCCGCACAGGACATCTCACGGAGCAAGTGCGAGACCTGCCCATCATTTAGGGTATGAATATGGTCCAGGAAGGGCGCATACATACCCAAAGATCGAGCCATCGGAATAATCTCACGTTCGAAGGACCGGTCCATGGCATTCCAGTGACCTCGATATATCACAAACGGTGTCTTTCTCCGATCTCGAACGTACTGATTGGCTTGAGCGACCAACCCATGCAGGCGTGTCGGAGATCCCCTTTTGGAACGATATAAGCACCGGGGTATATGCATACTCAAATCCACGTACTAGGTAGAGAACCTTGCTTTGCGAAACAAGAATATTATTACGAAAGTTATCCATCACCTCTTCAATTGAGGTATCCCAATCCACCAGTGGAGATAGAGAATGTCGATGTACGACGTACGTAGTTGCTTTGAACTCACAGTGACGCTGTTTTAAAGAAATTTGGCCCTGTTCCTCACGAAGTTGACCTTTTGTTTGATGTCATCCCTACCTCTATGGCAATTCACCGTGTACTAGTAAGAATGTCAGCGACAATATGACGCATCAAGAGCGAACAGACCTTTGTAGTGATGATGAGCTGTTCACGAATACCGCGCTGCTCACTCCATTCTTCTATGAACCTCCCAGAGTCTCTATCTTGGCTACAGGAAGATTAGCATACACTGAAACGAATTGTCGAAGAGATGCCCACCAGTTATTGGGAGAGTTGATGAAATTTCCGCCCATATCGAAATACGTGCCCAACAACTTGAAACTGAATATATCGCCCCACTTCTCATCAATGCTCATTCCTCCGAGTTAGATGAGAGATACTTGCATACACGCACGAGGAGAAAGAACATGGCAGACACTGAGGCCAGTTAGAGGAGGCGACGCAGGTGCGAAAGCCGTGGTATATTTAAAAAAAGTTCCGTGGTGGTTGACTAAGATGAGTATTGTCGAGCTAGCGACCTTACTTATAGGCTGATCATGATGAAAGCTTTGACAATTCTGTCGGAACTTCGACGCCGGTGGACATGACCTTGACATCTGCAGATTCGATGTTGGGCGGCGCGGCATCGACGCGTAAGTGTGACGGTCGTGCCATGCCACACTGTATATTTCTTGCTTCATCACCTGAATATCGCAAAATGCATGTCATATCTGTGGTCATTAATCCAAGACGTATACCTTTGAATATTGGGGCGCAGATTCACATTCTTAATCTTAATCAGCAACTCAGACCGCCCCTATGCACCAGTATCCTGCCATTAGCAATGGTTCGGAACCTCAAAACGAGAACATAATCACATGAAATTAGGAATTAAATCCGGTTAGCCAATGGCTGCGCATTTCGATTTTTGAGGCCACCCGGCTACAGGACGATGTCGATTATCATGACTGCAAATTTTATATTGCAGCGTCTCAATTTCCTCTGCTGAAATATCAGCGCAATCCACAAATACTGGCTATCCCTTCTGCCAATCAAGCTTGAAGTTGGATTACTGATTAATCTGTATCGCGTGTCCTGTCGGCAGTCACTGACGAAGCCAGCTTGGCGTGGGACATCTGAGTTAGGTTCCAAAATTGAGGTTGCGCGCAAAAAAGATCGCATATGTTGCAAAGAAAGGACCAGAGTTAGGCCAGAAGTCAGAAGTGAAAAGAAGTAAACGCAAGAATGCCGGCCACGTGGGCGGCAGACTCCGTACTCTCCCACGTGATCGCGACTGAGTTGTTCCGAACTTCATAATTGGATCATTTCGAGGCGGCCTTGGGTTTTCTTACCAAGTCTTCCTGTGCTGATAAGGTTTTTTTTTTCAACGCACGTCCTGAACCTCAACTAATCATCGGATTCATGAATACCTAGTACATACCATGGACATCCACATCCTTTCTGGCTCATTCACCTCTCTTTCTCTTTTCCTCCTCGCATTCTCCCCCGTGAATCGTTCCCTCCGGCTTCTCCGAACTATACCCGCCTATGGACCGCACCAGTATATTGCTCAGACCCCTCAGGCTGTATACGCAACGACATGGGCGTCTCCACCAGTCCTACATGCATGGGCTCTGCCTTCTCTGAACCACATCGGCAGTGCGCCAATCACAGCGACATCGTCATATATCGCCACCCTCGATTCTCATGTATACTCCATGGGTGGGCCCACAGGGGAAGTTCATGCTCTCGACCCGACTTCCGGCGTCTGGGGACAGAAAATCCAAGAGGTCCTGTTCGTCGAGCCCGACGAGCTGGAAGAGGCTGATAAGACGCGGAAAGCGTTAAGATACGGCTCTCATGCGATAGAGTTCACGAGCGATGGGAATTACGGGTTTGTTCCGGTCCTCGGTACGGAAGAGATACATATCTTCAAGAAGGATCCCAATGGGACGCTTGAACGTGTAGGCATAGCCAAGGGACAGGCCGGAGATGGCCCCCGGCATGTGAAAGTGCATCCAAACGGAGAAGTTGTCTACTGTGTGGCTGAACACAGTAACAAATTGGACGTGTACACCTTCAGCACCACACCTGCACCTTCTCTCACGCTCGTCGCTTCTCAGCCTCTCTACGCCTCCGGTTCAGCCCTGTCCTACCGGGGTGACACCCTCTTACTCACGCCTTCAGCCAACCAGATATTCGCTACCACACGCGGGGCGACGTCCCACGATCCAGGTTATATTGCCGTCTTTTCCCTTTCCCCTTCTGGTCTGTTCAGTGGCCAAGCAGAGTACTACGAGACCCCAACTTCAGGAGGGAAAGCCCACGCTATCGACCTACTCTCCAAGTCTACATCATCCTCCCCAGACCAGGAGACCTTATCTGTTCCAACAGAATCGGTCTGGATACTCCTTACTGATGACGATCCGTGCACCCAAACTGCCGAGCCCTGCGCGAGTGTACGCATTCTTGAATGGGATGGCTGGGGTACAGGTGGGATACATGAAGTTGTTGCGTACGCTGGGACAGAGATGCAGGGTGGAAGCCACGCTATCTTCTTGCACGAACACGCCACTATTGAGGGGGAAGCGCCTCATGATGAATTGTAGAGTTGCCGATGCATGTTGGAGCACCCGATCTTATTCACTCTAGCTTCCTACTGGTCAACGCATCAGAATATTTTGTAATAAATCGAAAGGGAATCAGATTGATGTTCAACCGTGAATGTATCTCTATTGTGAGTGATTCTAGAAGTCAAAGTTCGTTATTAATGCCTTGATCTCACACGCGATGTAGTATGAGAACTTGACTGCCTTCTTCAAAGAAAGCGATGTCTAGGACAACTAATAAAAACACCGCAACTAAAACGACTTCTTGATGGATCCTGGGAGCTTCTGGATCGACGTAGGTGCATATTTAGAGGGAAATGATTGCAAAACAGAGGTATAAGTTGTAATCAAGACTTCGTTCAGGATCGAGTACTACTTCAGTAAGCGAATTCGCGTACAGAACCTCATTGACCAGTGCTATCAGTTAATATTACTATTGAGAGATCGTCAAGAATGAGAAGATCTTCAGAAGTCGGGGAAGCTGAGTCGTGAGATCGACGAACCGAAGGTTCTGCAAATGTACCGAAGCTGCGCGCGCGTACTTCAGAGGAAGACGCGCTTTTACTCGGTTTTAGTGACTGGCGCGCGACGAATAAATTGAAGCACATACCACCTAAGCAACCCGGTGCGGTACCTGCCGTCATGAAGCGACCTGCGGAAAGGTCATGCACGACTGAGCTAGAGAAGGATACAGCCAAACATCGCTCAGTTTCTTAGACACTGCGGTGTAATGCTACCTACCTACCTTGCCTACCTTGATATTGTGTCTAAACAAGAAACCTGATTGAATGCAATTAGATTTCCAGAGATGGACTGATTAGATACAGTACTAGAGCAACATCATCCATAACCAGTCTCTCCACCTCCTTCTCCTTTGCCGTTCACGCCATTTCGCTGGCCAACAGCAACAGGCTGAATGAAATCATCTTCCTCACTGACAGGCTCATCGCCATCGTTATCCTCTCTCTCCACTCGTTTACCGGCAACCCCTTTGGCAGCTCTCTCACGAGCTCTTCGTCGCCTCCTGAGAATCTTCTTCCGCCTTCGGATCGCTCGCCGATATCCTTCCTCGTCGCCATAGAAGAGCTCATACTCACAGTACGCGCAGATCCACTCGTTTGTGCCTTGTTGTGCAAGAGACGTAGGTGTAGGGGTGCCGCTCTTCGATTTGCTCTTCCGCGGGGGTATCTCTGCCGTGAGGAACCTCACCGCCACGAAGTCACTATTGGTATTGTTGACAGGCTGCTCGGCGCCTGGAACGCGAGAAGGCACGTAGTTCCGCAAGTGATGTGGGTTCGAAGCATTCGCAAGGGCACTACGTTTTTTCTTCTTCTTCTTTGTATTAGGAGGTGGTGGCAGAGGTTTAATGGCGTTTGCAGCGGCAGCAGGTTTCTTCTTTGGTGCTGACAACCTTTTCCGAAGCAGATCTACAGCGGTTTTCGTATTTCGGAGGTTGATGGTGGCTGGTCCAGCAGGGTCAGCGTATCGTCGATTTACGGAATCAGTACAAGCTGACCTTCAGAATGGCAATTGAAGGTAAACTCATACCCTTCCAAATCTTTGAGGGGCGGCTGTTTAACGACCGATCTTCCCGCTCGGACCACTTCCCTCCTTGAGAGTCGTCGACGTTTTCCGTCCCTGTCTCCAAGTAGCCCAAGCGTCAAAGCTCGTTCGACCACGTCCGCTTCTCCTTCCTCTACCAAGCCCTCGAGATGCTTCCGCCGAACTCGAACACTTTCCTTGAACTGCATCCCGGCAGCAGTGATCCTCGAGACACGTCCCTGGACCTCGCCACCGACAACATGGGGGACTTTGCGCTTCTTGGCATTGCCACCTTCGATGCGAGATTCTTCAAGAAGGTTCGTCAAAATTGGCATGTAGTACTCGAGAGGCAGAGGGGCAAGAGGCGGAGATGACGAAGGCGATGTGCGTTGGCGTTTTGGGAGAGGCTTGACTCGGCGTAGCGGAGGAGTCAAAGGTGGTGAATAAGCCGACATGGTGTTTTTTTTGCGATTCCACCGTCTAGGTCTTGAGACGACATCAGTACGTCCATTCGGTCAGATATGCCTGTCGTCGAGCAGGAAGGGAGCCTCACAGTGAATTCCGACGACTTGGAGGTCTCGCCACCACAGCGGTCTCTTTCACTGGCAATTACCTGGCTTGTAGTCAGTCGTCTGATCCTAACAAGCCTCACGGCGAATCAGCGCTGAGCGCATCCGCAATCGAGTACTCACTACCGTCGCCAGACTACGAAAGCAATTATTTCAGAAAACAAAAAGGAGGAGAGAGTGCGTGTCCATCTGGGCATCGGACATCCCCGGTCATCTAGCCTGCGATAATTTGGTCGTGTTTGCGACACCTCACCTCTTTTCTCACAAGCTAACAGCGGCTCGGGAATGAGGATGTCAAGATGGCGTCCGTTTTGTATGTTTTTCGGTATCATGCAAAGATCTGAGGATGTCGAGGTACAAAGTTATGTAGAAAGAACTAACATAATCCCTCCCCTCTCGGGTCAGAGCGGATGTTAAGAAGGAACTAATGGAGGGGGAACTTATGCATGCGATATACATTTATACAAGGAATGAACTAGGATGATAAGTGCGCAGTTTCATACTTCGTATTCGGATACAAACGCAGTGACGACTAGCTGAGACCAAGCTCGGTTACATAACGAGCTTCTGGAACAAAAACAATACGAGAACCGAGAATTTCCAAGGGTAAAATGGAACGTATTGATGGAGAACATGCACGTGTGCCACTAAGAAGCAGATTTTAGCCGTTGAAATGAGAACAGTAGTCGTTATAGCACTAGCAAACAGTTCCCATCGATTTAACGATGTGAAAGCGACGGTAGGGTAAGACAGAAACGGGGATTCTCCGTGATGCCTCAGAGTCATAAGCACGAGCACTCAGAAGACAACATCTGAAAGTTGTGACGAGACTGGGAGTAGAGACCATGGTCACTGGTATGGAAGCAAAAAATAAAGCCAGAACGTCACATTAATCACAATAACTTCTTAAAGAAAGACACACAACCCATGATATGCATACATTGCGCTGTGTTCATTAATTCAAAGACTGGGAAAGGATGGCTTGTGTCACTGCGGAGGAACGAACGACTCTTGCGACACTTTTCAGACTGAAAGACGTTGCGCCAACCAGATAAACAGGATTGAAGTATATAGTGAACATGAGCCGGAGACAACCGAAGCTGAGCTGAGAACAGTTTGCGCCAGAATTACCACCTATCAGCACTGTGCGTAAGTAACGGACGTCCAACTTCACTCTTTTCACGAACCTTGTATAGACCTCAGCTCCTTGCGCTCTTTCCGGTCTCAATGCACAAAGGCACAATCAATGGAAGGAACACGACATGTCCATAATGAGTGGAGAAAGCAGCATACGGTCCTTCATGGAAGGAAACAAGAAGGTTGGGGACTGATTACCAAGCAGTGGCTCGGGTACCACGCGATCGGCGCGTCAACAGCACTTATCAACTACGACCACTACTTTAGCTGAGTTGGTCAACCTGATCTCTTCCGTAACCTTGAATGTGGAAAGCGCGGATATAGGTATTGTACAAAATACAAGATGCATAGCTCAGCTAATATTTCTGTAGAACCGTCTTTATCAAGTCGATGACTCGATGACAATCTCATTCACACCTATCCGTCCGAATTTCAACATCTGGACTAGGCCTGAAGATCCGGAGATGCAACTCATCTGCCATTGGCTTCGACTTGACGATCAAAATCTTACACTGTGCCTCAAGTCGTCAGTGGCATATTCTGAACACTGTGAGTCCAACAATTTTCAGAACGATATCGTTCGTCGCGCTATCGAACTGGCCATGAAGACGCGGTCCAGAGGGATATACATCTCTACGATGTCCGTCCTCCTTCCTTGTGGTATCGACGCTGCTTGCATTCCCCCAGATGAAGCCCTCTCGGTCCACTATACGCCTCCTCCAGATACGCCTAGTCCTCCAATTTTTCCGCTTTCAGCAATGAAAATGATGCACATACCTGGTCTCGGTGGTGCTGTGAGTGTCATGGAGGTTGATAAGTCCCAGTTAGTCTATAAGCAATTGGTTCTTGCATCAGAGTGTGAGAAAGACATCGAACTCGAGCGTCTCCGGCGCGACACCCTCCAATCTGAGCTGGACGTTTACATCCGCCTCCATGGATCGCCCTATGTTCTCCCCATCGTTGGCCTGGTCGGAAGAGTCCGACACTTTATTGTTTGCGATGATCCATACGTCAAAGATGTTCTCGTAATTGACGGATTTCTCATTCCCTTCGTTGGGATGTTCTCCCCGTGGTGTCTTGGATTTCGTGCCGAGTGGACCATGCCAGAGAAAGAGTTTCTAGCTCTCACGCTCATGGGTGCCATGCTTGACTTTGAGCAGCATGGAGTCTATACAACAGACTTAAAGTGCCCAAATATCCTCCTCACAACAGTGGGCTTGAAGATCATTGACTCGGATCTGCAGACGCACACGCCGGGATTTTCCAGATGGGGCGTCGAGGGCGGTAACGCGGTTCAGGCTTTGTATAACATGTCCCAGTCAAGGAACTTTCTTGTCTGGTACAACATACACAATCCACTGTGAAGGGGCCGTTCCCAAGCCCTTTGTCCGACTCATCGAATGGTGCGAGGAGGATGCTTTCAGTTCTGTTGCGGAGATGATGGTCAAGGCGGCAGATATGCTAGAGCCCGCCCGTGCCAGAGTCAAGAATATGTCTGCTTCTGCTCTAACTGAAGCGCGGCTGTCGCGATGCAGATCACTCGCAAAGACGGAGGATGAATGGTGGTTTGGACGAACATATGATTCCGAGCTTAATAAATACTAGTCTTGGTTGCCTAGGTATTTCGAAGTTCCCTGCCTCTGATTTGTGTCTAATCCCTCACCTTAGTATCAGTAAAATCGACCGGACTCCTCCATCATCCAATACCACTATCAAACGGATTGATCAGCAGCGACATGGGGTTTCTTTGCCATATACAAATTGATTGTCTATAGCCACATCATGCGATTGATTCCGCTGATCATCGCCTGACCCTCTCATTATGTTCTACGTAACGTCGAAGGTCTCAACACTCCGGGTACTTTTATTATCTCGAAGGAGGGACTCCTCGATTATTGGTTAATCATCAATAATTATTGGCCGTGGTAACCCTCTAAAAGTGGCGCGGTGCTCAAGCATCTTACTACAATATCGTTGGTTGCTGGCATACAGTCTCTGCAGCTCCTCCGTGGCACGTCGTCAGACCGATGCAACTTTTCATGAGCTGACTTCTGTCTCTTCTCCAATTTTTTTTGCAGTGCCATGAGATTTCGTGATTTCAAGCTTTATCGATGTGGGCATTCTACCGACCGCCTGCGCCCATGCCCGATTGCCGCCGTCCTCCCATACAGCCTTGATGAGATCCAGTCTTGCTATCTGAGCGATGCACGTCATGACTCATTTGGCTCCAGTGACTTCCATCGCAGAAGCGAAATTTGCGGGCGTGCCGTCTGTCTCTTTCGACGTGCTACCAAGCCTCAAAAATGAGGGTGATGATAGTTCATAATGTCGCACACCAACAGCAAGACTACCCTTACCAGTCCAACCCTACACCCCACCAAGGCGCGAGCCTTCTGCCTCGACTCCAACGAAACCTCAACATCTGGACAGTGTAGACCTTACCCTCCGAGCTAAGTCACTTGCCTGCGCTTCATATGGGTCCTTAGCAGATTCATCCTCTGCTCGTTTCTTCTTTCTCTCTTGTACTATCAGGCTGTGTCAGCTCTACGATATACATGCCTCTTTAACTCTCTCTTCTGTTTCTTCACTGTTTTCCTGAACCGCTTTAAGTATTTTCCGTACACGACATACTATGACTATCACTTTGCAGACTACTCTAGCCTTAGATGGTACATTTCAATATACCTCGTTACCGTCATCTGGGACTATGCACTAAACTTGAGCTTGATTATCTATTGCAATTGCTTTTGGCGCCTGAGCTTTCATGTTACCCATTGCGCGGAAATTACGCCGGAAGTATTCTTGTAGTTGCTTGGGTTTGTGAATAGTAGTAACGTTCATATCCACAAGCTCGCTAATGATTATGTCGTTGGTACACACCCGAAGATATGATGGATGGGAGGTTAATGACTTTTATTTCGTTGCACGATTGAACTTCCTAAAAAAAGAGTCTAGGGGATATACTTCTTGTAGACATGGGCCCTTCTTCGCCCATACCCCGGACGAGTGGGCTCTCGCTCCAGAACAAGCGACTTGCAAGCTGATCTACCCGGGCCTTCCGGGATTTATCGACACCTGAAGGTTCCGAGTATATTACTTACACCCACCAGACGATTGAAAACGCGTCGATGCAAACTGGCAGACGCGATAGAAGTGTTACAGGATGATGATAAGAATGAGTAGCTCTTCCTGCTCTCCATGAGGGCATCGCTCTGCAACATCGAGACAAGGAGGACACACTTGTTGTCTGGTCCACACAGTGAAAAAGACAGCGAGACCACTTTCCGGTTCGAAAGAATGTATGGCCATCAGTCTTGGTTGGTGGTTGGCACGAGACTGCCATACTTCAGCCTCAGAGCGCTTGAGGACTTACCGGACAACAAGAATTCTCTACATACTCTGGAATTAACGATGTGTCGTTGACACCGTGACCACCTTGTTCACTTTTACCACGGTTCTTACAGAGAGTAGCAGAAGATTCGGAGGAAGTGGGCAATCATGACGTGGATAGCAAACGGGTAAGAACGAGACCCGAATACGACGACCGAGCAACCTGGATAACAAACTGCATTCCACAAAAGTCAATTCCTGTACAAAACCTCATACTTACTCAAGAATAACAAGAAGCCAACTCGACATCAAACGGACGCGTGTCCGAAAAGGTATCCATGCGATACATAATCATTATGATGAGGTTTCCTCTTTCGTAGGTATGAAAGCAGCGGGGTTAGCAGGCGTACTCGCTGCAGGAGTCGTAGTTGCATCTGTGGAATTATTCGACGCTGATCTGGCTGCCTTGACTGCCTCGATCGTCTTTTTGAGCTTCTCGAGCTCTGTACGGTACTCCAGCAATTCCTAGAGACACGTCAGTGAAAGACATTGAGAAGAAAGTGAAATAACGCACCTTGTTGTCTGGCTCGTACGTCAAGCCAAATGCAACGGCGTCCTGGGCTTCATCCAGTCTAGCAAGTCCTCTCAGCGCCTTCGCCTTTCTCAAATGGCCTTTAGGCCAGCTTTTTCGTATCTGGATGACAGCCTCCGCGTCAGCGAGCGCCGATATCCAATCGTGTGCGCCTGCATATGCCGCCGACCGGTTCGATAGCACCGTCGAGAGCTCCTCCCTCAGCACATTATTATTCTCCCACGGCGCACGTTGAGATGCTACACTTGCCGCCATCGTGTACCTCTGTATCGCCTGTGCATACAGCTGCATCTTATACAACTGGTTGCCCTCCTCCTTCACGCTATTCACCGCACTTGACAATTGCTTGTTCACGACCTGCCCTGGAGGTGGGACTTTGATGTTGGGGTTCTGTGTGAGCAGTTTGGAGAGGATATTCGTTTTGGAGTAGTCGACATCGCAGTCAGCGCAGACGGCGAGAGAATGTGGTGCGCAAAGGAGAAGGTTGGCGTCGGTGACGGTGAGGTCGACAGGTGAGAATTGCGCGTCAATGAGCGCCTGCAGGACTGGATCAGGCGGAGGCGGGACAGGTCGCTGCTGCTGTTGAGGCGGCGCGTGCGAGTGCGAGTGCGTCTCGCCTGGAGCGTGGGTATGCGAATGGGACATGGAGGATTGAAAGGTAGTTAAGTAAAGGCGTGTCCAAATAGGGCTGCTGCCACGTACGGTGACGTAGATGACCAAAATGGGCTGTTGCCGCCGGCTGGCGGGGCAGCCTAATACGGTATCCCGACTTCCGAATCCCGATCACCAGGCTTTGGTAAGTAGTACGTTAATAAGTACGTACTTTCCATTGACTGCCAATTTCTACGAATAGCTAGCTCTGCGGCAATATAGTTCGCTAACATTCTCACCCTTGACCGTTTACTGAAGGCTTCTCCATCCCTTTTCCAGATGGTGTCAAGTATGTTTTGACTTTAAAGTAGTGTAGAAGTTGCTCTATATCCTAGAATAAATGTCGAGTCCTGGCAGGTTTATCGGGTACCTCGGCTCTCTCTATTCCGTGTCGATTGCAATCAGTGATGCATCACGAATTCGAAGAGATGCATGGCATTTCCTCGGACCAAAATGAAGTTATTCTGATGACGCGGTTCCACTCATTCCTCAATTACTTTATACAGAAGCGTTCCCTAGGTCGAGGTGATAGTATTTCACGTGAAGGTTATGGTCCTTCCACCACCACATTGCCTGGGAGAACTGGCATGAGCTGTCAAGAATTCATTATCAGTAAGATCACATTACATGAGCGATATGCATTCCCCACGCCCAACGTACTGCCTCCAAGGGACTCCGATGATGAACCAATGATGGATCAATATCAATTTCGGCTATGGGCCTTGGCAAACACAGCCACTCCACGTGACCAGAGCATCAAATTTTACTTTGTTTGTCAGCGCTTTTCTTCTCTTCACTCCCACTTTGTGGTTCGCATCCCTTTCTTTCGCACTCTCATAATATGACAAATGCAATCGTAAACGGCCCCTCGTCTGGTCTCGAGGGCAAATTCTCTTCATTGGACATTAACAAGTCGGCGTACGTTCCTCCTCATCTCAGGAGCTCCCAGCGAGCGTCGTCTTCCCCCAATCTTCACCAGAACAGGCAAGTTTTTATCTTTTTCTTCTTTTCTTTTCTCATTTCTTACCTCTCTTCTAGCATTGGAACCGGCTGGAACGATTCCCGCTCAGTTACTCCGAATTCTACTCGCTCCTACACCGCCAGACCCTCCCGTGGAGGGCTGCCTCAATCGCAAGGCCGTGACTGGTCGCAGCCCTCGCAGCCTCGTGAGACTTTTGGCTTTGGAGTATGGAAAGACGGTCGTCATGTCGTTGGTGGGCGCAACATGCGCCTCGAGAAGGAGCTTTTTGGTGACCCGACGGATCCCTCCAAGCAGCACACCGGTATCAACTTTGAAAAGTACGATGATATCCCCGTAGAAGCGACTGGCGCTTCCGTTCCAGAACCAGTCGTCGCCTTCACTTCTCCCCCTCTCGACCCAGTCTTACTCGAAAATATCGGCTACGCCATGTACACTACCCCTACCCCTGTTCAAAAGTATTCTATTCCCATTGTTGCTAATGGGCGGGATCTCATGGCCTGTGCTCAGGTAAATTTTTTTTTCTCCTGTTGATGGGACATGTTCTCAATGCTTTGCCTCTACAGACTGGCTCCGGTAAAACAGGTGGCTTCCTTTTCCCCATTCTTTCTGCATCCTTCCATGACGGACCTCGTGCGCCTCCTGATCAATCGAATTCTTACGGCCGTTCCCGAAAAGCCTACCCTACGGCCCTTATTTTAGCGCCTACTCGTGAATTGGTGTCTCAGATTCACGAGGAGGCTCGCAAGTTTGCTTACCGGTCTTGGGTCCGTCCTGCCGTCGTCTATGGTGGCGCCGACATCAACCAGCAGCTTCGTCTCATCGAACGTGGCTGCGACCTGTTGAGCGCTACACCCGGTCGTCTCGTTGATCTCATCGAGCGTGGACGTATTAGTCTCGCCAACATCAAGTACCTCGTCCTTGATGAGGCTGATCGCATGCTTGACATGGGTTTCGAGCCCCAGATTCGCCGCATCGTGCAAGGCGAGGACATGCCTGGTGTCCACGAGCGCCAGACCCTCATGTTCAGTGCCACATTCCCGAGGGACATCCAGATCCTTGCCAAGGACTTCCTGAAGGATTACGTTTTCTTGAGCGTCGGTCGTGTTGGAAGCACCAGCGAGAACATCACCCAAAAGATCGAGTACGTCGAGGACGCTGACAAGAGAAGCGTCCTACTTGATATCTTGGCATCTCAGAGCAAGGACTCCGGTGATCTGGGTCTAACATTGGTCTTCGTTGAGACCAAGCGCATGGCCGATATGCTGAGCGATTTCTTGATGGGCAATAACCTTCCCGCCACGTCCATTCACGGTGATCGCACCCAGCGTGAGCGCGAGATGGCCTTGCAAACTTTCCGGACCGGCCGGACGCCTATCATGGTGGCTACTGCTGTAGCCGCTCGTGGCCTTGATATCCCCAACGTCACACACGTCGTTAACTACGACCTTCCTAGCGACAATCGATGACTACGTGCATCGTATTGGCCGTACTGGACGTGCCGGGAACACTGGTGTTAGTACAGCCTTCTTCAACCGAGGCAACAGGAACATCGTTAAAGAGCTTGTTGAGCTCCTTAGGGAGGCCAACCAGGAGATTCCCAGCTGGTTGGAGACAGTTGCGCACGAAGCTACGTTTGGTGGCGGTGGAAGCTACCGAGGAAGTAGAGGTAGAGGTGGTAGAGGAGGCCGTGGCAACAGTGGCCGTGATTACAGAGCTGGCGGCGGTGGTGGCAGCAGCGGAGGCTACGGCGGAGGAGGTTATGGTGGAGGAGGCTACGGCGGCCGTGCTCAATTTGGTGGAGGAGGTTATGGTGGTGGCTACGGCGGTGGCTCCACTGGAGGCGGAGGAGGCCAAGGTTGGTGGTAAATCCCTTCGACGCGCCACCTTCGACGACGACGACGATCACCATCCAAACCTAAAATCACATAATGCCCCCCCTTTTTATTATGCTTTCATGCCCCTTACGCCGACGAACGAATGCACCCCATGCAGAACTCATGCGCTATCTCTACTTGTATATCTATCACGAATCATCCCCCCCCCCCAAAAATCCGTCCGACTTAGGTTACTTACATCCTCCCCTTAATACTTACGGCGACGGACCGTAACGGTATATCGGTAGACATTCACACCCCCAGATACCCCCCAAGTACAAGTGCTTTTCGACTGATATACCCCATCGCAGACGGTTTTTTACACGCATAATTAGAGATACTTAGAGTAGAGAATTAAAGGGTGTTTTTTGTACATTGTATCGTTTGTCTTTTCTTTTTTGCTAGTTCGTAGTTTCGTAGTAGTTCGTAGTAGTCGTTATATGTGAAAGTCGTCGTTTATGTTTATGTTTTGAGCCTGTGTGTGCGCTATCTAAGACTAATATAGGTACATACGTAAGGCAAAATTCATCAAGCCTTGTCAGTCTGAGAAATAATGTGTTGAAAATTTACATCATCCCATGAAGGTACATCCACATTGCTAGTTCTAGAGCTGGAATACAGTCCCACCCACTCAATCCGTCCTCATTCCTAAGAATTCTTCCATATTAGCCAAGTATGTACCGAAGTCTTGATACTCCGCTGGTAAGTCACCCCCTTCCGATGATGAAGATACATTGGTGCCTAATCCAATGAGCATGGAAACCGGAAACAATGAATTGAACGGCCTACCGGATACTCCGAGACTGCTACCGACACCTGCTGCCATCATATATTCATCCAACGACGAGCCGCTTGTAGTCAAATTTCCGCAGTCGTAAACTTGGTCCCCCATCATGAGTTCACTGGTATATAACGGTAGAGTCCACTCTTCTGTGTTTCCTACGGGTATCGTCTCCAAGTTCAGTGGAAGATTCTGTTCACCACCCTCGTCGCGACCACGTTTCTTAGTCGGTTCGTTGTCTGAGTCACCGGTAGGTACGTTACTCTCGTATAGTCCACGGATGATATCACTTTTCCCGGGTGATCAACAAACAAAGTCAAACGTCTTCAGCAAAGCACGTACTAATACCGCCCCGCGACAAGGTACCTGTCTTCGTATTTACGCATGACGTTCATGCATTTGAACACATCCTCCATTGCCCTGCTTGGATTCGTCGATAGGCCTAAGCGTTTTCCTCCCCAAAGGTTCAGTAGGAGTACCAGAGCCGAGTGGAATACTGCTACTAATAGGTTTGGAAGCGCGAGCATTCTCGTCTTTGCATGGATATCCACTATATGGCTGCATGTCCTTGCGGCGTTGGCACAGATAGAAAGCGATGGGAAACCCTTGTTCAACTTCCCGGGGTCTTTGCTGGTGCTGGGACTAGGTATGAACCTTCGATGAACTTGCATTTGAACCCAGTAATACGTAGAGTAGAGGAGCGCGGACTGGTCGAAGTGATATTGATCAGGATTGTGTGGATCCCAGCGCACTGTAACAGATTCAGTATAAATGCGTTATCAGAGTAAGGTCCTTACAATAATCAGGAATGGAATCAATCCACTTGTTGAGAGCCGAGTCGAGCTCGATGGCAATATTCTGGTGCCATTCGGGCGTGGATATCGCGTCCCAATATGCAGAACGCTTGGTAGTGTACTGTACTTGGCGGTAAGTGAAATGAACTTAAGGCAACAGAGCTGCTCACGATGGTTATCTGCGCAAAGCTGAGAATATCCAGGAGTTTGATGTGGAGAACCCATGCTTTCACGTCTGCCGGTTTGTGCAAAGGTTGGGTCCATGGGTGATCTGGGTCGGCTAGGACCTCCCCTGGCCAGTAGTCATCATCCACTTCCAAGGGAAGCTCCAGGTCGAAGCTACAGAGAGGATTCACTGGTGAAAATGAAGAGGACCAGACATGTACTTACTGTTCAGAAGTCGTCGCCCTTGGTCTCCCAACAAACGCGCTGACGAAGACGTCTGTGACAACCAGTGCCCAGAAGATTCTTTTCCATTGCTCGTCCTCAATCGTCCACTCTTCCAAGGGTTTGATACGCATCCTATGTGCGCCAACGTCCTGGGCTAATCGTACACCCACTCCGATGAGAAGAAAGCATGCTTCAGGACTCGTCGTACTATACAGGAACAAGACCATCAAAGGGTACAACTGCAGTTCCCATAATGTTGCCGCAGTAGAAAACCTTGATAGATGTATAGGTCGCAATTGAAGATACCACTCCCATCCAGCTTGCGCCAATGGTCCGATACGAGGATCATCCGAGTGTCGCGAAGCAAGTGCACATACCCCAAGAACGAGGTTGCCAAAATCGCGAGATGAAAAATGCGTCCCTGCAGCAATCTCGCGACGGAAAGAAGGTCCATGTAGGAGGAAAAAATGTGCGTTCGTCGTGTTGAGGAAAATGGAAACGAGATGATCTAGAAGGTCCGGAGGGGGAAACCTTAGGGGAGGTACATTTTCTGGAGCTGGACGTTGCCATGGGTAAACTGTCCAGAAGTGGGGTCGGCGAAGGTCAAGAGTAGTTGACGGGGAGTTGCTGTAGGCATTCTTCATCTCTATGGCATTCTTTATGAACATCATGCCGCTTGATCGACCGAAATATCGAACGTTGCTTGTACTGATGGTAAAGCTACGAAGTGCGTCAACGTAATCGTGACTCGACTCGTCAGCTTCTTCGTCTGAGGGCTCAGCAGTCTGGGAAGTTTGTGAGGAGGATGAGGGTGTTAAGACAAGGCTCTTGACTGCAGCAAGATCGGCTTCGAGCTGCCGTACATAGCTCGCGAGGTCAACTAGGATTGCACGGACGAGGGAATGGTCATTTGGAACAACGTAAGGTGTAGTATCTGAAAGGATCGCATCGATATGGACTTGAAGGTCCTCCTTAACGATCTCGTGTTTTCCAGGTAAATTTTGTGTTGTTCGACCCTACGTGGAGTTTTAATTGTAGAATGAAAGGACCACGAGTTGACCAACATACGAACTTTCGCCGACGCAGCGATGTGCGTACATTCCGAACCAAAAGCTACACAGTTCGAGCATTTCCTCCACGGCATATTTGCACTGTCGCCTAATATCATAAAAGCACGACCTTTTGTGGTTCATTGGTCAGAACTTACACCGAACTGACATATCGTCAGTATTGGTATCCAAATTAGAATGAATACGGGTGCGTACTTTTCCTCTGTCTGCAAATGTCACAGGCACCTTGTAGCCGTCGTTTCTTGGGACGAGGAACAGTGGGCCGGTTGCGACGATTCCGACTCTTCAAGCATGATGCACGACAGTTCAGGTGAAGATAGCTTTGACTGACACTGCCACGATAACAAAAAACTACCGTCAGCTAGGTCTGTTCTAGACTTGGCTTGATGTTATTTGAAGAATCAGAGTTACACGCAAAGCATGCCTCAAGCTTCCAAGTAAATTATCAAGAGTCCGAGCTAGGTGGAGGAAAAGGTATTGGGGAAAAATTGAAGGGGAAGGACCGGGCCGAGATAGGCGGTCATTTGAATCTTGGCTTCCTACGTCCATCTTCGCCTGGATACTTACTTGAAGTTGCGTAACAGAAGAATGCACGCTTCCTTGATACGTAATTCATGCAGGGTGTGAAACGTTAACAAGGTTGACCGCTGTGTAGTCGTTGTCTTGGCATAATCCAAATTTCCAGGATCGTATATAGGGCGGTGCTGTCAATCATCTCGCTCCCACAACATGTCTGAACCTGGCGAATCGACGCGCCCAATTCCCTCCAAGCAACGCCGTTTGCAAGGCGCCTGCGACATATGCAGGAATAAAAAGAGTGAGTAGACGCTTGCTTGCCTGGCGACATCAGCGTGCTAATTAAGAGCAGTTCGGTGTACGTGAATCGATGTTGATTACTCGATCGACCCCAGATTTATTCCCTATATACTAGGCGACAGTGCAACCATGCCCGGGAATAAATGCTCGAACTGTATAGCGTTTGGTTCGGAATGTACACATGTTCATGTTATGTCCAAGAAGGTCAGCATAGAATTTCTTTATCCACTTTTTACCTCATCTAAATAACAACCGAATAGACTCGAATACGCATGCATTATCAGCCTCAGCCTGTTCCAGCTCCAAAAACAGACCTACAAGCCCACATCAATGCTATTCTCTCATCAAGTGCGCCCTACAACGTCCCCAATACCCATACCCCAATCCTAATGGACCTTGCGCGCTATGTACGGCAGCTTGAGGCCGACCTTGCTGCGGCCAAGAATCATGCATCACCGCCTTCTGTAGACCCTTCTTCCAGCAGCAGCACTGACCCTGCTTCCTCTGACGAAGAACCTGAAAGCTATGAACTTACTGATGCCCTTCGTCGCTTTACCATCAATCAAAAGGGTATCCGACATTTTGATAAATCCAGCGGCATGATGCTCATAAAAAGTACCATTGAGATGAAACATGCATACGATCAGTTTGCGCCTACAACTTCAACTTTTCGCCGACCCCAGTTCTGGACAATCCATCCATGGCAGCGTCCGACACCTGAAGACCTCCCCTCTCTTAGGTTTCCTCCTCCTGATTTCCTCGATCATTTGGTCGACACTTTCTTCAACACCACAAACATACACCTCTGTCTTCTCCACGGTCCTACATTCCGCCGCGAGATAGCTGCTGGAAGGCATCTCACGTCGCGTAATTTCGGAAACCTTGTCTTAGGAGTTTGTGCATATGCGTCCCGCTACTCGGATGATCCTCGTGTCGGACCTCTTGAACAAGCTGGATGGGAATGGTATCTTCAGCTACGACCCATTCATCTATCGAAGTTCTCAGATTCGACGACGCTCTGGGAACTTCAGCTTTTGCCGCTGATGGTTTTGTTTTTGTATGGGACGACCTCACCTCAGCCTTGCTTTGTCCTTATTGGTTTGGGAATTCGAATGGCCCAACATCTTAGAGCTCACCGAAAACGCCTGGTGACCCTCAAGGAGTGGACAGTCGAGGATGAGCTATGGAAGAGGGTATTTTGGGTGTTGGTGGTTACAGATATATTCGTCGGCGCTTTTGATGGAAAGCCACGGGCAACAACTTCAGAAAAGTCAGTGTCCGGCATCGACACTTTCCGTGATACTGTCGGCTCATAATCTTTTAGCTTTGATATAGATTATCCTTTAGAAGTGGACGAAGAGTTCTGGCCAGGAGAGCCACTTGCTGATCCAGAAAATCCATGGACTCAACCTTCGCACAAGCCCGCTGACGTCGTGTCATGGATATTAAACATCAAACTGCTAGAGATCCTTAGTTTTGCTCAAGTAACAATTGTTTGTCTGTTTTTAGCTCTCAAACGTACTACTGCTTATACGAAGTATAGTATTCAATTAAGCGATCTGGATATTGGGACGCTATATCGACATCTGAATGGCATGAGAACGTCGCCGTCGAACTTGATTCCGCCCTGAACAAATGGATAGACTCTATACCTGATTATTGTGCGTATTCTGCTCCATGTAAGTCTCGACGTTATTGAAAGACAATCTAGTACGTTGGGACCCCCACAAACCGGACCAACAACAGTTCGATCGATCTGTGATCCTGTACTCCACATTTTATTGGGTGCAACTGCAGGTTCACCGACCGTTCATTCCGCGGCCTAGTGCAAAAAAGAGCTCTGGAAAGTTGAAAAGCAACTTCCCTGCACTTGCAATATGTGCCAATGCAGCGAGGTCATGCAGTCATGTTCTAGATGTACACGCGAGAAGAGGTGGAATGGCTCTGCCTAATATTCTGGTGTCTGCTTTCCATTCCGCTCTAGTTCTCCTGTTGAACTTCTGGGGTGGGAAACGCTTGGGGCTCTCAGCGAATCCTGCGAGAGAAGGGGAAGATATCAAGAAGTGTATGGCTATGTTAGGCAGTTATGAGTCTCGGTATCTTGTTGCAGGACGATATCAGTAAGTATTCCTCCTTCATTGTATAAGTATTGATTTCTGATTTATGGCTAAAGTGACATTATTCGCGAATTGTTTGAGAATGGCGGCCCCAATGGACCAGACAGTCAACCTGAACAGAGCAACAAACGTGCTCGTGATGACAATGAAGAAGAATATTTTGATTTCTCTTCTGAAGCGAATGCTAATGAATGGATGCCGCCGCTCCATACTACTGAGCTGATGGGCGATTGGCAATCTTATTTCCAAGACAATGGCGAGTTTTTTGGAGAAGTACCGTCTTTCTCGCATGATTATATGTTGGCGACGGGAGTTGGGGAGGGAATCGGGGTATTTTCAGGCAAGTGGTTTCGTTTTTTTACTGCTTAGTACCGTCGGATTAATGGCATGTATTCATAGATCCTCAGGATATCGCTCTTAGGGATGAGGGTGCCGCCTGGCAAGACTTTGGAATGTACATAGCTAATATGGATGAGTTCTTAGGAATGAGGTAGTTCAGTCAATTATATATATATTTTATTTCTTCGACATTTGTTACTGTACCTGATCGTGTCATTACATTTCTAAGCCAGGAACTGTCAGGAACCAACGATATGATGAAGTACGTGGCTCTGCCGAAGCCATTCGTGTGTGCGTCAGTAGTGCCGGCAAGCTGTGGCAGTGCCGTAACCCTATACCCCTGAACTCTACCACCATGACAAGGGACGAGAACACTGAGCAGCCGGTGCCAGGCTCGAAGAAAAGGCGTTTACAGGGCTCGTGCGACATTTGCAGGCAGCGGAAGAGTGAGTAGTCGGCATCTTTGATTATATCTTCGATTATGTACTAATGCTTGGCATTGTAGTACGATGTAAGTGTGCCTATGACGCCAATTCCGAAGACGCTATCTCAACAAATTATTAGGCGATAGCGCAAAAATGCCTGGCGGCAAATGCTCGAACTGTATAGCGTTCAATTCTGAGTGCACGCATGTAGCTGCAACGACAAAGAAGGTGCGTATTGCCTATTGCTGGTGTAACCATGACTAATACCACATTTTTCTGCAGACCAGACGACGAAGGACCAAAGGAAATGGTACTAATGTATCCCCGAGAGACGATCTCCAAGTTCATATCAATGCTATCCTTTCCACATCCACAAATTATGTTGTTCCCAATGATCCTACTCTCGTGCGCAGCATCCTTGTTGATTTGGCGCGGTACGTACGCCAACTTGAAGCAGAACTTGCTGCAACACGACAAGATTACTCTCGCAGTCCATCTAGCTCGACATCCCCCAAAGGCACCGAGTCCAAATCTGATTTTGACGAAGATGATGATGATGATGAAGACGACTGCATTTATCTCACCGAACCGTTGAATCGAATCACCGTCAGTCAAAGTCGCACGCGTCATTACGGTAAATCAAGCGGGATCATGCTCGTAAAAACAGCCATTGACTTGAAAAGTGCAACTTCTTCCACTTCGACGTTTCTTGATAACCGACGACCAGCGTTCTGGAAGGTCCATCCGTGGCAACAGCCGACTACCGGCCCTTCACCTCCCTTGGTCTTCCCTCCACCGGACCTCATTGATGACCTCGTCGACCTTTTCCTGTCTACCACTAACCGCTGCGTATGTATTATACACGGTCCCTCTTTCAAGCGCTCCGTCTCTTCAGGGTTGCACCATACTTCCACCACGTTCGGTAAACTCCTTCTAGCTGTATGTGCTCTTGCATCTCGTTCTTCGAACGATCCACGGGTAGGAGAAGGGCACAGCGCTGGTTGGCAATGGTACCTACAGATCCGGATCAACCCTCCAAATGCCTACTCCTCACCGCCAACGATCTGGGATCTTCAAGTTCTACCGCTCATGACTCTCTTCTTGTATGGTTCGTCCACACCGGAGCCTATCTGGCTCTTGGCAGGTGTTGGCATTCGTATGGCTCAGGATGTCGGGGCGCATCGGAAACGAATTGTCAAGGAGTGGGGAGCGCAGGACGAGCTATGGAAGCGAGCTTTTTGGGCGTTGGTGATGATTGACACTTTCGTTAGTGCCATGGGCGGGAGGCCTAGGGCGATGCATTCTGAGCAGTGGGTGTCGTGCATGTATATATACGTACCTTCCGCTTACAAAGTTATGTGTGTAGGTTTGATGTGGATTATCCCTTGGAAGTTGATGACGAATACTGGCCTGGAGAGGAATTAGCCGATCCTGCAAACCCGTGGACTCAACCGAGAAACAAATTGGCGATACCAACTGCTTGGGTCATGCACTTAAAACTGCTTGATGTTTTGAATACTGCCCAGATGACGATTGTATGTTCTAGCAACCTTTCTGCACCGTGCCTTTCCAATCTCACAAACTGAACAGTACTCTGTCAAACGCCCCAAACAATGGGAAGCGATTCCCACTACGGAATGGGAGCAAAACATGGTCATTGAACTCGATTCTGCACTGAATAGCTGGATTGATCAACTTCCCGATCATCGTACGTTAGCCGAACATATTGATTTGGACTTGTCTGAAGACCTTTGTCAGTGAGATGGGACCCCCAGAATATGAGTGACACATTTCGGTGTCAGTCCGCCCCGTTGTATGCATCATATTACTGGATTCAGATGCTTGTGCATCGTCCATTCATGCCACGAATTCGCGGGCTGGGTAAAGGGAAATCAAATGGAAACTTTCCTTCCCTTGCTATCTGCACCAATGCAGCGCGGTCTTGTTGTCATATGGTAGAAGCGTTTTGCAAGAAGGGTGGTGTACCAGGGATGCCAAACACTTTGGTACGCTTCTTACTGTCCTATGTATTAATGATTGTCCTTGTTCACAACCGCGAATTAGAGTGCGACGTATCAATCTGCCGTTGTGCTGCTCCTTCATGTGTGGAGCGGAAAGCGCCTTGGCTTATCCACCAATCCCGTACGTGAGATGGAGGATGTCCGCAGATGCATGGCGGTGCTGAGCATGTACGAGACCCGGTATCAGGCAGCTGGGCGACACCAGTAAGTTCCATGAGATGGTTTAAATCTGATGCTAATACATTGTGAACAGTGACATTATTCGTGAACTTTCTGAATTTGACGTTCCCGTCATATGCACCGATGTAGGAACAAGTGAGACGAGGAAACGATCAAGAGAAGAGACTGGAGACGATGGTGACTTTGGAGGTGAACCGTTCAACACGATAATGAATGGAGCGGAATGGGCGTTTCCGATGGATGCTGCGGAGGTGATGGAGAGCCGGCAAAGACATGAACCTCACTCGTATGCGCTAGACGATTATATATTAGGCGCCGGCTTTGAGGGGATAGATGCCTTGGGAACGGGAGACAATATGAATGGTCAGTCTCTGCATCCATGGTATTATATTCATCTGACATATTATACGTAGGGGAGTTATCTCTGATGCCAGACGCAGATTATGGATGGCAGAACTTGGAGGCGTATCTGCCCAATATCGACTCATTCATTGCCAGCCAGGCAAGCATTTAGATATCCGTATACCATAACCAATACCAACCTTTGTAGCCAATGTCATGTTCTTATCCATTGCCTTAATATCTATATATTTTATTGAGGAATTAGTACAATGAATTTTCGTTGAGCACACGAGCTTGAAGCACTGAGGAGGCTGGGGACAACATTATTAAGACTACAAAGTAAGATCTGTGATCCATTCTACGTCGTCCTCAAGAGCACCTAGTGTGAACAAAGGGTATACGCGATTCAGAGGATGAAAATTTTTGGTACTCGCAGCATATATATAGTAAACTTAAGCAACAATAGATATGATATGAAGGGTATGCCACAGGAAAAACATTCACGATGTTGAGAACTTCCTGTCAGAGATGCCGAGAAGCCGGCTGTAGGTATCGGTAACCTCCGTGAAACTGTACATACCCATCTCTGCCGCGCTCGGCACTAAACTTTGTCCGTGTTTGGAAGCTCACCAAAGTTCCCTGATTTCACGACAACCCACAAACACTATCCTCAAAAATGGCTCAACAACGCGGTACGGCTGTCGTCCCAACGTCCTCATTTCATCCTAATGTGACTTTTCTTAGTCGGAGCATCTGGTAACAAATACCGTTTGACTCTCGGTTTGCCTGTGGGTGCGGTCCTCAACTGTGCCGATAACAGTGGGGCGAAATCCCTCTTTATCATTGAGCCATATGGATTCGGATCGCATCTGAACCGACTTCCTGACGCTGGTGTTGGTGATATGGTCGTTGCATCTGTGAAGAAGGGAAAGCCCGAGTTGAGGAAGAAGAGTACGTGGTGGAATTTTATCGTGCAACTGGAGGGAGTCTGACGAGCATTCCAGCTATGCCCGCTATTGTTATCCGCCAACGGAAAGCATGGCGCCGACGGGATGGTGTTTTCCTCTACTTTGAGGTGCGTTCTCCGTTTATCTTCATGTTTCTCGGATGTTCTAAGAGGTTGCACATACAGGACAATGCTGGTGTTATCGTTAACCCCAAGGGTGAAATGAAGGGATCTGCTATCACTGGCCCTGTCGCAAAAGAATGCGTATGCCACGTCCCTTTTTCCGATATTCATTCCTCTGACTTTTGTATAGGCGGATCTCTGGCCGCGTATTGCATCTAACGCCGGTACAGTGGTATGATTGGAGCATGTCGGTCGTAGTCCCTCTTCTTTTGTTATTGCTGTAATACACCTACATGATGCCGCAAAATCCATGTTGCATGCCTCCAATTTTCGACGTACTGTCAAGATTGCAACCGCATCTGTCGTATACAGGTCCACAGCAGCAATATCCAAGAGACTAGTCAACTGTCTGGTTGGCTTCTTGCATCTCGCTTTTGGCTAATGTGGACTCTGTTAAAATTGTCCGCAAATCCTTTTGGGCTTTTGACCTCAGGTCTTCGAGCAGAATTGAGAAGATCAAGCGCCCAAGAAAGATCGACCACTAGTTGTTTTATATATTGGCAGAGCGCCACGAACGTCGTGCAGACTTGGAGAACTCCAAGGAAATCTCGGGGACCGTTCTGAGCAGTTTGAGTGTATCTGTCGTGTGCTCCCCCGTCATGATGGAGAAATTGCCCTTCCGAGAGACGGAGTGCATCGTAACTCTTTGGGAGGGTTTGTGTAAATTTTGGTGTGTAACATTCGCTGGCTGGTGGTTAAAGGAACAAACAAAAGGGCACATTGCCTGAGTTCGACTTTCGGTCAGGACTTCGTCTGAAGTTAAGGAAACATTCTGCACGTGACCGAGCTTTGATTCGCCGACTTTTCAACCGATATCACTGCTTTCTTTTCGCGTCAAACTGATTCGAACACGAATGATTGTATTTCTAGGCTCCTCGATAGAGCAACTGGCTCATATTTGACGTCGTGAAGCCTTATGCAGATGGTCCATGTCAAGCTAAGCCAATATGGCCGCGTCAATGTCTGCCGAGAAGTAAAAAAAAACCCTGGGATTTGTAGATCTGGCTCCTAATTTCATGTAATGATGTCTTCGTTTTCAGGTTACAAACTACGCTAATGACATTTATTACAGGCACAGGCGTCCAAAGCTTGCACATAGGGGCGGTTTGAACACGCATTTTACAGCGGTAAAAGAAATAGGCGGAGACGCGCACTACGATGGTAAGCCTCCACGCGTAACCGTGGACTACGCGTCCAAGCCGCGACACCGCGACATTCTCGACGGATCTGCGGATGTTAAGGTCACGCCGACGAAGCGTCGATCAGCCGACAGACTAAGATCGTCAGAGTTTTCGTCATCCTCCAGAATATAAGTAGGGTCATTTTCCAGACAATGCCCATTCATCTCACTCAACCACCACTATCTGAACGTTTCTTATCATGTCTTTCCCACCTGCACCACCACCACCCACAGGTCTCGGTATCTATCGTGTTCTTTCACCACGAGCGGGTGTACGAGTATCGCCCATTCAGCTCGGGGGAATGAGCATTGGCGAAAAGTGGGGAGCTGTATTCGGTACTATGAGCAAGGAATCCGGTTTCAAGTTGTTGGATGCATATTTCGATATGGGGGGAAACTTCATTGACTCTGCCAATAACTAGTAGGGTTTTCTTCTCGGACTATTCGTTTCGTTGCGTACTAATTTTCCTGCAGTCAGGACGGAGACTCTGAAAGGTTCATAGGAGAATGGGCTGAGCAACGCGGTATTCGTGAACAGCTCATCATTACTACAAAGGTCTGTTCGCTTTTGGCGCATCATATTGTCGCTGACATTCCTGCCCAGTACACGATGAATTATCACAGAGGCAATGATCAGATTAAACAAAAGGTGAACTTCGTGGGGAACAACGCCAAGTCTCTCCAGAACAGCGTCACTACGAGTTTGAACCAGCTGCGTACGTCGTACATCGACATTCTCTATCTCCACTGGTGGGATTGGGATACCTCGATTGAAGAGGTAATGGATAGCTTGCATAATCTTGTTCTGCAAGGCAAGGTTCTCTACCTAGTACGTCTCTGAACACGCACATACCCCGATGCTTATACCGTTCCTAAAGGGGATCTCCGACACCCCTGCGTGGGTTGTCGCTCAAGCTAACCAGTACGCTCGAGATCACGGAAAGACGCCGTTTGTGATCTACCAAGGCCACTGGAATGTCATGGATCGCTCCTTCGAGCGTGAGATTATTCCGATGGCTCGTTCTTTAGGTATGTGTGCGCCCCTCCTAAATCATAATCCATGCACTAAATGATGGGCAGGTCTTGCACTTGCTCCATGGGATGTCTTGTGCGGTGGGCGTCTTCGGACTGATGAAGAAGAGGAACGCCGACGAACGACAGGTGAGAAAGGCCGAGCGAACATGATGACTCAAAGCTGGGAGCGGAACAAAGAAGAAAAGGCTATGTGCAAGGCTCTGGAAAAGGTTGCTCGTGAAGTTGGCGCCAAGAGCATCACTGCTGGTTTGTGTTCCACGCCGTTGCTATCATTGCCACACCCTAAGTCTTTTCTAGTGGCCATCGCCTACGTGATGCAAAAGGCGCCATATGTCTTCCCCATCATCGGCGGCAGGAAGGTTGAGCACTTGAAGGCCAATATCGAGGCATTGGACATCACCCTCACAGAAGAAAATATCGCATTCTTGGAAAGTGCACGCCCATTCGATCCTGGATTCCCCAGCAATATGATCGTATGTGATATTCGTGCCTGCTCATGAATCCTATTTAATCGTGTATAGGGTGACGGAACGAGATACGACTTTTTCGGGCTGAATAGCACTGCGCGTATGGTGAAGCAGCCTGCTCGTCAGGCTATCCGGCCCGCGGACGTTAAGCGTAGCTTGAAAGATTGGGGGGTTTGATGGAAGAAGAATTTGAGAACGCAAGGTAACATTGTAATACTCTGAATAATATATTCGGTTCATAGCTAAGACATTTATGAAAGTAATGCAATTGATATTTGTATCGACTGGGAAGCTCACAGCACCTTAGATTGTGTCGAAGGGTGTATTTGCTGATGCATAGAGTGAGTATCTAGTTATACGGGTCTGTTATGCATGGGGATAACCTAGGAGAATCCGGTTAATGTTCCCTGGCATTCCAGGTTTCCATTACCGAGTCGAAGGCAGTCTGTGAATTGGAATGTGCTCGAGTATTTACGCATATAACTTGATTGCATGCAATGGTACTGAACATTTACCGACACCTCCCACTATAGCAGTAGCTATCTAGTACGTCTGGTAGTGGCGAGGCTGTTCATTCATTTTGAAACCAAAGAGGTGCATTTTTGTGATCTCCAGAGACAATGGCCTCCTGCAGATTATATGAAAAGGGTCCCATACAGCAAATGAGATCACGGAACGTCGATCTTTTCCCCAGTTTACCCGATTTGAGTGTGCGAACAAGCTTGTGCGTAAAGATGCCATGATGAGACCCGGTATCTTCATCATATCGCTCATAATTATCGCCATATGCAGCAGCTGCCAATACTACGTGAGATTCGGTATCTTGTTTCCATCCTGGAACCCATAAGGAGTTTTCACAAAAGGCAGGGAGCCTCCGGATGGTGTCATCGGCAGCGCGGAGCATGGCGACGAAGTCCGAGATAGGCAGCGGACAGACGTTGCGTGTGTCTGAACACGAGTCTAGACTGCAGGACTCACCATGGCTGGCATCCTGGATGAAGGTGATGTGATATCCCTTCTCAACGCATACTTGGCTGAGAATGGCGTCGATCTCTCGGTTGCTGATATCGGGTACGGGCACGCCGCCATCCTGATTGCCACGGTCGATGGGACAGAGCGCTGTGATCATTTTCAGATCCTTAAATGAGATTTTTGAGTTTCCATTGTCAAAATTCCCGGGGTAATGAAAGTGATTATAGCATGAACCGTGCCCGGCAAAGTAGATAATGATGCTGTCGTCCTTCTCGATTTTGGGATTGGTGACGAGATCGCAAAGTGTGCTGATGATGTTGGCGCGAGTAGGGTTGGAGTATTCTACAGGAAGGCAGCGGGCGCAGTGTTTGCCAGAGGGACCGAGAAGGAGCTGGATGCGATCTTTGGGGACGCCGAGATCATTGAGTAAGTAGTCGTTTACTTCTAGCGCATCCGACACACAACCATGCAGTGGATGGCGTCTATACCCGTCAATACCGATAAGGACTGCCCAGAATCTGGAGCCGTCGATGTCGCGAGGAGGCTACAGTGAATGTTCAGCCAATGCCAATGCAGGAACGATACATGCTCACTCTCGCAAAAGCTGTAAGCTCTGAGCGGAGAGTACCGTTTTCGATCCTTGCAATTTTTGAGCGCAAGACGTTGAGCTCCTCTTCCATCTGCATGGCCCGAAATCTGGCTGCGTCTAAGACCTCTACAGAGTCGAGGCCTGCAGAAAAACCGCACTTTTTCGCGAGCGTATCTACTTCGTCAGCCTCAAGCCGCTTCAGTAGAATCTGTAAGGGATTTTCCTGGTCAATCGTCAGAATACCACTGATCAAGATGCATTGGAGGATCACTATTTACCGTCGACGCAGGATCCACTGAAACCATATGGATGTACTGTTCACAGAGTGGTGAGACTTTCCGCTTTCTACTTAGTCAGCGCTTCATGATTTGGAGTTTCTAGAATCGGATATGCAGAAGTTGTCGAAGGCTCCGGTGCTGTCATCGCAGCTGTATCTTGCTCAGGTGTTGAGAGTAGAAAAGGTTGACCAGGAGGCTGGTTCGGGGCGCAAGGTGCTGCCGCTTATTTATCGACATCGGACTTATACGACGTGTCTGCATTCCGATAATGACTCAGGTCTAGCTTCAATTGGCTTTGAAGAGCAACAGAGCACGCGGGATCCCAATTGGGTATCAAAATCTATTTAGGAAGGTGTAAGATAAAGCGCCAAATTTGAGCTCAGATTTACGGATCGTCTTGATCGTAAGTTTGCCTCCCATTCAAGGTGACGATCGATTGGCACAGGTCTATCTCGCCGGTCAGAGCGATTACCGTCCATATTTCCGCATTCACCCAGACGCATCCTTCCGAAAGCCTCCTAGCGATGGAATTTCCTTTCACTATGCCAGATGCATAACGTTTGGGATATCCATAGGTAGGTATGTTGCTTGCGTCAGGCTGCATAGCCAGGTTCTTCTCTTATAAGGGGGTACATCCCCTTTGTAAGTTACCTTACGTTGAAATGATCTTGCCAGCACTCATGCATTTTGCAGGTATCATTCTTTCTGGATCCTCCGTCCGCAGACACAGCAAGCTTTCGACCACCGTACTGCATGATAAATAACGGATCATAAGAAGTACATACCGTGCCTGCACTACGACTACAAACAGCTACATAAGTATGAATGTCAGTTGATTGTCTTAGTCTGCTCTTGTTGCCACAAGGAGCCGTCTTGTGTCGTCTGGTCGTGCCTACTAGGGCCACAAGTTCGTACGCCCTGCTCACTTCTCTCTCGGTTTTTGTTAGTTATCGGAGGTCGGTGGATGGCGAGAAGGGCTACAGTGCATCTTTTTATATCCTTATTACTACGCTAATTAGATATGGCCATAGTACTTCTTCGCAGATCCTCCCCACCTTTAACCCGACCCCAGCCTTCGTCTTCTTCTCTTCTTCTCTCCACCCACCATCCGCCATTTTTCTACGCTAGTGGTAGCTGGCGCCTCACTGTTCTCTTTGGTTCAGACTTCGTCGACCTGAACACCATCCTTCCATTGCCCAGGGTTGCCACCTTTTATCACCTGTGATCGAACTCAGAGGATATTGCAGTCAATGTCCAGGGTCCGTTTGATTCTACCTGGTGTTTTCACCTTGCCAGTCTAATGGTTGATCAGGAAGATTTTTTGAAGGAGGCGCTCACGCGTCATGAAAAGATTGAGGAGGAACTCGCAGCCGGGTTTGGTATGACCCTAGGAGACGTTCTTGACACTGAAGTCGTGGATGCAGCCATGCTGTGGGCCGCTCAGGTGGAGGAGGATCTCCAACGCATACGCTCGAAGATCCGCGTTCTGCATGAGCTTAGATGCATCCGCACTGAATTGGCAGGAATAGACAAGGTAGAACAAATGGTCGTATTCTTTTGGTCTTCATAGCGACTAATGGATGCTATAGCCCCCCCACGAAGTCGACGGAAGACGCTTTTGGGCTGTCATCATCGGCATCGACGCTTATCCTGGCGATTCCGCTTTAGAGGGTTGCATGCAAGATGCATTGGCAATAGAAAACCTTCTGAAAACGAGGCTCCATGTTCCAAAAGAACGCATACGCCTACTCCTCGGCCCTTCTCATGATGACACGTCTCCCGAGCTCTCTGATGCCCGTGTGATTTCTCCCACACGACAACAGATAATATCCGCTTTAACAGACCTCGTTGAAAAGCCCGACATCATGAAGGACGATGGCATCATCATCTATTATGCTGGACACGGCTCAGCATACGCCATCCCCGACGACACATACACGATCAATGGATCTGAAGTCGCTACCCCAAATTTGGGTTTTGTAGAGGCGCTCTGTCCACTTGATAGGTGCGATAACAGCGACACGGAAATCATACCCGATATCAGTGGGCGAGAGCTGAATGTGATTCTGCGACAGATGTCACTGGAGAAAGGTCCCGATATAACAGTTATATTCGATTGCTGCCACTCGGGTAGAATTACTATGACACCCAAATCAACCATTCGCTTTGCAAATCCCCTCACAGCATCACCAACTGTCCTTGGTGCCATGATGACCGCCGCAGACACCTTGCTACGGAGGTACCCCGACCCTGAAAAGCCTAAGGAACAGTCGGTGTGGACACCAAAGTGGACTGCCAATACGGCATCCCACGTCTTATTGGCTGCCTGCAAGTCGTACCAGTCGGCCTCAGAAATCGTTGATAAGTCTGGTCATCATGGTCTGTTCACAGACGCTCTCCTTCGTGCCCTCGAGTCGAGTCAGGTCGAGGCTGGGTGTTCATTTGTTGAGCTCCTGAAGACAATGCCATCCTGGAAGAACCGGACCCCCGTTGTTACAGGCGATCGCAAGCATTCGCCGCTGTGGTTTCGCGAATCGTTGCCACATCCTACAGAGGAGACCCAGCGACAACAGCCCGATCCAGGTATGCTTTCTTGATTGTGACTCGAACCACATTCTAACTGATGATGACAACAATCTTACAGATCATTCCTCCGACTCAAGTGAATCGAGTTCAACTCGTCCGACTGTACCGGCTCGGCGGTTCTGCACAACCTCATGAACCTGGCCTGTGCAGGGTTCAAACGTGAACTGCACCTTCAGATTCAGGTATAGTGCAGGGTCAGTGTTGAAATGGTCATAGCGGGTATGAAATCAAATGTGCGGAATTGATGTAGTACATGAGCGACGGAGTACATAGTCAATCGAGTAAAGAGAAAAGTATACCAAATTTTACTGGTACGAACACGTGATTGACCACCAATAGATACGAGTTCCGCGAGTATCTGATAAAGCGGCTCGCCAGGCTAACGCGAGCAACGAGCTCGAAATCCATCCCGTGGCTGGCATCCTGGATGAAGGTGATGCGATGTCCCTTCTCAACGCATACTTGGCTGAGAATGGCGTCGATCTCTCGGTTGCTGATATCGGGTACGGGCACGCCGCCATCCTGATTGCCACGGTCGATGGGACAGAGCGCTGTGATCATTTTCAGATCCTTAAATGAGATTTTTGAGTTCCCATTGTCGAGATTCCCGGGGTAATGAGAGTAATCATAGCATGAACCGTGCCCGGCAAAGTAGATAATGATGCTGTCGTCCTTCTCGATTTTGTGATTGGTGATGAGATCGCAGAGTGTGCTGATAATGTTGGCTCGAGAAGGGTTGGAAATTTCTACAGGAAGGCAGCGGGCGCAGTCACGGTGTTTGCCAGAGGGACCAAGAAGGAGCTGGATGCAATCTTTGGGGACGCCGAGGTCGTTGAGTAAGTAGTCATTTATTTCTAGCGCATCCGACACACAACCATGCAGTGGATGGTGTCTATACCCGTCAATACCGATAAGGACTGCCCAGAATCTGGAGCCGTCGATGTCGCGAGGAGGCTACAGTGAATACTCAGCCAGGTCCGGTGCTGAAATAATACACAGTGCTTACTCTCGCAAAAGCTGTCAGTTCTGAGCGGAGGGTACCATTCTCGATTCTTGCAATTTTCAAGCGCAAGGCGTTGAGCTCCTCTTCCATCTGCAAGGCCTGAGATCTGGCTGCATCCAAGACTTCTACAGAGTCGAGCCATCCATCCACGCCGCACTGCTTCGCGAGCGCATCCACAGCTTCGTCGGCCTCGAGCCGCTTCAGTAGAATCTGTAAGGGATTTTCCTGGTCGGTCGTTAGAATACTGATCAAGATGCATTGAAAGATCACAATTCACCGTCGACGCAGGATCTACTGAAACCATATGGGTGTATTATCCACAGGGTAGTGAAACTTTCCGCTTTCTACTTAGTCAGCGCCTCATCATTGAACTAGCTTAATAGCAGATTCCGGCGAATCATCGCATCTTGTCCTACATTGCTGCATTACAATATCCCTCTAGTAAATCTGATGTCGATGCTGACCTACCTGATAGTTGAAGGCTAGATCTTAATACAGTTATCAATTACCTGCATAATGTGATTTCCGTTGTCGATGTATTAGCTCGCTATCGACTCAGTGCCTCAGGCTGTGGGTTAGCCCTCTAAGAATGAATTAAAAGAAAGCGAAACAGAGGATGGAAAAGAGGAAAGTTTCACAAGACCTACCGGTGTAATCTAAAATGAATAATTCAGTATTGCTGCCCCGAAGTTGAGGTTTGGTTGAGGTTGAAGTCGGATGCCCTCAGTTTGTTCTTGTTGGTTTTCGAGGCCAAAAGGTCAAATGGACACCATCTGTCAACAAGACCATGACTTCTCTTCTCCAAAGGTTCCAGCAGGCTCGACGCTTCACTCAAAATCTTCCTACCACTATATTTACTGAAGAGACAGTGAAGAATGGCTTCCGTGACCTCATGCGAAGGGCAGCCCAGCCCGTAGCGGTCGTGACAGCCTTGACGCGTTCGGGCTACCCTTACCACGGTGCGACGCTCTCGTCATTCACGTCCATTGCCCTCGACCCCCACCCCCTCGTCGCTTTCTCCCTGCGTATGCCTTCTCGTCTGGCCAACGCGATCCAAAATACACCCCCGGACCCTTCCACACCGCACCTCGTCGTGAACATCCTCGCAGAACACCAGCCTCCCAGGGCAGAAGACTTTGTCAACGCTGAAGAAAACATGTGGGATCGCATACCGCATACCCACAGCGAGGAGGGGATACCCATTCTGTCTGGATCATTGGGGGCCGTTTCGTGTCGCCTCGTCACGTCGCCGATACCGTTGCATGATTTGGAGTTTTTAGAATCGGGTATGCAGAAGAAGTTGTCGAAGGCACCGGTGCTGTCGTCGCAGCTGTATCTTGCTCAGGTGTTGAGAGTAGAGAAGGTTGACCAGGAGGCTGGTTCGGGGCGCGAGGTGCTGCCGCTCATTTATCGACATCGGACTTATACGACGTGTCTGCATTCCGATAAGCCTACATGACCTTTGGGACGAGGGATAGATTTCTTTTCTCTAGCTACTTTTGCCTTCGGCGATGTTCGGCCTAAGCCAGGCTTCTTGAGTCCACCGTGTTTAAGTTCCGGCTAGTCGTTCTGTTACCAGCTAATAAATGCCACACGATTTCTTCATAAATCGCGATGCACCTTGACATTGCTGTTGCCCAGAACAGTGAGAAATAATGATAGGCCTAGAAATTTTGACCAATCCGGCGATATCGTGTTGTTTCTACTGAAATTCAGGTGGGCTGAGATATATTATTGCCAACAGGAAATATTAGTATATAGGTTATACAAGTGTATCATTGCTCTAAAACCTTGTCGTCTAACAGTCTTAAACTTCTTACGATATGTCTATGATTTACCGTGCAGGACCATGCTGGAGAATTTACTGTGTCTACGAATGGATGGTCCATAAAAGAACAGGATCTGCAAAATACTATTAGCGTGAAACCCTCCGGAAGCGAGACCACATACAAAGGGTATGGGAATCATGACAGCGGCTATACACGCAAACAGCGTGCTTGCCCATGTATATCCGAGGTTGTTATACATCTGTGTTGTAAAAAGCGGGAACGCCATCGCAGCGAGGTTTCCTGGAGGAAAAGGCTAAGCGACATGCGGAAGATGAAAGACAAGGAAGCTTTACGGCAAAGGCTCTGACCAGCAAGTGCCGAAGAAGCGAATGGACCGTAACTAATGACCAAGTCATGAACATGAAACAGACATACAATTGAATTGAACGTACGTGTCTGCGAGGTATGTGAACACTGCCTAGGTAGACTATGAATATCGCCCACATGAATATCTAAGCTGATTTAATCAAAGGAAGGATACTGAAAAGGGCGATCGTACCGTGATACCAATGGCAGATGCAATCCACGGCACGAACGAGAATGAAGTCCATGCGTAGATGAACATGCCGGCGGGTAGCATGATAGCCGCAGCGCAGGCCATATACAACCGAGCTTCAGGACCTCTGTGCGGGTAGTTTTTGCTGTCAAGGTATACGTAAAGTCAGTGTTTGAGATGAAAAAAGGCTCAAACTTACTGATATAATTTTTCTTGAACGACGTTTGTCATAAATCCAAGCAAGCTTCCGACACTAGGGACGGTCAGGACGTACAAACAATCGGGGAAATGACGTACATCATGATGGTAAATGCGCTACCCAATTGACCTACATTGAAGTTGTGCAAGTCCCGGAATATAAAGGGTATTGACCTGGCGTGGGCGTCAGTCAGCAATGTCAGCTGAACACGAATAGGCAAACTTACTCGACCAGTGCGTATACTACACCCCAGCAAAATCCAATCCAAAGCTAATCGCTTTGTCAGTTACAATAAAACATGAAACGGGAAACCTATAGTTACACTGAAGCTTGCTACGATGGGCTCCGTCAACATGAGGTCTACACATGTTTGTTCATATCCATCGACATAGAATATGAATGAAAACTCACGGATTGGACGTGTACACGATATGAATATCAGCGTACGCAAACTTGCCCGCTCATCTTCGATGCGTGCTCGATATCGCTTATCACCCGTCTCCTTCCGTATCTTCTTCGCCAGACGGGTGAGAAGGATCGAGGAGCGCGTTTCTTTCATGATGAGAGGCACCAATACGATATACATTCCGCATATCCTTCACGAAGCATGTATCAGCGCGCAATCACTCCATCAAGTAGACAGATCACCCACATCATCTGGATCCATTGGATCCACTTCCATTCAAGCCGTTGGTTCATTTCGATCCACCCGGCCATGATGGGTCCCACGCCTGTGCCTCCGATAGCAGCTATAGTGAATATGGTCATGGGAAGACCTCGGCTAAAGGTGAGCGTGCGCGATCAGAGTACTTACGGGAAGATAGGGACTAGCGCCTACTCTTCAGGGACCCAAATGTCCGCAATTGTTCCACCTACCATAGTGGCCCACGTTGAGCCAAAGCCGCCTTGCAGAAAGCGGGCGATTATCACCGTTTGGATATTCTTTGCCCTAAAGATAAGGTTAGTATGTGAAGGGCTGAAACGCGAAGGGCTTACAAGGCTACCATGATGTACATGATGAAGAAGCCCCCCGCGGACACGATGTACAATGGTTGTCGGCCAAACTCTTCACTGAATGAGGCGGTGAAGAGTGGAACGATACCGAACCCGAGTGTATACGTGCTTAGTCCGATGGTTGCTTGGAACCGTGTGCAGTTGAGGTCCCTTGTCATAGAATCAAACCCTAGATTATACCCAGCTGCCGTTATAGCTGATAAATGATTAGCTAGAGTTCCGATAGAGAAAAAAAACACTGTACCAGCAAGGAGAGTGGAAAAACTCGACAGTACAGTGATTGCCCATTTCCTTTGTCGCGAGAAATTAACGGGATTTCGAGGGTCACCTACCTCAAACTCGACCTAGCCGCGTCCATAAGCGAAAATTACGCGAGATGAAGGGCGTTGACATACGTATAGTGGCTCGACATAGTCTAAGTCAGGTTTCTTCTCCACATCACCAGATGAGGCACAACCCTGTCTTGGATGTACCAGCTGACTTAACTGGCGTGATAGAGGAGCGTCGAGGTCATCCGAGGCGGGTAATATGGTCGTCGACAAGCTGAGTCGGGGGTCAAGACTGGGCTCATCGACGTCCTGGAGCGATTTGACAGCGAGTCCCTCAGGGTGCTCTGGGTCATTGGTAGGACCGCTGCTTTGAGACGGTTCTCCACTGCAGGGGTGCATCGTCGAATGAGAGAGGTATTGCACTGTGGTGGAAGTGAAGCTTTGACATCTGACAGCAGGTTTTTAAACCTCTGACCCGGAGTCCCGTTTTTCTTGACTCACTTTTCCCCTCCAAAGAATTGTTGAACGTTCTATTTTGGGAATTTGTGGGCGAAAGTTGAAGCATACTCCAGGGTTCGGATATGGCTCGGACCTCGGAATTTCGGAATTTCGAGTAATGACCGCAGATATCGGCCCGGGGCGCCAGACAGCATGATAACAAGATATGAAGGACTACGAAGGACTGATTTACATCCACCCGACGGGAAGTCGATAAACCCTGCATAAAGTTCGAAGCCCCAGGTGCTGTTGAAAAGAAAATATTTATGGCAAAGCAGATCTTCGCATCCTGTTATGGAATCGAAGATTGAGCACTGAGCGCTTGGTGCGATAAAACCTTTGTGGGTAAAGACAAGCATCAGATATTCGCGGCGCTGGCAATGAACATGATTCCACAACCTCGTGGCAGAAAATTGAATTTGGTGAGAAACGGCGACTTTCGTTAGCCTTGAATGAATTGTTTCCTCCGTAAATAGTTTGTCAAGCACGGCTGTGAGGATGTGGTAATCAAAGTAATAGAACTTGCTTCGTAAGTAGCTGCCAGGAACTGCCTCAGACGCGCCAGTTTAGCCGGCCAATGGTAAGAAACAAGAGTGGAGTTTGGCTTTGTTGACGTCGCCGTCGGTGTCTCCTTTTCGACGACGTGGAAACCCGAAGTGGAACTTGGAAATGCTCATCCGGCGCTCCATGTACGTACCTGCAGAGGACTTGGTATACGGAGAAATAGCAAATTTCATTCGGAAATGTTCGACAAAGATCGGCTAGGTGCTGCCGTATGGATCGCTGAAGACTTGGGTCCATTTCTACGGATGTTGCGCACTGCTTTGCAGCAGTAAATTGCGTTGTATCGCAGCATAATATGGAAGAAGGTAGGGCTAAAAAAGGGTATTAATTAACATATTAACACTGTCATTAACAGAGCACCCCAACGCGCCTTGTGAATAAAGGTAAATAAATCAAGCTTTGCCAGGCCTATGGCCGCCGTGCTGACTTATTCCACTGCCAGATCCTTGACACTCTACTTCTGCTCTGCTTTCCAAGCACGCCTCTACCTCTGATCAAGTCGAACGACACCACCACCATGATCATGTCTTGGATAGATGCTTTCAAGTTCGTGCGCCACGTCCTTGTTACGTCCACGTCCACAGGTGGTGTCCTTCACGAAGGATTTCACCTGTGCAGTGGTGTTCAGTTGTTACATCCACAGGTAGTGCTCTTTGCGAAGGGTCTCACCTGTGCAGTGGTACTCGGCAGTTACGTCCGCTGGTGGTCTCCTTTGCGAAGGATCTCACCAGTTTGGTGGTACTCGGTGTTTCGTCCGTATGCAGTCTCTTTTTCGAAGGAGCTTGCCTGTTTGGTTGTACTCGGTTTCCGCTTCGTGGTTTTCATGGGTTAAGCTAAGGCTCGAGCACTACTACAGGCATGCTGTTCCATGAAATAGCGGACCTCGTCAGTTATGCTTGCCTGACGCTCGCGTTCCCTTCCCGCAGTCTGTGGTTCCCCGCTTGTCCGTGGATGATTCAGATGCTGCCGTATCTTTCATTGGCTTGCTGCTGAGCTGTATCCCCCTCTCCATCCAGCCTATGGCCCATGCACCATGTCTGAGTCTCTTATGTACTCTTGTTTGTTAGTATGTTCTTTTGTCGTCATCGTTGACGCACATGCCTCATTGCTGGGTTCCATCATTGCATGAGGACGCATTGACGTTGCATCGACGTCCTTTCTTCCTCTCCCATGACACCGCAACGATTACCACACAGGAAGGCTCTCGTTCCTTTGTTTGACTTCTTCCCATACCCTTGCAGTGGAGATTCTGAGGTGGAGTGAATGCTGTCGTCCTCCCGTCCCCCATTCACAATGTTTATGTCGAGATTGAGGACGAAGCCCATGTCTTGCTGTATTGCAAAGGATCTCCCTCCCTGGTAGATTTACGTTCGGATTTTTTCCGTAAATATTTTCCTACTCACCTCCGATTTGTTGGCTCACTTGCTACGTCGCGCCGTACCTGGATATGAAGCCATTCACTCTTCTCGACGCAGATGATATGAAAATCATCGGTTCTTTGGCAAAATGTGTATTTGATGTTTTCCGTATCTTTAGTGCTGTACCCCTATATAGACCTTGATTGATTGCATTGATTATATTCCCCACGTTGTGTCTCTACTCCGCGCGACGCACTCAACAGTGTGATCACAACGGTATGAGCCTTCGTGGCCACAGCGCGTAGCTTGCCATGTTTGGGCTGTGGACCCGGCCGTTCCTTACTGGGACCTTGTGCCGGTACCAATACCAACACCAACACCACCAGACACAAAAAACCATACCTTTTCTCGCCACCCCCAGCACACGATCGAACTCGGAAACATGAATCTCGACCCTTCTTCGTGCGCCAGCTTTAGAAGTAGGTGCTGCACCAACGTTTTCACATTCAACAGAGTCACCAATGGTCATGGAACCTTGTAAACGGTGTCGGGAAACACTTAAGAGGGACTAGAGAGGATCATGAGTTGACTCAGTCCACAAGTAGTTCTGGATTTTTTTAACTAGCATTTGTCGAGAGGATCAGTCGACGCCCTCTGTCGGACTCCTCGGATGGATTCTAATTTTGGGTTGGTAGCTCGTATTGAATAGCGCGATCACTACCATGGTATTTACCCGTTCATTTTTCATCGCCGTACCTCAGTCTTCTACTACCATCATCGACTGGAGACTAAGGTACGTTCTTCCTTTGTTACTTATTTCATTGGTGCTTATGATACTACGTAGATCGTTGTTCATTAACAGGTACTTCTAATACAGTCTTCTACCATCATCGAGCTGAGATCGTTGTTCATTAACAGCATTTTGTTATTAGCTTGCTAGAAAACGCTTTCTTCGTGTGTTATTCGCATCATTTCACAAGAAATTTATTAACTGTTAATAACCTGTGAATAAATGCCCTCTCTTGACCTGATAACATGTTATTAACAGGACCAGGAATTATTAGCCCCACCTCAGTATGGAAGTTCCCTGGAGGGAACGAAAATCGAATTTCTAAATTCTCACCCTTTTCTATAAATACATGCCGCATATGGAACTGCCTCGCAACGACGCCAATTGAGCCACTCCATACTCACCCCTGTCGCCAACGATGACGACGACGACCAACGGATCACTCCTTTCTTCATTCCCACCACCATGGGCGTCGAGGACGATGCCTTGAAGACGCCCAAGCAGCACGACTTTGCTCCCCAGCCTGTTTACCCTCTGCCGCACACGGACGACATTAACCGCGATGAAATTGTAAATGATTCTGAGGCCGCTAGCGATACCACTGCCACCAACACATCTGACGAATTTGACTGGGACGAAAACGAGGAGGCTGTCGAGAAGAACCAGACTGAGGTTCGCGCTAGAAGAGGGAGGGCGATATATGTTGCTTTTATGAAGCTTGCCAGGCCTGTTCGGGCCTTGTTAATTGGTATACTGGGGGCTGGAATATTGATCACTCCCCTGTTGGTGGTGCACTTCCGGTTTAGAAGCAGTCCTGCAAGGATTCATGTCCACGTCTGGTCCCTGTGGTTGACCATCATCTGGGCGGCTGGATGTGCTACATATCTGGTCGTGGATTTACTTCCCCGACTAATAATTGCCCTCGTCGTCATGCTTGGAGGCAAGGTGGAGCGCCTCAAAATTCAAGTTGAGGTACGGACGCGAAAAATAGTTCCTTTCTCGTTCTGACCCCGCATTATCAGTTGGCTGTCGCCGTCTCAGGCTGGCTCAAGCTAGCGCTAGACATATCCTGGGCATGGATCAGTCTATCAGTCATTCGCAGAATCTATCACCCTCCCTGGTTCTTATTGGACTATTGTCAACCGCGTTCATATCTGCTCTATTCGGCGCAGGGATCATCTTCCTCGTCGAAAAACTCGCCCTCCATTTTGTTGCCATCAACTTCCATCAGAAGGCCCTCGCCGATAGGCTGACCGAGAATCAGTTTGCTTTACGAGCTCTCGATAGATTGTCTAATTCTCAACCCTGGGCATGGAACAAGAAGGGTCCCAACGTCAAGAAAGGACATAAGAGTCCTGCGAGCTCTGTTGATCTCAATACTTTGGCACAGGAGTCAGAGAAGACTCGGCCAAAGAATTTCAAAGGCCGCAACAGAAGGAGAAAAAACAAGGCTATGGCGAGCGTCTTCGTGGATCAAGTCAGTGGGGTCATCGGACAGGTGGCGTTGAAGGATTCCAAGTTTAACCGGTCAGGCGAACTTGGGAATTTGCATTCTGCGCGTAAATTAGCCAAGAAGCTTTTCAGCGCTCTCAGCGACTCCTACCCTCCAAGGGAGCATCTCATCGTAGATGGTAAGTTATGTGTTGTGTATTCAAGTGAATTAACTGACAGGCCATACAGATTTCTTCCCGTATTTCCGTTCCACTTTGGAAGCTCAACAAGCTTTCGATATCTTCGACAAGGACGGAAATGGTGATATAAGCAAGAAGGAAATGCGAGAAGCTGTTCAACGTATCTACAAGGAAAGGAAGGCATTGGTAGCGAGTTTGAAGGTACGACCTTGCTTGCTCACTGCATCACCCTGCTCATCTGAGTATACAGGATGCCGGATCTGCGGTGTCCAAACTCGATGCTGTGCTTCTTGCTGTGGCACTCGTCTGCATCATCTTTATCTGTCTACTTATATTCAACAAAAGTGATACTCTATCATCGCTTGTACCCCTAGGAACTATTATCCTGGGCTTCTCGTTCGTTTTCGGCAACTCTGCCTCGACTTTGTTCGAATCGGTGCGAGACTTGCGGTTATCTGCTTCACATTGTTACTCATGTGATGACATTCTAAGCTCATTTTCATCTTTGCCACGCACGTCTTCGATGTTGGCGATCTCGTTCTCATAGACGAACAGGTAATACAGCACACTGGTCCCTTATGTAGCCTCATGCACTAAAATCATTTGTAGCCTCTTTTCGTACGTGAATTCGGCCTCTTCTCGACCACGTTCCGCCGTGTAGATGGTCAGGAAATCGTCGCACCAAATAAACTCCTGGCGAGTTCAAAGTTGGTGCACAACCTGAGGCGTAGTAACTCCATGTGCGCTGTACCTGCTCCCTATATGCCTGGTATCTAATCTAATACTTCCAGGTGGGAAACAACGACCTTGATGGTCTCATATAACACGCCTTTAGAGACTATCGAAGCACTGAAAGCGAAACTCAAGGCCTTTGTAAACACCAACTCCCGCGACTGGTCTGGGTTTGACCTCAACATCGACAAGATGGTGAATCAGAACGCGATCCACCTTATCGTGGCCATGGAACGTACGTGTATCCCGTCTCTTCGGTCTCATCCAGCTAATTCTGGATTCTCTCTTCACTAGATCGACCGAATTGGCAGGACTGGGGAGGGAAGATGGGCTAGGCGGACAGCGTTTATGAGGAACCTGAAGACTATTTTGGAGGAACTGGATGTGGGGTACGCGATGCCTTTGCAGCCGGTGTTGTTGCCCAAGGGTCCAGTCCCTGGGGGTGTGACGAATAGTCCGCCGTTAGGTTTTAGTTTGGCGGGGGCTGCGAATGCGAGGACATCATCTCCTGGTTGAGTTTGATGTTATAGACAGTTTTATCTATCGCTATATCTCTTTTGGACATCTATTGGACCCTTTTTCTAGAGAAGATTTCTAAGGATCCAAAAGACAAGTTGTCGGAGAATGGGGATTCCATTCACCCAGTGTCAGGTTCGCACTTGTGAGGCCTCAAGGCTCTTGTAGACAAACGTCCACTCATTGACGTATACAGAAGGGCTTCCTTACCTAAGTGGGTTGCCAGATGGGAGGGTAACCATAGTTTTTCCATTCATTCATAGGTACAGGGTATATCGCCTTCATAAGATTCCGATGTTCGTCTCTATCCATCTCTAAACTGTTTCTCATCGCTAAATCATTCCCAATCGTCGTTCATGCCTTCGTGTTCTCAAATTCCAAAAATCGTACCAATAGGTTTGCATTGCCAAGCGTAACTAGGAACGACTGTGAGAACGGACATCGCAGGGAGAATGAACGTGAACGTACATAGGCGATAAAATTCGTCCTTGCTCAGGTCGGGTAGTCGTTGGTCAGTGGGACCTATGGTGACACCGAAGCGCTGGTGGATACTCATCAGACTGAAACCATTAAACTCGCATCCCAAAAAGCGTACCTTTGGGTGTATAGTATGCGCCTCACGACATCGTAGCCCCAAAGCCGCAGTAGTGACATCCATGTCATGCTCCTCCAGATACCGCCGGAACGCGGGCTCGTGATCATAGAACGCATCCACAGACTCAATCATGTGCAGCAACAGGGGTGATCTCAAACCCTGGTTGAACAGGCTATTCGGTTTGGGCTAAAAAAAAAAACAATGAGCGGATTTGGGTGAGAGGTGAGATTGAGGGGTCGAAGGATACTAACCAGACCGGGAATATTGCAATACTTCTTCATTAGCCATTCGACTGTGCGCGGATGAGCCTGGGCGGAACCATCTCGGCGACCTGCATGCCACGTTTTCGAGTGGATGAGAATCGCGGAACATTCATTCTGCCTGTTCAACAAAGGACCCCAGTCGTTCAAGCATGCTCTGATACCCGCAGAGTCCATTGTATTTGAGGCATCCACCCGGTCAAAGCAAGGTCCCTCAAACGCCGGTACAACCCCAGCGAACAACCCCTTCGATAGGATCTTGGCATCGAACTGCGTGAGGTGGAGGTGGATATTGAAGTCCTTCATCCTTCTTGCGAATTCGCGGAGCTGGTCTTTGACGTGGAAGAACAGGCATCCGAAGATGTCAGCAAACTCCACACCATGCCTTTCGCCAGACAGCTGAACGGCCGACATGTCCCAGCCACATAGAGGGTTCGCAGTTCCTGATGACAACCAATCTCCATTCACTGAGAATAGCAATCTGGAAGAAGATCAGTTTTTTTTGGACTGATGGACAGGGAACTCGTAGCATAACGCACCTATTCGGGTGCATAAATGTATTCGTGTTCAAAGAAAAGGGCGCTAGAACGCCAGTTTCTCGAAAACGTTTCATAGCGAGTCGGTGTCCAGGAGTTAGTTTTGATAGCAACCGATCATAGTCATCCGACCTAGAGGCCTCGGCAAACGCTCTGCGCATGGATTTTAGTGCCACTGATAAGTCGTAAGAAGACCTGAACATCTCCACGGGATGTTTGATGCCCGCAGACGTCTGTAATGAGTTCATCTTCCCTGAGCCTCGAGTAGAGAGGACGACGCGGTAAGATATGTCCCCGTCAGAGTTGGAGCCATAGACGTAGTCGATACAACGCTGTACAAAGGAAGCGCCGGCGGCAGGAAGCGCTGCGGAGTACATGAGGTGCGTGGCGAGCTCAGCCGCTTCATCCATGGACGGGCCAGAGCCAAGAAGTGCAAACAGGATGATGAGGTTTCTGTTCACCACGATGGGATCGACGTCGTTGAGTAAGATGTCGCACTTTCCCTTATAATGCTTGGGCAGGCCATTAACCGTCTCGACAAGGTTGCGAATGTCTCCTGAGGCTGATGCAAATGTCAGCATTGCGTACGCTACAGTAAAGTGGACATACCAGCAAAGCACAATTTAAAGTTTCGGGATATCGCCTGGTCACCCTCATTGAAGTCTAATCGCAAGATGTCGACAGCGGGGACATCTCCCCAAAGGTGCTGGGTAGATAAGTCTTTAGAACGAAACCTTGGCTTCCTCTTTTCTAGTATCCAAGCCGGTTGCCAATCACGCTTGAGGTACAAGTGGTTACAGGCCATACGATGGCGAGGCCAATGTTGCTTTTCACATCGCTCGGAACAATACTGATCGAAAGGTGAGCCGAGTCAGAAATTTAGGGCTGAGTTACCGACTTTGACGAGAAAACACTGAAATCAGGTCGGGTCGGCTATTGCTTGAATTGATGAGATTGAGCCACGTACCCCTGCACAAGACATTAGTCCCGGCTCCACACAGCCCTTGTACCCGTGCATCCAGCCGCTCTGATTCGCGCACATTACGCCAGATAGTGTCCCTCCATTGGGATCCGAGCCCATCCCAAAGGACATGAGGCTTTCCAACGACAGCAGCCTCGAGCGACGAGGGAAAATGTCATACTGCAAGTCGGACATGGGCGCCTCAGGCTCGGGTCGTTGGAGACGGATAAGCATAGACTTTGCTCTGTGCATGTCGAAGAGTAATAGTTAGTGCTTAGTAAGGTGGGAGATGCATCGATAATGAATTGCCTGCGTACAGGACGACGCCGCAAATAAACTAATGGAACATCCGCGGGGAACGTGTCGAAGGGCGGCATTCTTCGAGAACATGCAGAGCGCCGGTCTTCTTCGATGGTTACGTCTACATTGTGTCAAAAATGCTGCAAGGTCGCATCTAGTCGGTGTTAGCTGCCCGACATCGGAGGTTAGGTGCAAGGTATCGCCAGAGTATAAATGGCTTCACCGCCCGGCCCGTCTACTCCGGTATAGCAAACCCAAAGAGGTCGACGACGGCAGGATCTCGAGAGTAAATCCTTACAGGTCACCCGCTCGTGTACGCCAGGTAGTGTCCAGTAATACATGCATACGCGAGGGTTTCATTTCATCTTGAATAATGTCTATTCTGTTAAAACAGGCGCAGCGGTCGAAGGAAACGTGGTTGAGCGGTTCGAATGAAGGTATTCCAGAGTAAAATACGCAGGACGTGGTGGTTGTGGTCGCAGGTACGAAGTCAAGTTACGGTAAAATAAGATCAAATAGTGTGAAATAAAAGCGCCACAGCCGTCTCACTGGTGGCTGTGAAACCTATCTTCAAATTATTCTACTTCAACATGCTCTAAAAACGTCTTCTCTTTCCTACGCTGTGGATGCCTTGCACCGATGGGCCGTCTTCATTACTGCAAGCTTGCCCGGTGACCTTCTCCATCACTACACTCGTCCTACGCTTCTTGCTAGCCACTTGAGTCCCTTCGCCGATATACTGAGTTGGATCAGCAGCACAGTCGCCGTCGTTCTCGGCCTTCACAGGTAGTTGACGTGGCCTACGAATGATAACATTTATAGGAGGTAGGAGTTGGGTCTCGCCATCGTACGCAACTTTTGCAGCAGCTTGGAAGGCCTCAGACAGATCTAGCTGGGGTTTCGCGGGATGATAGACAATGTGGAAATGTTCATGCTGAAGGAAATCCGCCTGCTGTTCTACTTGGTAGTAGAGATAACTTATGATGTCCCGTATATGAAAACAGGCACGAGCGGCAGGTTGGTAGTCAAGAGGAAGGGATTCCACCGCATCTAGATCCTTATGGTCGACGATGAGTGCAGTTCGAGAAGATCCGCCGTCGAGGTGGCACGGAAAGAAAATGTCCAACAACTCGCGTTGCCGGTCGCATTCTGTGCATAGGTGTAGGCCGCTGGGATAGTCGAGAACAACACATGAAACCCAATCCAGAACAGAGATTCGATATCATGTATGTAGTTGTGAAAAAATCGTTTGACCAGTTTCTGTCCAAAGTTTTCAAACGATCTTGCCGGTTTATAGAGGAGGTACGTGGCTGCCTGCACTTCCACAGCCATGTATCTCGGAGTTCCCTATCAACGGCTTGAGCTTCAGGTAGAAAGCTAAAGAAATACACACGCACTGTTTTCGGATCCTTTTTCGACCCGAATAAGAACCTTTGCGCGTATTCAAGGTCGGATATCTTGGCTATTCCATTGCAGAGGAGTATGTTCTCGGCAGAGATGTCACGGTGAACGTAATGACCCAAGAAGAGATAATAAAGACCTACAAAAGACGAGTTAGTATAAATGAAAGATAAGAGCGGACCGTGTGACCTTTCAAGGCATCTCTGAGAGCTGAGAACAGGATATTGTGATGCTGAACGTGATAAAGGGGCATACCGACATCTGCGAATACTACACGGACATGCTTTCTGCCTTTGTGAAGACATTGAGTGTGTGAGGTATCGCCAATGGACTCTACAAGTGCACGCACGAACACCGCCATGTCGTCATCATCGTTTCGTGAAGTCCGTACCACTTCGCAGTCCAGGATGTTCATAAAATGCTTTCGATAGTCCTTGCTGATGCCTGGTTCATTTTCCTCAATGCTGCGAGAGATGTCTTGCTGGATTTCCAGTTCAGTTTTGGCATCAGAAGGTATCCAGACATCCTTTAGTGCGCGTTCTCGGTATTGAGGGTCGTTGAGCTGGAACGCCTTCCAAACCCGGGTTGCGCGAGTTGCCACGCTATTGGTGCGGAAGGAGCTAAGACATTCGACCGTTCGATACGTGTTCTCGCCGACGCGATAGTCATATTAAATTGCATATGCCGAGGGATCCTCGGGGAACGGATAGGCAACACGAGTCACAGATAGATCGAAGCCAAGTTCCTCCTCAGTTGCGAATGTCAGCGAAAGTATATAATGGATGAGGTGAGTGTAGTCCTGTATATGATTAGCTGGTGCATTTACGGTTAGACATTAAGAGGTACCTTGATGAAATTGAACGACTCGGAGACAAGTATAATAGCTCGTGAGAAGAACCAGAAGCTAGCTTGGGTATTTTCAATCGTCGTCCCAAACATGAAACGACGGGTAGGGTCTGCATGCATCACCTCAGTCGTATTCTCTACCAGTTTTGCGATGTTCTGTTCAACAATTCAAGGGAAAGATATAAATAGCGAAGTAACAGGCTTACATCATTCTTGTTGCTAGTATGGTCATTCCGCGAATATTCTTCTAGCGTCGTCATATTATAAGTCATGATATCCTATCATCGAGACGGACGCGTAGTGAGCAGAGTTTGATCAGAGACGGCAATGTCACTAACCGGGTCTAAGTCAGCAGACATTGACACATCGACTACCATCATGGATCTCGCGTCTTGAACATATGTTGGATGCCTAGATTGCAAAAGTCTGTAGTATCCATCAGGGACGAGTGATCCATCGCACTCTTTCGAGTCTGAGACAGCCGGCTGATGAGCTCTAGTGCATTCCATCGCAGTTGTAGGGTTTCGATATCCAGGAAGGACCTGCTGAGCGGCTTTGACAACAGCCGCAGCAATGGCTGCCATACACATGAAAGTCTCCTGTTCTGAATTTTCGCTGTATTTTGGATCGACAGGAAAGTCAGCCCACCACAGTCCAGAATTATCGTCAGTAGCCGCCAGTATTCCATCATCCCGGAGAATAGCTATGATGTCGTCTATGTGATCAAGATAGGCAGTATGAGGAAGCACGAATTTTTCAAAGTACTCCAAGGAGACCTCTGGAATCCTCCCAAGTTGTTGGATTATATCTGCTCTGTACTCCGACATGAGAGTACAATGCCTCAAGCCAATTGCAGAAGGCACTTGGGTGGGTGGTTCAGTATAATGGAGGGAGGTGAGAGACAGGAGGTCTTGTAAGTTTAAGAGAGGTTACATGAATGATGACATAAACCAAGTAACTATTTTAAGTTCGAGGTGAAACGGACCTAGCCGAATGCAGTAGACGATGCCGGTATCCCGTATTCGCGCACTGTCTCAACAGCTTCCATCACAACATGTCCTGAAACCATGATGTCTGAAGAGATGCCTACCTCCTGGAAATCGCTGGCATCCTCTGCATCCAGCCGTTTAAAGGGATACGTCGCGCAGAAGGACCTCCGGGCTCGGAATATTACACTTCAACGGCGACTCGGCGTTGATACTGAGAACGGGCAATCTTGGAAGGAATGGGCTGGACAGAAGATTAGCAATATTAATAAACTGTCATATAATGGCAGCCCAGGAACAGAGAAGATTGCTCTATTCCCTGGATGGGCGGCGAGGAGATACTTGTCCGACAACCATGAGAAAGAAGGTGCGAATTCATATTCTTTCTTTTCTTTCGGGTACTAAATAATTATCGGTCAGGTCCATTCGAGGTTGACGTCTACATCTCGGGATTTGCTTCCGTCCATAGGTCGCAGGAGTCAGCAAGTCGGTCTCAGAAGGCCTTTATGAGTCTAGCAAAAAGTGCGGTCAACCCTTTTGCCTGCCTTTCTTGTTGACTGGTATCATCAGGTTTTGCCTCGTTGCCTAAGCTAGAGTCGGAAGGTCGGGCGGAGGGCTCGTCAGGCCTAGCCAGCGCTTCTACTGAAGAACTACTGGGCACCATCAAGCTACCACCTCGGCCGCAGGACATCACGGAGGAGTTCGAAGTAGAGGCACTCGAGAGACAGTTTCAACGACTCAATCAGAGCCAACCCTCTGTAGATCTCTCTTCTCTGCCCTCTCGGTCTTCCTCATACGACGTACAACCTCCTGCTGACCGTGACTCCATGACGAAACTATCGGGCGACCTGCGCAAGTTTCATGCCAATTTGGAAGCTAGGCTGCAGCCTTTTTGGTCCTCGGTTCTTGCCAATCGGTTGGTGAACATCTGTCTCTTTCCAAAACCTCTCAATGCCTTGGATGATCCAATGAGCAACGGTCCTATCGCATCCCAGGACGTTCCTACGGCGGCAGACGGGAGTTTTCAAATGCGGTTCACCATCAGATGGGAAGATATGTGTCAGCATCCCGGCGCGCTTCACATAGCATTCGGTGAATCTAACGTCGAGCATGAGCTGATAGTTGCAGCTCGACTTCTGCCACCACCATCACCCCCTAGTACCTCGACGGCTATGGATTTTGTTGTCCCAAAACCTGTCTCGCCGATAGTCACTGCTAGAATCCCTTTGACCCACTGCCCTATTCGTGTTATATCGGACATCGATGATACCATCAAACACTCGGACGTGCCTGGAGGTGCACGCAGTGTTTTCCGCAACGTTTTCGTCAAGGATCTGGATGACCTTGTTATACCAGGAATGGGACAGTGGTATACCAGGATGTGGAATAAAGGTGTCCGCTTCCATTACGTGGTACGCGTCTACCTCCTCGTGTGACATCAATGATTAATGAACCTGTCTTGCAGTCAAATGGCCCTTTTGAGTTGTTACCTGTTCTAGGGGATTTTCTTAACATCGCCCACCTACCTCCAGGTATGAGACTACAGCTTTTTGCGGAATGGACTGCTGATTAACCTCAGGTTCGATAAAACTCAAGTCCTACGCAGGCCGGTCCTTATTTAGTGGCTTACTATCGGCTCCCGCTGCACGTAAACGTAACGCCGTTCTTGACATTCTAGACTCATTTCCCCACTCTCGTTTCATACTCATTGGTGATACCGGCGAGCAAGATATGGAGCTTTACGCAGAGTGGGTATCTTCATAGCACGTGAGGATTGAAATTAATGGTTACCCTACTTCTAGGTTTGCCAGTCAGAGACCTGAACAGATTCTGGCCGTGTTCATACGACATGCGCATAATGGAGAACCTCTCGAAGATCCAACGGGATCACACCCTACAGGGGAAATCGAGTTACGCTCTGCACCCCCAGCGTACGGTACCGAGTCAGGAACTATGCGTGCTTCTCGACGTTCGACTTCGGGAACGTATTCTACGATGTACGCCGTTCGAACGCCTACAACTTCCCGCAAAGAATCGAGCCAGGCTAACAGCGACTACTTTGCGTATCCTCTAACTGACGAACCGGATTCAATCGCTGAGAAAGAGTCGTCGGGATCAGGATCGTACTTCTTGTCAAATCCCCGGACGCCTTCTCGTCTGACAGAGGCGGAGAGGAAGCAAATAGAGCTGCAGATGCGCGTTTATAGTGCGAGAGCGATGATCCCGAAACATATACCTTTTCGCGTATTCAGATCTCCGGAAGATTGTGTGGAGATGCATCAGGTTTTGTCATAGTTGTATATCATGGACGGTTTGTTCTGTATCGTATATTATCTTTCATTATTTGATGGTTGGGTTGGGTTCACTTACGAAATTGGGTGGACAGAGGCTTGGATTTAATACCATGGACGGTGAGATAGAATGTATAAGAGCCTTCTTTGTTAACGGTGCAGCTGCAGCTGCTTGCGTTCATCCTTTTGCATATCAGATCCTGCGGATCCGAGTCCAGATTTCAAGAATTAAAGCAGCGGGTACTATGTATCAGGAGTTTCACATGGGGTACAGCGCAAGTTCGAGAGCTCAAGCGCTCAAGGTACCAATCGCTTGAATTTCCATATGATTATAAGCTGTTCAGAACGCTCAAATTTGACATCGGAAACCTCATATTACACAATAATACAGGGATATGTGGTACTGATATAACCAATTGAGTCCAAGCACGAATACAAACAAGCGGTCTCTGCCGTTGCAACGACCCTTCATTCCAGCCTACATACGCAGTACGAAAGCAAAATACTGATACAATAGATGTCGATTCCATGATATTCTTCCAACCAAGTCATATATAAGCATAGTGTGTGTATGTCAATGCATAAGAATAGTGGGCGTAGCGAGTGTCGTCAATGATAAATTAAGCAAACATTCGGTCAGAGACTCCATGGCAATAAGATAAAGGAGAAAGGAGAAGAGGGGGATCGAGACGTGAGTCTAGTTCGTGAATGGGAACGAGAGGCAAGGGCCAGCCTCTACAGTCCCCGATTTCTCAGAACTCGAGCACGGGCTTGCTCCATGGACTCCCTAAGCAGTGGACTCTCCGACACTCGAGAGTCGTCACCAAACTTGAAGCTACTGGGAGTCGACATGAACCCGGCACCAGCGTCTCTCGAGTGAGATTTTGACCCAGCAATCGGGATTGGCTGCGACCCGAGGTTAAATTGTGACGTATGAGGGGGTGCAGAGGGGGGTCCAGAAGAGTAGGATGGTGGTGCGATGATGTCGTGGGGCCGCCGTTTTCGTGGAGAGGCAGATCTTCGTGATGGACGTGGGGCACCGTCTTCCTCCCAGTCGTCATTGCCATCATCCACTTCGTCTGCTGGATCTTCGCTCATGACGACAACCTCTCTACCAAGTGCCTTTTTGCCTTCCTCAATGAGCCTGGAAAGTTTGTCGCCAATCCAATCCATCTACAGCTATAGTTAGATGAAGTCAAAGCTTGATCAGATTAGTCATACCTGATCCTCTACACTGTCTTCTGGAGCAGGACGATGTGAGGTGGAAGGGAAGATAGGAGCGGGTTGTGGTGGGGGAGATGTGTATGCGCTGGCCCGTAGCCGTGCTCGACGAAGGCTCTGCGTCCGTTTGACGGAGCCAACTGCGTGCCGTTTACGTCGCGGAGTGGAAGGCATGACACTTAGGGCCTTGGGTTCTGCAACAGGTTCCTCTGGTGGAGGTGACCATTCGCCCTGTTGATAGGGAGGTGGTGGTGCAAGTAGTCGTGCTGGCTCCTTGCCGCGGTCTCGCCACCTGCAAGGCCACTTTAGCTGCGTCTGGCGATGAATGTGAATGAACTGAACTCACAATCGATAGACGGTGATTCCCACTGCAGTCCCTATCAATGCAGCACTGAGAGCGGTTGAGACAATAGTGCCAGCAAGGCCGCGACGACGTTTTGCAGACGGTGGGAGTTCTACATGGATAACAAAAACAAGAGAGGGCATTAGCACAAGGCCTTGTCAACAACGAACGTGAGAGAGATGAGAAAGATGTACCAGGGGTGCTCGCCATCATATATCCAACCACAGCATGCAAGGTACACGATGTGGCATGGGCCAGAAGCTGGACTGAAGGCAGCCCTTGATTGCGGCAAGGCAAACACATGCAATGAAACAGAGACAGACTGAACTGAAGGATAACGGGTAACACACCTGCCGCCATCGCTTCAATTTCATGAAACTCGTCCTGCGTCAGCTCCGCCATGTCTCGGTATTTTGAAGGGGTGTCAAGATATCCGCTTGATGATGCCAGAGTGGTGGTAGAGAGGCTCGGCTCGGCAAAAGAGGGCTCCCATCCTCTCTTCCGCAGTACTTGAGGAACTGGTGATGTTGAACGTGTCGGTGGGCGCTGTCTATGGACGCTCTTTCCGTTGTTGAAACCTTGTTCCGGTACTGGAATCGGCTGATCGGTAGCAGAGACACTAGAAGACGATGGAGCGGCGGCTTGGGCAGAAAATGGATTGGTTATGCCGGGAACGGATAACTTGAATGTGAAGGGAAACATAGACATCGGGGTTGCTCACGCAGAGCACGCGACGATAGACGACGGTGGTATCAGGTTGAAATCTCGCAACGAGCTCATTATTTGCCTTGGTCGGGACAGATAAACAAGCACAATGCTTAGCACAGCCATGATCGGCTGATCCTATGTTTACTACTTTTCGTCATTTCGGTCTTCTTACGGCTTGCCGCTCACAATCCTCTGTTAATTCTTTGTGCTGTATTTATCTGCCCAGAGATCCTCCTCGTTATCAATGCATGTTTACGGAGAATCCGCACATCTTGGATGTTTGTGCTGCTTCAATTCCTAACGTTTCCTTCAAGTTCTACTTCTCCATTTCGACTGCATGCCTGCTTAGAAAAATACATATTTATGGCTGCTGGAGGTATCGCTTGAGGTCTTGCAAGCTGTCATAAAATCCATACTATCTGAGAGCCTCAGCTTGATCATAATGCCAAATGGTAACTAGTTACTAGTGACCACTGACGAATTAATTACAAGTACTTGACGCGTCACTCAAAGAAAGGACCCTAGTAGTTGACATCTATGTTTTTATAAACTTCGAAACGCTCGATCCACGCTGTATTCTCTGTTAGTAAGTCTAATCGACCACAGACGGTTAAAAGGCCGGTTAAACGCGTCTTGTCACGTGCTCAGCGGGACCGCCGGGTCGACCGTCGGGACTTCGGATCTTAAGCTTTACGTCTTGCTCGACCGATCTGAGCGCCGGGAGGGAGACATTACTGCACATGAGTCCGTAAAGTATCTAAGTCCGTTGTGGTAGTTTAAGTCCAATAAAGTAACTACGTGTCCAATGTCCTAGTAATGTCGAGGGTGGGTGCGAGAACACACGGAAAGCTCTGTCAGGTCAACGAGAGCATATGGTAAGCTAAGGTTCACTACGAAAGAAAGAGAAAACGTACCTGGCAGGTCAACGAGAGCGATAAGGATTCTCGCCGATTCTGCCAGGTAGATATAGTCCATTGGAATGAGACACGGCGAGGAAGCTAGATGCCCGTTAGCTTCCGCTGTACCTCAGTACTGTGGCTCGCACTCACTGGTGAGACGGCTGAGACTCCCGGGGGGAGGCTCCCGTGGGGAGGCTGAAACCGCACATCATAGATATGGGAATTACGTGCTGAGGAGCGGCCGACGCCTGTAGAAAAGCGTGAGAAGCAGAGGGAGACCCGAGTGACGAGAAACCCGTACCAATTAGACTTGTGTAAACAAATTTCTTTAAACCCGACTAATTGGTCGACGAGTGTCCGACTTATCGTGCAAGTTTACGGAAAAATTGCCCTTCTGGGCACAAGTCAAATTGGGGGAAAACCGGGCACCGCATGTATGAGCGCTATATGGTAATAGAACTGAAGTGCATGGGGAATGTACGTGGTGGCTGTTAGAACGAGGGCGCTCGTGAGTCGATCATCGCTAGCAGCAAGACTGGGTTTTTTCGGATGTATATTCTGAATGCGTCTGAGGACCAACGACCACGCGCCTGTATGAGGTATGGGAGCACCCCTCGCTCGGCCAAGTCTGTGGCACCGCCAGCCCGCATGGACTGGCCAGCGATCTTCTTGGTCGGGAAAATCTGGCGCAACCTCCTCATGAACCAGGAGCGCATCGGGACAGCACCCGTAGCGGTTACCCACAGTGCCAGGTGAACAAGGTGTCGATCGTCCCTGCGTTTGAGATAACGCCGGAAAACAGGGAGGGGGTTGACGGTGGGGTCGTCGTCCTCCGGGATAATGACCTTATTCCCTTCAAACAAGGTGTCGGCTTTGTGCGCTGGCAGGAGGAATGCGTAACCCTCAGAGAGCCACTCCACTGTCGTTCTCCGGGTGATCTTCCGCCAATTGCGTGCTTTTTTCGCATCTGGCATGCTGAGTTCTGCGAGCCGAAGAAGGCCATTGAATCCGGTCACTAGCAGTGCGAGGAATAAGCAGTCATCATAGTCGGTGGATTGGCCCAGGGTCTTGATCGCATGACGGATGTTGTCGCGAGAGAGAGGGGATTTCCGCTTGACCTCTGAGCCTTTCAGTCTTTTGCATCCTTTAAGTGTGTGGCTGACCATTGGAGAGTTTCTGACTTCGCGGACGTCGGGGAAGATATTTTCAAGTCGGTTACATATTCCAGACAGGTATGAACTGACAGAGTCGGGCTTGATATGGGCAGACATGAACACGACATAGTAGCTGAGCGTGTCTTCGGTTGGTTTCACGGGGAAATTGTGGATTTTGCAGAAGGTGATGTAAGAGTTTAGCGCAGAGTTATATGGTCCCAGGGTTGATGTGTCAATAGCGGAGCCTAGAGCGAGGCACCGCTCGTGATGGAGTTTCTCCAGGGTCCAGGGCTCACGAACCCTCTGTCTGGACCCGGGAGTGACGTCTATCAACATCTTGATGCCCCCAGCATGTCGTGAGGGGGTGAGAACGGCAGGATAATGAGATCGGGCACAAGATCCCGGGCCTTTGAGAACTGTGAACGCGACAAAGCGTCCGCGACATCGTTCTCTGAGCCCGGGATATGAAGAACGCGCAAATCGATGCTGTGAGTGATCATCACGTCGACGGCGGACTTCAGTATGGGATTATAGGTGGGGGACGCCTTCAGCGAATTAAAAATGTCGACGGTGTTCGAGTTATCTGTCAAGATCGTAACTCTCTTCCTCAGCTCTGGCGAGAGCGTCTCTGCTATCCAATGAATCGCTGCACATACACACAAGGCCTCGAAAAAGAAGATGATTTCTTCTCCATCCGGCAAGTCAGGTGTCAGACACACAAACCCGCAAGCGATTTTCGGCACCCAGAAGCCCATGCCGCTCAGGCAAGCGTCACAGAGGATAGTGACAGTAGCATCAGATAGAGGATCCCAGTCAAACTCGTCAAAGCAGCACACTCCGCTAGACTTTTCAATATGGTCTGCAAGCCAGCCAAGGTCATCCTTCACCGCGGCATTGAGACTAATTCCAGCGAAAGGATTCGTCTTCCCCTCCATCTTGGCATACACGTTACACAACCCCGGCTTCAGGAGGGGGAACACATTGAAAGACCAGTTAGACCATCCCGCAATCTGCTGGAATTCCTGCAGGTTGCGGCGGTTTGACGATGCGAAATGCCGGATAGCGAGTACAAGCTCAGCTTTGGAGTCCTCGGGCATGGTTGCTGTCATTGCGTTTGGGTCGACGTCGAATCCTATGACAACGAGTTGCAAGCCAAACAGCTGCTTAGGCTTGCTATGGGGAACGCCAAGACGGTCCCACAACTTGAGTAGTTTGGTCTGCTTCGAAGGGTAGAATGCGTCGTATGGTTTGTAGTACTCAAGCTTTCGCCACTCATCAAACCCAAAGTCGTCGTCCACGTAACAGCCTAGATCCTTGATGTTCTCGATGTTTATGGCTATCCAAGTGATGAGGCCATTGACGCTGTACCACACGCGGTAAGAACCTCTCCCTCCAAAGTTGTTATTACAGTCGACAGTCCTGACCAGACTTTCAACCCCACCAGCAGCTTTCTGCTCGCTGGTGAGATATCCTGTGGTCACAACCTGCTTGAGCTGCCACAGTGGGTGCATTGGACACAGCCGATAGGCCTTTGAGACGTCGGACTTGAAGACCACTAGGACCTTTCGTGTGTTTTCTGGCGTCTTTCGTCTGTACCGCAGAATCGCAGAGAAAAGCATGTGCAGGTTATCCAGGCGAGATCCAGCTATATCCGAATGCCGGATCATCCTGTTGGGAGCGTAGGGACCCACGGACATGTTTGAAACCATCCTCAACTCGTCTGAACGAGGCTTGGGCACAGCGTGTACAGGCGTACTATACATCCCGGGCAACAGCTCAGGCCTGAAAGGTTCTGAGAAGCGTCCCGCCTTGATTTCTTCATCCCGGTACCTGTCTATGAACGTCTGTTCCATATCAGACCGTGGACTCATCCTGGCATTGTCCCACGTCAACGGGAATTCACCCGATGGTTGAGTGTCTGCCCAAGGCCAGAAACCCTCCTGGAGTGCCTCGATCACAGAGCGGACAAACTCTTGGTTTGGGTGAGTCTCCAATGATTTCTGCAGCTCGTCAACGTTGATTGGCGTGGTGATTTTAAACAGATGCGGGTTATCTCTGATTGTCTTCATGGCCTCCAAGTTCTCGTACTCCTTCTCTGGAGGCTTCGGGACCGGCAACTCAAATTCCGTGCAACCGGCGGTCCGGCTCTTCCCGGTGTCCCGCCCCGAAAAAACAAACCCCCTTTTGTACTTCGGGGCAAATTCCGTTCCTTCTCCTTCCCACTCGTCACCCTTCATCCTTCCTCCAAATCTCCCCCGTCCTTCCAAGTTACCTCCGCTCCCTTCACGCCCGACTCGGGCAAGTGGAGACGATGTGTCCTCCCTTGCAGTGCGAGCAAACGTGGCGGTATCTACATTTCCCGTCGGTGGAAGGGCAGACTCCAGCATTCCACCGTCTGCAAGCATCGAGGCTACGTGCTCGTTCGGCGTTCTTCCTCTTGGGTCGTGTCTCCGACCTTCCTTCTTCAAACTCTCGGTACCCAGTTCCCGAGGTCGAGATGTGGGATCGCTCGAGATCCCTGAACTTGTCAGTTTCGGAGAGGAGGATCTTTCGGCATCGTCCCACTCTACTGCGGATGGCACGATCGAGGACAAAGATGCGGCTGTGAAGGGATACTGCAACGGTCCTGAAGAGGGATGACATATACTGCTGGTAGAGGGAGAGCTCGCGATATCGATGCGGGAAAGCAACGAGGACTGCTTGAGTATAGGTGTGCCAGGTGGTGGTCCATTCGTCTGCAGTTTTAATGGTTCTCTTTGGCTCTGCAGGGTTCGACGCATTTTCGGAGAGTCTGATAGCAATCCCTTCAGATATCTCGTGAGTCTGTACTTTGTTGATTGAGGTGGAGTGGGTAGCGGCAAAGACGGAGTCGAGGTTGACGGCTTTTCCTGCCAAGAGAGCGAGCCACTGCTCCTCAGGGAACTCGGGACACTCGGGAGAGTTGGTGATGCTTCGTCTAGCGGCCTTGAGGTCAAGAGTGTAGTTTTCGACGAGAGTAAGGGTACGTTGCAGTTCGGGGTGGAGGAGCGCTCTCCTAATCTCTCCAACAGGCTGCCATGGAAACTGGGACTCGTCAATTCGTGGTCGCTTTGCTGGTCCTCGACCCTCGTCGTCGTGATCTTCATCATCCGAGTCCCCTCCGGGGTCGGATCCGTCTCCTCCTCTGCCTCCCTGGTTATTCTCCTCTTCGTGGAAGTCCTCAGCCCGTGGTCGATCAGGTCTTCCCTCTTCCTCTTGATTCCTAGCCCTTGCCCGAACTTGGGCTTCACCTTCTCTGTGGAGCGTTCGCTGCTCGTTCTCATAATTGTCCAGCATTTCGACGTAAATCCGGAGGGCGTTGTTGAAGTCATCGTCGTGTCCGGGTCTGGCAGCGAAGAATTCAGATAGGATGCGGAGGATTTGGGCGAGGACATCTGGCTTCGAAGGGTTGATGCCCGTGCGGAAAGTCTCGACAATAGCGTCGCACTGGATGGTGATCTGGGCCTGGGGAGCATCCGGCGGAGCAGGTGATCCTTCACGACTGGGGGCACGTCTGGTTCCTCCAGTAGTGGCTGACTGCTGAGTCGAGCCTCCAGAGGCAGGCGTGTTATTAGAGGCTTGCGAAGATCCATTAGAACCAGAGGACATAGCCAGATAGTACGTTTAGGGAGTCTTAGAGGTGAGTCTTTAGTAGACGATGGAATAGACAGGGTTTATTCAGTAGTGCGAGAACACACGGAAAGCTCTGTCAGGTCAACGAGAGCGTATGGTAAGCTAAGGTTCACTACGAAAGAAAGAGAAAACGTACCTGGCAGGTCAACGAGAGCGATAAGGATTCTCGCCGATTCTGCCAGGTAGATATAGTCCATTGGAATGAGACACGGCGAGGAAGCTAGATGCCCGTTAGCTTCCGCTGTACCTCAGTACTGTGGCTCGCACTCACTGGTGAGACGGCTGAGACTCCCGGGGGGAGGCTCCCGTGGGGAGGCTGAAACCGCACATCATAGATATGGGAATTACGCGCTGAGGAGCGGCCGATGCCTGTAGAAAAGCGTGAGAAGCAGAGGGAGACCCGAGTGACGAGAAACCCGTACCAATTAGACTTGTGTAAACAAATTTCTTTAAACCCGATTAAACGCGTCTTGTCACGTGCTCAGCGGGACCGCCGGGTCGACCGTCGGGACTTCGGATCTTAAGCTTTACGTCTTGCTCGACCGATCACAAAGGGTCCGCAGTCTTCCCCAGACGTCCACATCCATAAATCTAATGTTCTCGGTTTGAACTGTAACCATCATCATGTATTCTTTGCGGAGGCTGCGACTGCAGCAATCGTCCCTGCGTCGTCTCTATCACGACGAATCGTTCGGATATCGCAAGCCACGACCATTCGTATTTCCTGATTGTAAGCCGTGTTTTACCTGCTATCTTACTATATGGTATGAGGATACGCAGACACGCCAACTCAGCTCGAAAATCGAGCACAGAATGCTGCTTTGCTGCGCTACGTTGATTCTGTCAGGACGCATGGGCACAGAGCAGCAAGAATCGACCCGTTGGACCTCATACACCGCAAGGAGGTTGCAGCGCTGGACCCAAGCAGATACGGGCTTACTGACGAATCGAAGAAATACAATGTTAACGGGATCATATGGACACATCCGAACGTCGAGTCCCAAGGCGAGAACATGACAGAGGAGTGGTGGACTTTGGGAGAGATCGTTCGCCACCTGCGGTCTATCTACGTGAACCGTATTGCTTACGAGGTACGATTTAGTCACGTCTTGTTCCTTTCACTGACACTGGCGTCAGTACATGCATTCACCGTCTAAATCCGAACGCCTTTGGTTCTCGCATCGTTTGGAGTCGAAGAGCACACCAACAACATTGGATGTTGATACGAAGAAACGAATCCATGGTTTACTGACTCGAAGCGAAGTCTTCGATAACTTTATGCAAGTAAAGTTCCCTAACCTCAAACGCGTACGTCATTGTGTACTCTGGAGTTCACGTCTTACCCCAATGCTTAGTACGGACTGGAAGGTGGAGAATCAATGCTACCAGCTTTGGACTCGTTGTTCTCTTCAGCTGCTCAAGGTATCTGTCACTCTGTGCATGTCGCGTCGTAGGCTTCTCATGTTTCTATCTACAGCTAATGTATCACACATTGTCCTGGCTATGCCTCATCGCGGTCGACTCAATCTTCTCACTGATCTCCTTAACTACTCTCCTACGGCTCTTTTCCACAAAATCCGAGGAGGTGCAGAGATCCCCGAAGATTTAGGCGCCGAAGGGGATGTCATCAGTCATCTAGGTCAGTGTTCCTTCGTCGATTATAATCACACAGTGCTGACTTATATAACAGTTTCGTCGACGATTTTGAAATACGGTAGCGACAACCAGGCTGTCAAGGTTTCCCTACTTCCAAATCCTTCTCACCTGGGCAAGTCATTGTGATATGAGCTGATCGCGTCAAAGCTTATGGAGACTATATTTAGAGGCTGTTGCCGGTGTCGCGCTCGGAAAGACTCGCGCAAAGCAGTTCTCCCTTTTGAAGACATCGCCTGAAGATTGTAAACTCGGTGACAGAGTGATGTGTGTCCAACTGCACGGAGACGCGTCATTCACCGGTCAAGGCGTCGTTATGGAGAGCTTGGGATTGAGTATGCTCCCCCTTTAGAAGGTTAGGCAGTTACCGATCAAACGCTCTTCACAGGCAATCTTCCCCATTTTACCAGTGGCGGCACTGTTCATCTTGTTGTGGAGTAAGTCATTCTTCTGGCTGTTGATCTGTCACGCTGGTTGATATGCCCTTTTCGTAGTAATAAGTGTGTGCTCTTCCAAGAATGCTTTGGTCCAGTCATGATAACCCTTCTTCTGTCAGCATCGGCTATACTACGCCTGCGTCGCAGGCCCGTTCCTCTTTGTACTGCTCCGATGTTGGCAAAATGATCAATACCCCAGTGCTTCATGTCAATGGTGACTACCCCGAAGGTATTTTAGGCGCCTTCCATCTTTGATAGCTCCTGAGAGACCGCCGGCAGATGTTGTCAAGGCTATGGAGGTCGCGTTCCAGTATCGGCAGTATTTCCGAAAGGTGACTCACTCTGTTGGACGTTCTCAATTTGTGTCGCTCAATGGTACGTAGGATATCATCGTCGACCTCCTGGTTTATCGCAGATGGTAAGTTATCTCTTTATTCAACGTAAATCCAACTGATAGCATTTCTTGATTTAGGGGGTAAGCCTTCTCGATTTGAACAGTAGGCCAACTGTTGACAAGCCTCCAGTCATAACGAACTCGATCTTCCGAACCTCACCAGCCCTCTTATGTACGACAAGATCCAGTCCAGACTTTCAGTCCCGCAACTCTATGAACAGAAACTGGTGGTAAGGTGATCACTGACTCAGCATGTATATTATCCATGAATATTTTAACAGGACGAACAAACTCTCACGACGGAGGATATCGCGAATGTTAGGGAACAGCACAAATCAATTCTCAATGACAAACTCGAAAAAGTACCTTCGTACGTCCCGACTGCGTCAATGCTCAAAGAGCAGTGGGCAGGGATGGTTTGGCCTTTAAGTAAGAGTGCGGTCCAATCTCCGGATACTGGCGTCGATAAGGATACTCTTATCCGGGTCGGCAAGGCAAGTGTGCAGGTACCGGAAGGTTTTGTAAGTTTCTTGGAAGCAATCTCTAAAGGTCGTGTCCTTAATCGGCTGTGTTCAGGAAATCCACCCCAAGCTCCAGAGGCACATCAAGAGCCGTCTTACAAGTCTGGCAAGCGGCAAGGGGTTGGACTGGGCTACAGCGGAGGTTTGTATGATGCTTTCATACGTCTCGCTTTTTGTCATGACAGTTCACAATAGGCTCTGGCTTTTGGATCCCTACTCTTGGAGGATTATGACGTGCGGATATCCGGACAGGATGTAGGACGAGGAACGTTTAGCCAACGGCATGCGATGCTTGTTAACCAGAAGAACGAGAGTACCATTGTCCCGCTGAATGATGAGCTTGGTGCTCCGGGGAAGCTCGAGCTTGCTAACAGTATGTTTTGGCTCGCGTCGTAGATGTCGTGCTTACGGTGCTTGAAGGTTCTCTAAGCGAGATGGCTGTGTTATCAGTAAGATCAGTTTTGTAGTCATTTTATATAACTGTGTGTCTGATCAAAGTGATATACAGTTCGAATATGGGGCAAGTTGGGAACGGCCGGACCTGTTACCCATCTGGGAGGCACAGGTAAGCTAGCCTATCAGGATCTTGGATGAGATTTAAAGCTGCGATTCAGTTTGGGGACTTCTTCAACGGTGCACAGGTAAGATATCTGTGTCAGGCTGGCAGGTCAGAATTGACGGTCGATTCAGATTATCATTGATACGTTCATATCATCTTCAGAGAGTTCGTTTATTTTTCAGTCATAAACTACCTATCTGCTAATATTTGACTCATAGGCAAATGGCTGAAGCAAAGTGGTATTGTCATGCTTCTCCCACACGGACTTGATGGTGCGGGACCGGAACATTCTTCTTCAAGAATCGAGCGGATGCTCCAGGTGAAGTCGTGTGAGAATCTCTACGTGCGGTCGCTCACGTTTGTCTAGTTATCCAATGACAGGTACACTTACGACGAAGACCCTTCGTTCAATATCAACATGCATGTTGTTTTCCCGACGACGCCTGCACAGTATTTCCATTTGCTGAGGCGCCAGATGAAGCGGAATTATCGCAAACCTCTAATTGTGGCAGGACCGAAAGGTCTTTTACGCCTATCGGTAAGTTGTCTGTCCCCATGGCACTCGCAATTCCCAGTTGATACGCTTCACCTAGCCTGCTGCCTCTTCTCTATCAGATCTCGAGACTGGGACATCTTTCCGGCCAGTCCTCGCCGATCCTTACGACAATGCCGCTACTGCATCGCGTGTTATCATCCTTTCAGGAAAGATCTACTATGACCTTTTGAAAGAAAGACAATCACGAGGATTGGATGCTAACATTGCCCTTGTTCGATTGGAGGAGCTGTCACCCTTCCCGTTCGCAGAATTGGCTGAGGTGCTGGAGGGATATACCAACGCGAGGGAGTTCTTCTACCTGCAGGAAGAGCCGAGGAATCAAGGCGTGTTTGGGCATGTAAAGGAAAGGATCATGTGGGTGTTGAAGGAAATGGTGGGTGCTGGGGATGTGGAGCTGGTGTATAAGGGAAGGAAGGAAAGTTCGCTACCTGCGCCGGGTATCGGGAAGCTCTATCAAGCGCAGCAGAAGGCGGTGTTGGAGTCGGCGTTCGACGGATTCTAAGGAAGGAAGAAGAGCTCGTGTAAGTGATATATGTTGTCTTGGCTCTCCAGGTTTGCTTTCAAGCATATATGGAGCTTGTACATCGTCATTTCCCCAGTGTTTTCTATTGGACTACAGGAATATGTATATTATGTGTTGCGGTGCCATCTCTCCGAAATAAGAAGAATCCTTTTCCATTTATTTATAGGATCGCCAGTTCCCCGGATTTCCCTCTATTTTTGATCTTGCCATTTGGGAACTCTCCGTTTTGAATTCGGACCACCATCATTATCCTACCTATCCAGCCCCGCGGAACCGATTCTCCGTCGTAATACATCAGAAATCATAGAATGGCTCATGTTGGCAGCGAACAATCTTCCGGGCAACGTAAATCTCAAGCCGTGTCGTGTCAAGAATGCCGTAGACTGAAGGCAAGCGCCCATTCGAGTTTTTCCACTGTAGAGTTACTGGATAATGGCTAATTCCAATGCTCTAGTTGAAGTAGGGCACTAAAAATCTGCTGTTGGACACATCCGGCTAATGCGCCTTACAACGCAGGTGTGACCGTGTCTTTCCTTGCGCATCCTGCATTCGTAGGGGCTGCGCTAATCTCTGTCCTCATGGAACGCTGGAAAAAGGCAAACGGGGATTTCTTCGGAGGCTCGAGCAATCACTACCATCTGCATCGTCGAAGAACAGTGCCAAGGATGGAGAAGCCTCGGAGGTCGCTATGTTTGTGGCAAGAGACGCTGCTATGTCGAAGCGAATACAGGAACTCGAGGCCGCGTTAACAAAGTGAATAGAATGTGTGTCCTCCGCCAATGTTAGCTCAATGTGTTGTAGCGCAGGTGTCCCTATACCCGGTGCGCCAATGGCCTCTTCTAAGGCACTCAACCCTTCCAATAAACGACCACGCAGTTCATCAACATCTGAGTCGAACGCAGATTTCTCAACTTTGTCACCAGATCCGACAAAGACACCAGGAGACCCGTCAGATGTTACGTTGGGATTCGGAACACTGACAATCGATGTGGAAAACAAGACCCGCTACATTGGACTATCTGGAGCTTCAGCGTATCTCAATGAGAACCTTTGGAAGACAGGCCAGAGTCGAATGCCAAGTAGGAGAAATTCGCATGAAGACTTGTTCCTGTCAGATAAGGAGCCAGTACCTAATCAAGGTCAGCGCTTATTATCTCTCTCCTTTCATGGCTCATCCGTAGATGTCTAGATGGCCATGTCTTTTCTCCCCCTCTCTCCGGTGTCGAACTCCCCCCTCCCATGGACGACGCGGCGTTCCCTCCTTACGCTGAAGCACATCGTTTAGCAGGTTTGTATTTTGAAAACGCATCGTGGATGTCAGTATAAACCACTAGAACGCTTCATCGTTTCGTTTGATTGAATTTTATCTAGGTATGAGGTCGTCCCAAGAGAAATATTCTTTACTGCTCATCTAACGCTGGTGTACCCAACGAGCGCCTCTCCTACCCAGAAACCCATACCGCATGACATTTTGGCGCTTGTTGCCATTGTTCTCGCTCTGGGAGCATTCTTCGACCTTGATCTCTCTTTTCCTGCAGCGAAGCTGCGCGCCGCACAACTTCATTCGCTCTCTGTAGCTTGGCTGTCTGCACACATACCACAGGACGGTGCGCTGAAATTGGAGACCATACCCGCTGTTCAGACTGTTCATCTGATGGTACTGTACCAACTCAGTACAAGAGGGAGAGGAGATGGGGAGGCGGCATGGCAACTTCTTGGTATGGCTATGAGAGCTATCCAAGCTCAGGGCTGTCACCGAGATGGATCGCGCTGGAACTTGCCCGAACGGGATTTGGAGGAACGTAGGCGAGTATTTTGGGAGACACATACCTACGATCGGCTACAATCGTTCACTTTTGGCCGTCCATATAGTCAGAGCGACACCCATCGTAGGCCGCCCTCTTCCATCACCTTCAGTTGATTTATTTTTGTTCTAGACGATGGCGAGATGCCTAAAAGCTGCGACACGCCTCTTCCGTCTGACAATTCACCAGCTAACACGGAGTTTTCTCATACACGATGGCATCACCACAAGTTTCGCTTTGCACTCCTCCTCGGACGTATTATTGATGAAGCCTTCGCTGCGAAGCATCCAACATATTCCGTTATCATGCAGCTGGATAGGGAGATTAACGATTTTTACGTCGAATTACCCAAGTGGATGCTGTGCGAGAGCGTCACGGACCCCATAAAAGATCTGCAACCTGGATCTGGGACGGGTCAACGGGCGTTTTTGAGAAAGGACGCTCAAATTTTCTCGTTGGCCAATATGATATTCCTGACGAAGTTGCATCTACATCGAGGTCCATTTTGTAGGGCTCTGATGCATGCCGGAGAAGCTTTAAAATCCAGATACGAATCTAGTGTTATCAGATTGACTGAGGTATGGTTATTCATCTTTATCGTCCCTCATGACTGCTAAGATTTCTTCAGGCTGCTCGTGCAATTATAAATATATCTCGAGGATTATTCACATTGCACCCAAGTAGGTAGTCGTCATTTTTCTTATTCATGGCTCTGACCTTGTCTTGTTAGCTTTAACATGCCGAATGTGGTATTTTTTGTTCCATTCCTTCACTGCTGCGGTCTGTCTATCAGTGCTTGTCATTGTAGCACCCTTTCATCCTCTTGCACCACTGGCATATGACTCTATGCAGATGGCCCTGGACCTGTTTGTTCTCGCTGAAGGAGATATGGCTGAGATCGCCCGAGAACGAATAGGACGGTTAGCTGGAAAGGCAAAAGATGTCTTAGAGAGCTGGCGACAAGCAAACGGGCGTGAAAACGACGTAGGACGGAACGGAAGGTTCCCGGAATCCAATATACGAGGCAACCCTGAGGATCTACTCGGTGCTTCGACTACGTTGATCAGGATACAACCCACGGAAGGCACCCCTGTAGACCCGGAGGCTGTAGTGGATGGACAAGGAGCGGGAGATATGTGTATGTTTTTCTCTCCTCTGCAACCTGCAGACCTTCTCCAGGTCCCATATGCATCTGGGATAAGTAGAGTCCCTTTTCCTTCATCAATGGACCCAACGCGGGGATGGAGCGATGAGTCATTCATGAATTACCTGAATAATGCTCAAACGACTGGGAATGATCTCGTGCTTACTCAGGTCCAGTGGACGATGAACACATCGGCGAATATTAATTTGAATGTAGACGGGTTTGATCTATCGTCATTTATACAAAATGGAGCTACTGCTTGGATGGATTCTGATCTGAATGCTCCTGGTTCACCGACATAGGATGGTACGGACGTTGTATTAGGATGCAAATTGTATTTTCTATTGATTTTTTATTACCATTGTATACGTACTAGAAAGCATTGTATTTGTATTCAGCGTTCGTCGCCACCGCTCTTCGGTACACAATAATTTCTTCTTTTTTTTTGTATTTTTTTTTGGTGACACCAAATAATCTTCTCGGAACCTGCCGAAAGTCTTTCGCACAAGTCTCCCACCACGGTGATTGTCAAATTCCTCGCTACGGTGAGAATTTTATGGCTTCTTCAACGCGAGTAGGCGACACTACTGATCTGGGATACTTAGGAGCAAAGCAAATAATAATGCAATGGAAACTTGAGTACGTAAAAATCTAGGCTCGATGATTTTCAAGGGGCAAATAAGCTTAGGGGACGTTCTGGCCCTGCTTCAATATCGGTCCTCGTCTGGGCCGAAGTCTCCTCACCTTATTCTAACGGTGGCCATCGTGCCCTCGTCGCCTTCTCGGAGTCCCGAATGCGGGCACAGCTGACGAGGTAGTAGTGCCTCGGAGTCATTCGATTGGGCCGTCGGTATCAATGGAACCCGAGATATTTGACGGAGCGCCACCACGGGGCCATGGTAGCCACTTCGGACTATACAGATTGGAGAATTGTAGAACGTCTTCAGCCTCGAGGCAGCCGTATTTTGTCAGAGGAGACCCTTGGAGGCCGTAAACATTTTCGAACGCGATTGGTGGCGAGAATAGGGAAAGATACTCATGGAAAATGGGGATGCCATTGAGGATATAGCTCTGAGTCAGTGGGATTTCCGGCTGTCACGGCTGAGGGGATGCCCACTGAGCATGCGAAGCCTCGGCTCCCTCCACAAATAATGTTTATGATCGTATAGGCCCCTTTTACCTTTCGCTGCACTTCCCTTCATCTCACCACTATGGACCTTGCCATATCGTCACGAATTTTCGCTGATTTCCCCCAAGAAATAGTCGACGCCATCATTGATACGCTTTGCGACGATACATCATCTTTAATTGCCTGCTCCCTGGTTTGCCGCCGCTTCCTTCCACGCGCCCAAGTGCATCTATTCTCAACTGTTGCACTCGCTCATCAGCACCAATGTGTTACCTTCCATTCCCTGATACAGTCATCGCCCTATATCTCGTTAAACGTGAAGACTTTGAAACTGCGATGTGGCTTCAGCACGCCTAATCGTAATGCATGGGATATCACCTATGAACCCCTTTTACAGCCCATAATACGCGCGGCGAGTAATCTCGAAAAGCTCTATCTGAGCTCTATCCTTTGCCCCCTTCCTAGCGACACGAACTCGCCATTATCGTCGATCTTCTCGTGCTCGTTGACTTCGCTGGAATTGCACAGTGTTCGGTTCGCGGATTTCAAACACTTATGTTCATTTGCGCGCGCGTGGCCGACCCTGAAGAGCTTTACGTGCTCAGGGCAGATGTACACGCATACCGTGCCATGTGAGCACAAGCACCCTCCTGGACCTCTGGTGGAATGGTTGGACATCGACGGCGCCTACGGACGCACGGATATATTGGATAATATCATCAGTTCAGGCATATGCCCGGTCTCGGTTGGGATGCTTCGATCTTTGGTTTTTCCCATCCACGAAAAACAAGATATTGAACGGTTGCGAGCTTTGACGAAGCTTTGCACAGACACGCTTCGAAATCTTCATATTATCCATAACAAGTCATGTACGTCTCCACTTCTTCAGTATCCAAGACCTCTGACAATGCTGTAATAGCGGTACCGTTCCGATTACCACCGGACTTGGCTCACCAGCGGTTCAAGGTTGGTAGTCTACGGCGTCTTACCATCGAGGTATACGCTAAATCAGAAGGGTCTGATTCGAGTCTCTTGGATTGGTGGATAAACAGTATAGGTGCGGCAGAGATTCTTGAAGACATCACCTTTAAATACTTCATCGAGGAAGGTGCGGTATCGACGGAGATAGCTAAGCCTCTCTGGCGTAAGATGGATTCTACGCTTTCAAGACTTACGGCATTGCGGATGTTCGCTTTTAACATTGTTTGCTGGGGATATACGGTGCCGGATAGGGGCTCGCCTGGCGAGGATTCCCTCTCATTTGAATCTAGAGACAAGCTTGAAAAGCTAAGGAGGGCTCTAAACGAGAGTTTCAAGCTTTTGAGGGTCAGGGGTGTGGTTACAAATACTACTGTGGAGATGTACGTTTTCCTGACTTCGTGCCTCTTCGGTCGCTCATGGGGTATTCTATTCAGAGATGACTATTTGTAGGAGGGCCCCATGATTCAATGACTATTCGACATTTCTGCTTCTTTAAAACAGACTTTCGTCAGTCCAATGGGGACGCGTCAAAGACTGATACATTCAGGACAATTTGACAGGGATGGCATTGTGCTAGGTACCCTGTGGCGCCAATGGTCATTCAGAAGTGATTCTGAGCTTCACAAGCATTCACACTCCAAAAATCCGTTTATTTTAAGCTATTCCGGCAGTAGTTACCCGGTTCCCTGTCTGCTGTGGGTACGTTCTCTACTCGGCCTATTTATATCGTTTCAAGGCAGAAACGCTAAGTCCTACAGTCTTAGGCCGAGTCGGAGACTAAGCAATGCATGCTGTGCAGTGCGCTAGCTGTCTTCTAGTTTGTCCGCCCAACTCTTAGCAGGTTCTAAGAAAACACTGAAACTGACTATCAACTCCGGGTGTGAACCGATCATTCGCAAAATTACAAATAACACCGTCTCATTATAGCTTCGAACTAGGACTTTTGGTGATGAAGAGAAGACTCTTACAGATGTAGCTCCATCCAATGATCATCAACATAATCAAAAATTTTCGACATCGGACTGTGATGCATTGATAGACCATGAGCAAATGTGGCAATTGATGGCTACTGACTTGGTATATCCGCCCCATGATCTACCATTCCTGTCGCCTTATGGATGTCGCTTTCGCTATTGCCCTCGGCCCGCTCTTCTCCCTCCTCGGAATACCTTCGACTCTGAATGCCGGCATGCTTCGAACTATTCTTGAACAGCTGTGACGCCAGGACTGTCGTCCGACAAAGCGAATGCGAGTCGAAAGCAGCCATTCGCTCTCGAAACTCTAAAGCCGTGGGATCCTTTGTATGTCTGTGTTTCTCTCGTCTCGAACTTTTCTTGCATCACTGGCAAGGAAACCATCGGATGTCTGGGCCCGTCGGAAGGGAAAATCCGGGCCAGGTTTTACTGGTAATCGTTTTTGACGATCCATGAGAACAGCTTAAACCGAGGGGCATATCGGCGATACGTTTAAGTCTCCGCATTTGCGTTGACATCCGTCGTAAGCGGGGTCAATGAAACTTGTCCAATAGGTCTGTCGAATTTAGCCAAGCCGACACGCCTACCTATCGGGTGTCAGTCTTTCGAGTCGGCGACTAGTACGCGGTGTCAATAACAAGACAAAATGTGTATCAGAATTGTCCGTGCCTGCCTGTTCAAGTTGGCCGCTTCGCATGTCCGAAAGCTGTATAACAAGAATATCGATGAGATGTTAGCGTCATTGCTTTCTATTCTCTTCCTACGCTCGCTGACTATTGATTTAGGATCTAAGTTCGGATCTCGACTCACAGCCTGATTGCATCAACCCTTCCTCACCTTGGTTGTGCGTTTTCATTTAGTATAATAGTGCGTATGCTCCGCATGGAGTTTCTTATGTTCCTTCGCTGTATATATACCAGATCTCGACCAGTCAAAACGTGTATTATGCGATGCCATCCTCAAGTCGCACCAGTACAACGCAATCCCCTCGTCGTCCTCGCTCACCCGTCTCCTTCTTCGCTGCACCAGATTTAGGCCAACCAAAGCAGCCAAAGCCTCTGGTCAAGATTGAGAAGAAACCCAAGAAGGCGAAGAAGACAAAGGCACCCCCCGCTGTCGCAGTTCTCTGACACGTCTTCATGCCAATCATCTCCGACGTCGTTTTCCGCGAGTCCACTCTCTCCTGCATCTCTCTCATCGACGTCGAGCCGTGCCCCATCATTTTGCACAATGCGCTCGTCTCGATCCTCCATTTCTCTTAAACCCTTCTTCCGTCGCATTGGTCTTCGACGCAGAAGAATCTGATGCGTCTTCATTGCCACCAGATGACATTCCCCCAGTCCCTCAGTGTCTATGCATCCCAGTCAAAGAAAAGATACAAACAGTGGGGCGGAAGATAATATCCTCGTATCCAACTACCGGATCGTCCTCGGATGATTCCTCCACGCATTCTCGTCCCTCACCCATCATCGTGAATACAGTAATGCCTCTGAAGAGGCCAACCACAGCCCCGCCGTCGCCTTCCGATTCTATCCAAAGGATTGTACCAGAACCGTGGTTAGCCCACGCACCACCCTCGATTAACCGCCTTCCGAAGCGGTCTGCCTTAACGACTTCGAACGTCCATCATCCAACCCTCTCACGCCAATCTTCTTATGACTCTTCCCTTTCCTACGGAGACGTGCCGTGTCATTCTCACCGCCGTTCTCTATCATATGATTCTTCTCCGTTGCATACTCAATCGATTCAATCCACGCTCCTTTCACCTCCGAATACGCAAACCCCTTCTTCATTGTTAGAAAGACGTAACCGCAACATCCGGGACCTCTGCATCGCGACTCCCAGCACCCAAGCTTCTCAGCCGGAAACTTCTCCCGGTCCGTATAATAAGTTTCCACGAAGTCCGGATTCTCCGCTCTTCTTCAGACGGGCGCCAGATGGGAATGGGAAGCTTAGGCGTCCTAGTACTGCGCCTCATTCTCCAACGCATACCATGCATCAGTTCACTAGAGAGCCGGCATTCCTGCTTCCACCCCGTGCTGATTCGCCCTTCATCCACAGCTTCCAGGACTCGAGTTCTTGTGTCAGCTGGGGTGAGCCCACGCAGGGTTGGAGCGGCGAGTGGAACAGGGATAATTTGCAGGATGTCATTAAGATGCTACGGAATCTACGGTGAAGATGGGGTGGTGTGATTTTTTCCGTCGGGATCTTGGTGAGCGCTTATCATTTCTGTACGTCGACTTGCTATTAACCGATGACGCAAGGTTACTGTTTATATCTCTATTGGGGGACACCCCAAGTTCACGCTCGATACACGATGTTGTACCATGTATACCTACCGTCTCTCTTTTGAACTATCTGTAGAACACGTTTCCCATCTTTTTTGTTGTAGCATCACGAAAAATACCCAAGAAGCATATGCTTCGTTTTATTAATGTTCGCTACCGACGGGAACCGCACAGAAGCCGCCACCCACGCATGGCTTCCGTTCTGTTCTGTTGTTTTTAGAGGTATGTGATAGACAGCCACCGTTATACACGTGAACAGATGGTGAGATGTTGAGACGAGATGGTCGCAGTCTGGGCAGTGATTGGGATGAATTCCATTCTGACACCAAGTTGTCTCTGTCTAGTATCTTTCTTCCATGAGATGGTAGGAGTTTGAATCGATCTGCCTAGTAGCTTATTCGTTGATGCCAAGCAGTCTATCAATATTTTATACAGCAACATGTAGACAGCTTTAAAAAATAACACATCAAGAGAGAATGCGTAGGGATGAATCCGGGTAGCTGTTAGCGTAAGTAGATCATGCATTGAGTGGATAACTAGGAGTCTTTATTGACATCCCTACTGATGCGGTCACTCACAATCACGGCACTTCCCAACCAAACCGGAACTTCGGAAGCTTGGATCCGGCAAATAGCGTCGGGAATTGCCATTTCGGGGCTTACCTTTTTGCCTTCGGCTTTGTCCGTGTTTACGCTGGGCGCTATGTACCACGGACACTACGAGTACGGGCAACAGTACGGCCAGCAGCCATACCAGTACGCGTACCCGCCGCCACCGCCGCCGCCTCAGTACTGGAGCAACGACTCCTACCAATCTTCTCACCACAATCAACGCCAGCCTTCTCCTCATCCACCTCAACCTTCCCCACACCAGCAGCCGTCACCGTTATCTCAGCCGTCTCCACATGCAGCACCACGATGGATAGAAGAGCCTGCTCCCTGCACCACCACCTGCTCTTGATTTTCTCAAGGTGTGTGTATATGCTGCGCCTTGGACCTTTGCTACGTACTGACAATATGCGTCGCAGCTTGTTGATTCGTATCGAGTGATTTTGGACGCGTTTGCACCACAGGCTCCGCAACCACAAGTGGATAGGCTCTGTGATGCAGCTTCCTCTGCTGCAACGATACTGGGAGGCCCCGACGAAGAAGCGCGCGAAAGAGAGCGAGAGCGAGCGCGAGAACGGGAAGAGAGACAACTGGAAGAAGAGCGAGAGCGAGAAAGGGAGCGTGAACGCGAACTTGAGAGGGAACGTGAGCGTGAGAGGGAGAGAGAACAGGAGAGAGAGCGGGAACGTGTAGAGCAAGAACGACTTCGTGCTGAGAAGGAACGTGAAGAACAGGAAAAGGCAAAGGCCAAAGAGAGCGTCGATAAGAAGGAGGACTCTACGTCGACTGGCCAAGTTTGCCTCGGCTGTAATGCTACCTCTACGCCTGAATGGCGACGAGGTCCCTTGGGACCGCGGACGCTCTGCAATGCGTGTGGGTTGGTCTACGCAAAGATGATCAAGAAACGCCTCAAGGCGAACTCTGGCACTGCTGACGCATCCAGTGGCGAGAGCAGCGGCGAGGGTGAGGAGGAAGATGAACTGGCATAGGGCGATTGTTGCGGTCTCTGGCATTATCTGTATGTTTGTTTTCAAATGCTTGCCGCGTTCCTTGCTTTCGATTGCGCTTGTCGAACTTTGGACTGCTTGAATCTATTATTTTTCAGGGATTTGCATGTACTTATTTCATGGAAATATGACGTTAGGTATCTTTCCATTGGGCGCAGTGCTGTGAATTGGGTGTTGGCATCTTCCACTAGCAAGTGCGCCTTTGCAAGCTTGGTTCGGAGTATGTTCTTCCCTCTTCTCTGGAGTCAACTCATTTCTCAACTTAGGTCTACAAATTAGCTTTTACGGGGGAAGCCCAGGACTGACGGAAGCCTGTGTGTATATTATCCGGTGTCTAGCACTTCTTAACGAAACGCAAACTCGGACCAAGTTTACGACAAACTACTGCAAAATGATCAGGTCCAAGTTCTTGATTGAATTCAATATCAGACATCCAAATGTCTTTTGTTGGTGGTTTTATCTCCCACAGTCTCCAGATCTCTCTGTATCACCTGCTGATACATGCTGCCGGCCAAATCATCAAGGGAAGACATCTCCATTCGCGATGTCAAACATGACCTTCATCATATTCTTTCGCCTTATGAGTCAGAGCCCGAGGGTCGGTGCGATCGAACACTGGCAAGTTGTGTTGGATGACGCATTTCGCATCCCCGCATGTATCCTCCTTCGTGCATATAACCGAGCAGTTGGTAAGATGTTTAACCTTATGGGTGCACTTCGCAGCGCTGAACACGTTGGTCACAGATCAGACAGATCACGACACTTGTCACACTGACGCGACGCGCCCAAAAGTCCAGAACGCACTACGCATGACTTGCGATCAGCAGCAAAGAAATTCATGGACACGGGCATGTCTATCCGTGATCTGTGCTGACTTCGAAACATGGTGTTGGATTGTTTACTGTTGGATGAAACCAATGCTTTGAAACTATTGGCTCTGATTATTAGCACGCTCAGCTGGTGACTATTCCAGGTCTCGCACTTCGCTAGGTTTAATCCAAGGTCCTGGCTTGCACATCTTCGGAATTTCAGAGTAAGCATATTTCCCGCAGTCTTGGGCTCAACGCGGAATCGAAATTGATAAAAATTCAGTGACAGATTTGTCTAAGAACAGCGAGAAATGTGTCACGAAGCACTGAATGAAGCATTATGACTGCTTTCATCAAACACAAGATGATGAAGTACGCTGGGAACATCTACATGAGACCATGTGTAGCCTTACAGCCAGCTTATACTGGCGTTTCATCACTTTGCTGCACCTTATTTGCCAAGTTCCCAGGTGCATGCTCCGAACCGGTCGATACCATCAAAATCGCGCCATCATGTCCCACGTTAGCAAACTATGCTCCGAAAGTTGACCCGAGCGTAGCCCAGGCTCTCTCATCGTTAGTTGCCTCCGTCTACCACATGGCTTCAAGCGATGGCCATGCGCTCCAACCCATTTAATGATCCCTCGCGCCAGTCGGGCTCAGTTGGCGAGACGATGATTCGCGATCACGCAATCGACGCGTGGAATAGCGCGGACTTCGCTTCTCAGTACATAAAAAATCGTTTGATGGCTGTTACACCACACAGCTCAAGACACGAATGTCAACAATACTCACGGGCGCCGGCGATGTTAAACTCCCTCTGGACAGACATCCGTCTCAGAGTAGTCTCAAGAGTGATATCATCGTGAAGCAAGTACGCAAAGAAGAGGAAATCCATGACCCACTTGCTGGCGCTGCCTTGACGAGAGACGACAGCATCAGTAGGTACCTGGATTTTATTCGGTAAATCTGTTTTCATTCTCTTTCGCAGGACGTGATGGAGAAACTTTCGACGATGTTCCCCAGGAAAAACGAACAATTGGCCTATGGTCTGCTGTATTTCTGATATTTAACCGCATCATTGGTACCGGGTATGTAACCGTTCTCGCTCCGCCCGTCATCCTGGATAGTAGACTCATTCCACAATGACAGTATCTTCGCGACACCGTCGACTATCCTTTCAAGTTCCGGATCGGTTGGTCTGGCACTGTTCATGTGGGTGATTGGCGGTATCATCGCCGCCTCAGGTCTCGCCGTATATGTCGAATTCGGCACTGGCCTACCACGTTCAGGAGGAGAGCTCACGTATCTGAGTTACATCTATCAAAGACCAAGATACCTCGCTGTTGCCTTGTACGCAGCTTATGCGGCCTCAATGCCTTGGCCAGCAGGAAATTCTGTTGTTTTCGGACAATGTCAGTACAATTCTCACGTACGAGGCTTGAAGTACTGATTCATAATTGGATGGTCTTCAGATATTCTCCTTGCTGCTGGAAAGGACGTCACCCGGTGGAACCAGCGCGGCATCGGCATCGCCTGCGTTACGTTCGCTCCCATTCTGCACAGCTGTTTCCTTAAATGGGGTCTCCGTCTTCAAAACGCTCTTGGCATCTTTAAGATCGTCATCTTGCTTTTGATCACCTTCTCGGGTTTCGCTGCTCTTGCAGGCCATATCAAATTGCCAGAGGATGAAAAGCCCCATAATTTCAGGAATGCTTTCGACGGCACTGAGAGCAATGCGAATGCGTTTGTTACTGGTCTTTATAATGTTATTTGGTCTGTTTACCTCTTTCTTTCCGTTGTCCGCGGAGTTACTGATAATGCGTACTAGGTCGTTTATCGGCTACTCAAACGTGAATTATGCGCTGTCTGAAGTCAAGAATCCTGTTCGAACTTTGAAGATTGCTGGACCCCTTGCCATAGCATCCGTTTCTGTCGTGTACATCCTGGTCAACATTGCCTACTTTGCAGCTGTTGCCAAGGAGGATATCCTGACGTCAGGTCAAACAGTCGCGTAGGTGTCATTTTGCTAAAAAGGTTTCTCCGGGCTTGAATATTCTTTAGTGCTCTTTACTTCCACAATATGTTTGGAACAAGAGCAGAGAAAGCACTGAACGTGTTCGTTGCCCTGAGCGCGCTTGGGAACGTCATGGCCGTTTTATTCAGTCAAGGACGAAGTAAGTATCGTAGTCTAATCTTGAGATATCTCACGCTGATTCTTCATTCACAGTCAATCAGGAACTCGGTAGAATTGGAGTTCTCCCCTTCTCTAAATTTTGGGCATCAAACAAACCTTTTAACGCGCCTGCAACTGGTCTGGCTCTACAATGGTTGGTCACTGTGATCATCATATTGGCACCTCCGCCGGGTGATGCTTATAATCTCGTGCTAAACAGTACGTTTTACTCCATGCAGAGTTAATTCGTGTTTTCGTGCTAACCTTGCGTCATTCAGTGGTGTCATATCCATTAGCCATAATCAACGCCTTTATCAGTGGCGGTCTGCTATTTCTTTACAGTCCCTGGGGCGGCGACTGGCGACCTCCATTCCGCGCGACATGGCCCGTTGTGCTGTTCTTCTTCCTCTCCAACCTCTTCCTCACTTTCGCACCTCTCGTACCTCCTGCACCGGGTCAAAGCGTATACAATAGCCTACCGTATTGGCTGCACGTTGTTATTTCGGTCGGTGTGTTCGCCGTTGGAGGGGTATACTGGATCTTCTGGGTCAAGTTACTACCGAGATGGGGTCACTATCGTTTGGAAAGACATCTTGAGCTCCAAGACGATGGTGTTTCAAGGAGTGTTTTCAAAAAGATTCCCAGTGAACTGTCATGAGCTCGATCTTGTGGTGCTTTCGTTGTGAACTTGATAACGAATAGCTTTAAGTCTGTCCGCATTACCCAGACACGTATCAATAATGTATAATCATAGTACAACTTCAAGTTTACTCACCTACTCCCTAATTTTCGTTATCAAATTGTCTTCGATTTGGTGTCATTGTTTCAGGGAAAGAAGAAACATACAGAACATTCATGGGCGAGGTGCTGCAATTGGCCGTAAAGCTGGTGAGCCCCCGGCCGTTATCGGAAGCGTCTTCTGACTAAGCTAGCCCTGAATTTTCTGCTTCTTGGAATACTACTACTACGTGTAGTCTCAGAATTATCCAGTTATTTTACTAATGCTTTCGGAGACCAGTTGGTTTTCCATGATTGTTGTGAGTATTTCTCTGTAGTCTAAATTGAACGTACTTTTCAGGCAAACTCTGCGCGCCTTCGATTCAAGGCCCTGAACGTCGAACTCTTGTGATATAGCTCGAAGTCGTTCCGTTGCCCAACTCTGGAATATCTGCAGTCATAGATACCGATGCAGCTATGTTGATAGTGAAAGTACTACGGAATCACATCTGTCAGTCTCCTCGTCGTCTCCTGCCTTCCTCATTTTCCCTGCCTCGCTATCATCTTTGGACCAACATCTGCGCGTTCGCCCGCTGCTTCCGAATCTTTTTATCATCTTTGTTATCGTTGTGCATATCTCTCTGTCAACATCCGACGCTCCTTCAGCCTATTATTATTACCATTCTTCTTCCCCCCTTGTCTATCACTTTTATATCCTTAGACTCCGTGGTTTCTTTTGATTTTTTTGTGAAAATTGCCAGCTTATTCTATCGGGCTAGACTATCGTCATTCCTATACCCAATTTTTCTTCGGGTTCTTCGGATTTTCTTACAAGTGTTTACATATGGATTCTTGGTGAGTGCTGACTAATCAGAGACCGTTCTCGTGTTCATTATACATCTCAGAAATCCTGTTTAACCGCTACTGTGTTGAACTACCTCCTTTCCCGATGGACAGTACCAATCCTTCGAGTCCCTTGAAACGAGGTGGCAGTGACGCTCTGGTTTCCTCGACCTCTCAAAAACACCCCAGAATGGACGCTACTTCCACTGCTACTGCTTCCCCCCAAGAACATGACCCAGGTGTTTGCCTGGAAATTCGAAATTCCTTCAGCAGCTGCCCTTGTTTCCCTGCTCTTCTTACCATTCTACGGCTCAGACTCGGGGAAAAGGACCTGTTGGGGATCGTAACTTTGATGGTAGTGCAAGCAACTACCTGGTACCAGAAACGCCACCCTGAATGGCAGTACATGGCCATCGAAGACCTCGATCTTTTGGGGAACCCTTCGCGTGCAGAGATGGTTTACAAAGATACCATCGCCATTAGCTCTTCCGAGGAACCAGAATGGTCTGTTTAAGCCTGCAGCCGTTGTATGGCTCATTTTTAATGTCTGTTCAAACAGGGAGAAATTGGTGCTGAAGTGTAATTGTTCAAATTCTCTTTGGCATTCTTACGCTGATCATTCTGTAGATGCCGTAGAAAGAACGGTGTCGCCGCCAAGGGTTAAGCGTACGGGCAAAGAGACGACGATTGCCATTCCGAATTATTTGTCTCAGTTCAGTAAAACGATGCTGGACGTAATTACCGGCGACAAAGATCTCCCGCAATGGAATGGACCGACTCGTGACGGCGGCGAACATAGCGACTTTTTCAGGGGGCTTTGTCTGCCCCAGGTCGCTGGCTATCCGAGCCTTCTCTTGCACGAGCTAGGATGCTACAATAAGGAAGCGTTTGATAAGCTCCTGGAGTCGCTGTTCAATGTTCAAGATAAGTTCCTGTAAGGCAAGAACTGCAATCATGATAGTACTCCTGTCTGATCAAATTCATTGTAGCATCGTTATCAATATCTCGGGCTCTGGAAAAACCCGCCTTCTTCTGGAAGGGCTGGTCCGCTACTGGGGAATTTACTTTGTTGGGTCCCACGAGACATCCTCGCTTGGTTCAGAAGATTTAGGCTATGTCCTGTCCAGAATACAGGAGAACAAGGGCTTCAAGGCCAACCCTGTCTCAGAGGAGGATCTCAAAATGAACGAGGCCATTGCGCGCCGACAGTACTTCAAAGTTCTGTTGGCACGCACATCCGTTTTTACCCACTTCCTAAACTTGAGTCTGAATCAAGCACCCTCCTCCGAGAACGACCTCAGATTGGCCTGGCTAAAAATCCAAATTCATCAGGAGAGTTTCTTTAATCAGGATATCTTTTGTGGGGTTATGGATCTCCTTAACGATTCCACCGACGATTACTTGGATTGCAGCCTAACAAAATCTCTTGAGGATGTCAAGGATTTATTGGTCCACATGTTTCCCTTATCTGCTTCTTCACGCCGATTGTGCTGCATCATTGATGAGGCACAGGCACTTGCTACGCGAGCACCTAATTCGTTCCGGTCTCGCACATCGGGTTCACCTCGATCCCTCCTGAGGCCGCTCACCGAACACCTCCGTAAATCTCTTGCCTGCCACAACTGGTTCATGTACCTATCAGGGACAAGCAATAGTTTAGAAATTATCGAGACAACCAGCGGGTCAAACGTAGCAAGGCTCTCGGCGCTTCAGAAACTTTACCATTTGGGATCTTTTGTGGATGCTAGTAGCCAGGCTGCATACATCCGAAAGTTCGTTCCACCTGCTTTGGCGGACAGCCTCTCAGATTTTCTTGCGCGGGTCTTTACATGGACAAGAGGAAGGTTTGTGGCTACAACTACACACCGCTACTGTTTCTTACTGTGATCGTTTTTAGATTCCGCTTCACGGCTACCCTTATTGAGCTGTTGCTTGTATCAGGGTTCCGCTCCCCACACACTGTGCTCAATTTCTATATCAAATCGTTGTGTGGCGGTGAATTCGAACCCGGAGACGCTGAAGATCTCATCAAAGCGGAGCCCCCATTGCCTGGAAACCTGAAAGACATGGTGGTTTCTCATGGAGTTGATGTCAATCGCTTTTCAAAATCGGGTACGCTTTTTCTCTATCTTGTTGGCCTCCTAGGTTGTTAACTGTCTGTAGAAGTGTTCTCGAAACTCAAAAAACATCTTCCGGCTTACATGCTAACGGGGATGCCACTACCTGTACTTCGGGTGAAGGATTCTGTATTGGTTGAGCTTGGGATCTCCAGATTTGTGGGTCTATTCGCTGATGTGCACACGGACGAGCCGCTTGTGTTAATCGCCATCATCACTTGGTTGGAGGAGAATGAACCAGGATATCTCCACACTCGTATTATGGAAGAAGCACTTAGTATCTCCACGAAGCACAATCCCTCCGAAGCGTTCTTTGCATACGCCATGCTCCAAGCCCTACGATCCGGCCTCCCACTTAATCAGATTCTGGATTTCCACATCCCGGGAAACACAGTTTTACCTTTGTGGACCTATGAGAAGGCTCAGATTGTCGTACCCACTCATTTCGATCACACGACACACAGATATCACACCGTCCCATATTCCTATAGCTCTACAAACGTTCCCAAAGCCGGAAAATATATTGACAACGCTTCAGAGCTTCAGGAGTGGCTCGCATTCCAGGGGACACCATATTCAGTCACCTATCCAACCACAAGAGTCGGGCCTGATTTCATCTGTCTGGTAAAGTTAGAGAGCGGTAGACATTTTTGGGTATTGGGCCAGACAAAAGTTCGAGAGAGCGATAATACAATCGTCGAGGGAGATCTTGTCGGTGCTGTGCAGTCAGTCATGCCGGAAAATGTTTATAAAAACCCTAAAGTGAGTCTATCTTGATTACCATGGACAGGGTTTTTACCAATGACTCAGGGAGCGGAGGCAGATGGTCCGGCTGTGCCCCAGCAATTCATAGAGGCCCTCGACGCCCTTCCGTGTAAAGTTGATAATGTTTTGCCATCGGCCTTGGCGCCTCATCATGCCGTTGGGGTGCTTTGTATTTCTCCCGCTCTTGACAACATCCAGTGCTTGAAGGCGTCTTCAGTCAAAACGACTGTTACGCCCATTCAAGCTGCCATCAACTGGGATCGGGTAGGGCCGATTCTGGACAACGTTGTGCAGGGAAGTAGGCTTTGGGCTCAATTCAACGAGAGATCTCGCGCGGCTAGTCAAACCCAAGGCGCAGAGCGAGGATTCAAGCATCAATTATGATGCCATTGACCGTTGAATCATTAACAAGAAAGATCTTGAAGTATCACACCACATACTACCGGGGATGCTGAGGCTTCAGCTGGAGCTCATGCGCTTAAGGCGGCCATTGACTGATGGAATCCACCCTAAAAGGAAAGTTCGCGGTTTTTATGACTTTCATATCTACGAAGTCGACGCAGTCAGAGGCTTACTTTCTAGCAAGTACTTATTGATCTTACCGACATTTTTTTTGTCCAGTATAGGTGTAGTATATAATATATAATTTGACACTGGAATAAGTACCAATGCCCCAACAATTTCGAGCGCGCACCAAGCAAAGTGAGCGAGTTGAGCCTGCCTACTCGTATAATCTGCAACAAATAGCAAAAAGCTATGTATGTTACATCCCCCATTGCCTTGTATAATGAGAGGGTTCTGGCATTCTCTGTCGACATTTTAGGGTTTATCTCTTCCTGATTGGACTGGCAACGTAAAATTACAACATGATATATCCTTAAATACGACAAAGCGACCATTGTAAATATAGGAAGACTTATATTTTCATCATAGAAAACAGCGTACCCATTTCCACCCACCGGCGACCACATTGATCTAGGTATTTATCCACACAATTCAACATGGTCTTCAAAAGGTCTGCCTGTTGCGATACAAGAACAGAAACTTCTTCTGTGATTGATGATAAAACTTAGCAATACTAAAGCTAGTGAACATCACATACCTTCGGAGCTTGTTCCCATTGCCGCTTTGGCAGCACGTTCTCCATCGAAAAGGGAGGAGAAGTAACGAAGTTGATCATACAACTGAGCATCGGAATACTAGGAGAACTGTTAATGCTAGGCGGTGGTTCATACGACAGGGACGAACCTCAAACGCGACTGTTCCTCGGCATCCGTGTTTGAGACACCTTCGACCATATACCCCCATCATACGTGTCCGATTACCACAAGTAGCATCATCGCACACGGTCCAGCCTTCGTAATACGTTGAGATGTGTCCCCTAATCTGGACTTCAAGTTGCAGCTGGAGGCTTCCTGAGGGTATCGGTTTCTGACAGGTTGGACTGAGACACGCAGTACCATGAGCGTGAACGATTGACGACTAAATGTCACATCAGCAGCTGGTCATCCGTTATACATCAATCATACGTACTTCCCGGTCATTGAGCGGGGCGAACGCAAGTTCTCCTCTACAGGCAGGACACCGCACAATGAAGGGGGCGGCATCCTTGAACCGCTCTGCATCTGATATCCGTGAATCCAGAGAAGCAAATGCACGCTCCTCTGAGAAGCTACTAGATATAGCAGTTCGGTAGCGCGAAGGATCCAGACCTGACGACGAGTGAGCATCGTTTGTATCGGATGGATATAATAAATTTACCCAGGCACTCCGCTAATCGTGTTCGATCCGTTCCTTCGATAGGATCACATAGCCGTTCTATGGGAGGAAGAATCTGTTGGGAAAGATAATATTCATAATCTGGAGATGTCAGTAATATATAGGGATCAATGTGTGCCCACAACTCACCTATCTTGAGCTCCGATCCAGCCTTTCGAAGTTCGTCGGGATGCCTAGCACGATCAGCCTGGCCAGTTTTCGCCGACTCCTCCCCTTCAGCCAGGCAGAAAATGTAAGGGATTACATCTCCTGCCCTTGCCGACCCACCCCTCGTCTTCATTTTCATAGCGACCTGAACGTGTGGTAGCCCATGAGCTTTCGGGTATTCTTCCGGATTTTTACCGAGTCGCTGTGGAGCACTGATGAGAGGCACTTCATGCGAAAAAGACACAGTACAGACCTTAAAAATGATAAAGTCGTCGAGTTTGACCTTGTCTTCCCTGACATTCTTCCCAATGGTTGTCAAATATTCATGTATTTGTTCCACCACGATTTCGGTCGCTTCGCCAGATAGAATCTGTTCCAATATGTACCTAACATTGCCGTGAGCATGAGCACGATCATCAGAAAATGATATCACTTACTGCGAAACGTTTTTTGAAAGTGCACAGTATTCTCGACGCTTCATATCGAGACCCTTCACTTCCGTCGACGTCCTAGTACCATCCTCGACCTTGATAGCTGCATACTTCTTCTTTTGCAAAAGCAGCAGTCGCTGGAATATGCCATCTAAATCGATTTCCAACAGCTTGTACCGGTCGTTGACAGCCTTCTTGAACTCAGCGGCAATCTTGAGGGCTTCCGATAGTTCGGTGACGTTAGAGTTCACAAAGACCGAATCAGTATCACCGTAAACAACCTAAAATATCGTATGGCTAAGCCAACCAGAAAGAAGCGAACGGATGAAAGACTGACATCAAGCTGCATGCTTTCTGCTAGCTCCTTCGTATGCGTCAGAATTTCTCGTCCCTTGAACGTTGTTAAAGCGGCCAAAGGACGAGCGTAGAACCTCGAATACTCGAAGCCTAGACAGCCATACATACTGTTAGCGGTGAGTTTGAGAGCTTGCTGTTTGATATCGTACTATGGCAATAAACGGGTCAGAACGAGATATTCAACTAAAACGCAGCGACTGATATTACCTGCAGCAGCTGCGCAGGCGTTGCGGTTTTATCCTTCATAAGAGATTTGACCTGGCGCCGCCTGTTGACAAGGGTAGCAATAAGTCGAGGGAGAACACCCTGCGAGACTGATGAACCAGGCGGCTCAAGAATATGCTCTTCTTCGTTCTACAGAAAGCCACGTGTCAGCCAGAAACATAGCGAATGAAAGAAAGCATAAGCAAACCTCGTGCTCGTTATCGATTGAATCGACAGTTGTGAAATCGATGTTATACTCTTGAATAATACTGGGATACAAGGAGTTGAAGTCCATGACCAGGATGAACTTATCCCAAAGGCCACGCTTAGGCTCGAAGACCAAGCCACCCTTATACTTGTCCCTCTTCGATTTGCTAGGTTTCCCGTCGCCATCGGCTTCCTCGTTCTCGGACTTCTTCTCGGGCTTGCTCTTCTTACCCCAAGATTTATCGGGACATATGTACTTGAGCCTATGGAACTCGTGCAACAGAATGTATTCGTTTCGTTCGGCACGTCCACCGTTCAGAGTCTTGTTCCTATAGTCGGTGTGAGAAAACGACGGAGCTGAAGATGACAGCGAACATACCAAGAATTTCCCGCGAGATTAGTCAATTGTTTCGTTAAAGGTAGTATCTGCACTTTGGAGGCAATAGCCATATGGTAATGTGCGTCCAGTTCGCAGTGCTGAACGAAGGTCATGAGTCTCTCGGGGCCGCTGACAGTGCTGTCAAGGTAGCTCGCAGTATCGTCGGGGTCGATGTCTTGTCGGTCACTTTTCAGGTGCGTTTTACACATTTCGGTTAGAGACCAGGTAGTTGAAGCAATCATGCTCTACAAACAAACTGTTTAGAAAAACAAGGCAGTCAAAGAGTTAATGATAAACCTTTGCACCGTCACTAGCGAGATCACAAAGCATGCGTCCAGAAAGGAACTTGATGTTCGACCCTTGTTTCCCAATGTTGGGCCATTTAGATCGCCTGAATCGCCCCAGTCTAGACCAGTGGTCCACTTTGAGACCTTTCATACGATGCAAAAAGACATCTAATGAAGAACCCAAAAACTCGTGGCCAACAATGACGTCCGGGTCAGCTTTATGCAACGCCACTATGAGAGAGCATGTCAATAAGGGGCATTCTCCAGCGGGTGAATGTGTATACCCAACAGACTGCTGAGGAGCATGCGTTCGTTCTTCGCAGTTGATATTTGACCTTTGCCATGTGCCTTTGCCCGAGTTTCGAAGTTTGGTGGGAAACGATCGAGAGGGCGTACAAAAGTTTGAACGGTACATGGCAACTGCTCCGGTGGTTTCGGGTCATCAATAGCCACTGTTCCTTGTCAATAAAGCAAGTATCACTGAAAACGAGGAAGACTGACTGTTATGCCATATTCTTGCGGTCGCGCAGACAACTTCCCTCATATTCTCAGCGTGATTGACAATTGTTCGAACGCTCAAGCTCATGACTGTCAATGGTGGAGTGTCCTTCGGTACGCTGGGATCAGAATCTGAGAAGGGATTGAAATCCTTTGGGTCTGATACTGTGACCTCCAGTTTGCACCAGGATATCTGTGAATATGCATAAGTTGCAAGACAAATGAAAAGGAAAGTGCACCCACCCCCTGATTGTCGATCTTTGGGTTCTTGATTTGAATCCAGCACGGACCCATAATCTTCCTCTTGAGCACGAGGAGCTCAAAAGCACTAGTATTTGTCCCGAAGATCTTTGAGATGTTGGGGCTGTTGAGCGTGTTTGGTAGTTGTGGTTCTGACATTGGTATTGAGTGATTGATGTGACTTAGAACAATAAAGGAGACCTACGATCAAAACCATATATTACTTTCATCCACTGACGTTCTTCCCGAGGCACGTCCGTCTCACCAAACGCGTACTTTCGTTTGACAAACTTGCCTTTAAAGCTCTTGATACCAACCTTCTTTCGAATCGCGTCGAAGTCGCGGTATACATCCTGCAGTGAAGGGACTTCGTCGGTCTCATACATATTGTTTTCAGTCGTCAACTTCTACGCGTTTATCTCGTGGTAGAACGAAGAGATTGCGCTCCAGCGCTTCAACTGTGACACAACAAGACACCCATACACCTGTGACCTTGTCCTTTAGCTTTGCCGATGAAGTATAATTTTCCTTCGTGTTCAAGGTAGTCAAGCCAGAAGAACCGCAGGGAACCATCTGGTTCCAGGGCTGCGATTTTGCTGCTGCTGGCGGCGGATGAAGAAGACTCTAAAGGACCCAGCGTGTCAGATTCGGCGATGGCAAGAGAATCATAAACTGAAAGCCACGATGGTAGGGCATCTGCTTCCTCTTTCTTGGGCAGGGATGCAACCACGGGCTCTTTCTTGACCGGCTTGAAATCATCATCAATGTCATCGTCCATTTGATCAAATGCGTCCATGTCGAAGTCGAAGTCATCCGGAATGTCCACGTCAGAGCTCGACACCACGTTCATCCGAGAAAGACGTTGAGTAGCTGGTGTCATCCCTGCGACGTCGGTCTTAACCTTTTTCTTGGGGCTGAAAATTAGGTCGTCGCTCGGGGTATCGGGGAAAGGGCTATCCATGGGACCGTCTGAGGAGGTGTCGGCGTATGATTCATGGTCACGATAGGGTACTGGAGAAGAGTTGTTGTCATAGTCATATGAAGGAGACGTCTTGCGTTTTCGCGATTTGGGAACGGCAGGGATGGGCTCCGCATCCATGTCCCCCAAAAGAGAAGCCATGAAGCTATCTTCTTCATCTTTCGAAACCTTTGGCCGGTATGCACTGATTGTTGGTGCAATGGGGGTCGGTGAGGGTGGCCTAGGTCTGGCTTTGGTTTTCTTGGTATCCGGCTTGACCAATTTCTTTTTCGCTGTACGGACACGCGTCAGACGCGAGATACTGAGAGCCAAGCAGTTGACAGCACCTTTTCTGTCTAACTGCATGTCCTCATCCGAGTCGTATGCCTCCGCTTCTGCCCAGTCGTCCATGCCATTGTCCATGTAACCGTCCACGCCATCATCGACAACAAAGTCGTCTCTCTGTAAACGGCCCTTGACAATGCTATTGTATTGGTCTTCTGATACTTCGTCGTAAATTTGAACGTCTTCCTCCTGTTAGTGTCTGGTGTTCGACGCGTCTGTTTTTAGGGTCATGGACTTGGCTTACCTTGAGTTTACGTGTTCCGCCCGCCCTGGCACGTTTCAATTCAGCCAAAGCCTCTAATTTTGACTTTTTGCCGCGTGAGGACATCGAGAAGAGCGAAGAAGGGTGGCGGTGTAGTAGGTAGATGTTGCTGTCAGAAAGCCACTGTAAGGGTGTGACGTTACATTGCACTGTGTGACGCCTACACGTGTTTGTACTCGGCAAAAAGCGGCAGATACCGACGCGTCTTGAACTCTTTCCGTCACCGGACAAGTTACAAGTACAGTGTAATTTACTGTACATTTGTGCATGATATTGCTATCTTGTGGAACTCGTTACATATCATCACAGTGTGCCATCGGGAGGTAACTTGAGAAGAATGGCACCATAGTAGGTTCATGGGCATAGTACTTAGGGCACTAGTATTTCCGCCCAGAAAGCTGAAGAAAGGCTTGCCGATGACTGGAAATAGTCTCAGACAGGTGGGAATAAGCTAGCGAAGGCTGCTTCGAAGTTACCAATCGGCTCTTGGGAATCATTGACTGAGTACCTGTTTCCCAGTGAATCATTCTGAGCATCATGATCTATTATTGGACGATCCAGAACCACTTTAAGTATACATCCTAGCGATCACCGCTGAAGGAAGGTAGTCTGGGAAATTTGCTTACATAGATTAACTAGTGCTAGCAGTCCGATCTTGAGGATTCTCACGCGACAGTCGCGCAAGGAACGAGTCGTCAAATGAATCCTGATATTCCTTGTGTCCTACGTCAAAAAAGTGGAGCGTGTTGATTGAATTCTACAATAAGTAATGATAATACTACATTTGAGGTCATTGGACAGGTAGACTGAGACGGTAGTGAGGTGATCATCCTGAGAGCGTCACCCGTTCCACCTGCTCTTCCTCACTCTTTAATTCCGGGGATAACCGGTCCCGGTGTACTTTTCCCTGCTCCGCTTCGTAGTAATGGTCTTTCATACGTCCGGTGACAATTGCGTGGGCATTCCAAGCCTTGACATCAGGAGCGAATAATTCGTCCATGCGCTCAAGCGGTACTTGCTTCGTCTCGGGTAGAAGGAACTGCGGGATTGTCAGTCCGACAAGCCAGATGGTGGAAGAGAAGGATACTTACGAAAATGTAGAAGATGGATATCACCATCAAGCTGGCGAAGAAGAGATATACACCGTAGCCCATCGAAGTGAACATTTGAGGCGTGAATCGCGCAATGAGGAAACTGATGGTATGTGTTAACTTCTCATTTACATGGAAAACATAGTACTCACGCAAACAGCCAGTTCCCTGCAGCCATGCACGCTTGGGTGAACGTGCGAACATGTTGGGGAAAGATTTCAGCGCCAACGACCCAAGGAGTGCCGTTCCAGCTTGGAGAGTAGAAGATGGTCCAAAGGTAAAAGAAAGCAACTGGAGAGACAGAATGAGACATTATCTCGTTGATGGAGGTCCCTGACTTACCGGCACTTTTCCCTCCAGCATCAACAGTATGTGTCGAACTCGATTGTGGGTCGGCAACAGCAATATACGCTCCGATATAATACATGCATACCGCACCACCCGCGGAACCGATGATTAGCAGAATACGGCGGCCCAACTGATCAACGAGGTAGAGCAACCAGATCATTGCGCAAACAAGTTTAACTGTAATTCGGGGTCAAAATGAAGCATAAAAAAGAAACGATAAGGACGTACTGAGACCGTAGACACCGGTGGTCAGAAGTGAGGTACTTGATCCGGTAATTCCGATTGATTTGAAGATAGTCGGGCTGGTATCGAATAAAATCAGCGCAAGTTTCATCCAGTAATAATAGACACGCACGAATAGTAGTTGATTGCGTTGATACCGGTGGCGTTCTGCCATGCAAAAAGACTGATTCCAAGGAGAAGTCGCTGAATCAGCTTCACGTCTGCCATTACAGTCCTGACTGGCCCAAAGAACCCTGCTCCGGCCAAACTTCGTTCGTGTGCAACCGCTGCTTCGATCTCGCTGAACTCTTGAACGATGTAGGGTGCATCATGAGGGAGATTGCGTAGATAGCTGAGATTTCTCAACGCCTGCCCATTGCGATCACGAGTGACAAGGAAGCGAGGCGATTCAGTCATTAAGGGAGTCCCAATTAATAACAATCCTCCGGGCTATAGGGAAATTTTAGTTCGTGCATGGCTTTGGGGCTTGGATGACTTACAATAAGCTGCACGGCAAATGCAATGATCCACTGTTTGTGGCTGGGGGCAATGTGCTCCGTGACGCCATAATTAATCCAGAAACCTGTCGAAATTGGATTAACCCTAGTGATATAACAACTCCAAATGATCGAAACGTACCAATGACACCTCCGATTTGCCAGCACATCTCATACAAACCGACAAGACGTCCACGAATAGCAGGAGGAGAAATTTCGGCCACATATATAGGCTGTGACATCGTTTAAGAGTATATTCGACGTTTCACAGGTGGATACATACCGCCAGATTAGATGCAACTCCAATAGCCAGACCGACAATGACTCGTCCAGCGTACATAATTCCAAGTCCGGTATGGGATCTGTGTAATACGTTAGCGAGCGATAGATGAGGGAAGAGGGTTTACTCTTACGATGCAACGACCTGCAAGGCCGCGCCGACGCAGAAAACCGCCCCGGTGATCATCAATCCAAATTTGCGTCCATAAAAATAACCAATAGGATAACCGAAGATAGCGCCGAAAAAGCACCTGGATGAAAAAAAGTCAGAACTTCGGAGAAATAGTCCGATAAAGTCCGGCATACCCTGCTTGGTACATGGAGACGATGTTGGCGGAAATCAAGTCCAGCTCGGGCGTTGACTTGTCAAGGAGGTCGAACTCTGTCTTGAACGAGGTCAACGATATAGACGTGCCAATGAAGGCCGAGTCGTATCTGCCGCGAAGAAAAAGAAAAGGGTCAGATTCAACGATACGGGAAAAAGGGACGAAGACCAACCCAATCATAATGGCCGCAAAGGTAGCAATCAGAGCATTGACGTACACTCGCCAGGAGTATGCTTCTGGCGGCGTTGGTCTGTCTTCGACACGAGCGAGCTTGGCCATAGCTGAGAAGAGCGAAGCGGGGAGGGTGAGACGTGGGATGAAGAAAACGCAGTGATTCAGCTGCCGTTTCTTTTTGTAACTGACTGATGCCTTCCACGTGCTACGCACCCCGCAAAGACGGGGGTGGGGTTGATGATGAATTTGAGAAGGAGAAACGGGAGACGGTTTTTCCCAATAGAAGGCAATGTGATTGGAGGACCTTCATTTGATGTCAGAGATGGCCTATCGGACCTCGGTTATTGTTACAGCAATGAAATACACATTCCCCCGACGCACCAGGGAACCAATGATGCTGCGAGCTTTCCTCTTCCTGGGGGTTAAGGCCGTTAAGGTGCCAGTAATGGTAAAACATTTTTAGCATGACGTTGATCGTGGAAGAGTTCAAATCCGCTCTGGCGCCGCTGATGTAACTACCGGATGGAGCCCCGCGAATACACGAAGGAGGTGGATTTAGCAAAGATGTTGTCGAGAATGGACTCGGAATGCCTGGGTTGCGACTTAGTGAAAATGATTTAGCTGCGGTGAGGGTCAGAGAACCAGCGTGGTCACCAGGATGATTTTTTTGCTCCAGAACCAGCGCCACTGCAGGACCCAATAGCAAATAGGAGTGACTATTATCATGACCGCGAGGTCCTGTCCCCTTAACAAATAGTTTGCTCGCAGAAAAGTGGGTCGGAAAGTAGAAAGAAATCCAACCTACTTGCTCAACAAGATTTTATATTACTTTAAGGCGAACGAAGGTCATGGGGTTGGATATCTAGGAGTTTGTACGCGACGTTGTTCCTATATGTCCGCCATATTAGCCTCCTAGAAAGAAGATCTTTGCCCACGGAGCCGCAACATGTTTGAGGTACGTATTATTTGAATTCCGTTACTTTTTTCCGTCAGATCTACCTACTCTTGGTTGTCGGCCACATCCACAAGCGTCATCATCGAACGTTACCGACCAGGTCTATACACGACTACGAATACTAATGCGTAATACTTGATAATACAAACACTATTCCCCCCTCAGCCTTCAGTATGCGTGCCCAGAACACAAGTCAGGATGTGCCATTGTGGAATCCGATATTTGGTATCAATCGGAGTGAACGATTATTGAGTAGCGGTAGCAGGTGAGCCTGTTTACTAGGCTCGTACCATTTAAGGCTGTTCCCAGTTCAAAAAACCGACGCTTCGCTGGCAGAGTGCCAGATATTCCCCCCAACCAAAAATAAAAACGACAATGCATTCCGTTTGAAATGCGCATTGAGTTTTTCCTCGGAATAGGGTATGTGGAACAAGGGAGGACAAGGTAAAGGCCCATATAGGCTCCTGTCTGTTCCTCAGGCTCGATCTCATGACTACTGCGAGGGACATTCATCATTTCAACCATGCGACTTCCAAGGATGAAACTTCATAATTGTACTATCTCCAGCATTCTGGAAGTAGCCGTTACAAACGATAGACACGAAACATGATCGATAGATCCATCTACTTACAGATTTTACACTTCCATCTCCTTTCCATCTAGCCAGTCTTTCACCTGCCTCAGTAATTGGTCATGCTCCTCGCCGCGCGCGCCTGGCATGTCCCTCTTGACCTTAATCCCTGGCATACAAGCCTCTTGACAATAGGCCAAGTACCGATAACCAACCGGAAAAACTTTCAGTTTCTCATCATCGATCTCGGGGATGTGGCGTGGGTCAACAGTGATCAGCTTGTCCTTCTCATAGAAACACCTAACATAGCGTGCCCCCCACTTCCCAGAGGTGTCCTTTTCGAAGAACATACAAAAACTAAAATAGCGCTGTCAGCTGCGCTCTGATGTAATGTGGAGAAGGGTTCACTAACCGACAGTCGGATTCCGCATCTACCAGTGCGCTACGGCCGTGTCAGTATTGTACACATGACAAGAGATAGGAAAAGCTCGTACCCATTGAGAGGCAACTCAAATCGCTGAGTAATCGTGGCCTTCATTTTTACAACCGCCCGCGTGCCGGCGAGATCAACGGAGGACCCATGAATGCGATGCATGATACTCGCACCCTCGTCCATCCCATCTTGTGACGCTTTGATGAAGTCTTCTATAGGCATACGACCTGTCCACGTAGTATACACGAAAGCACCAGGATGGAATAGCGAGCGAAAGTTCGCCCACTCCCGGGCATCGCTGCGGCGCAAGTCAAAAACCAACTACGACCGAATAGTCCAAGATACGCACCGGTACATAGGCCAACCTTCGGCAAGTTCCCTAAGCTTGAATCGCTCCAGTGCCAGATCATCCGGCCCGTTGTTACGTATTGCGTGGTCAGGGCGTGTTCCAGCGGGTAGAGAATGAAGGTCAGGCATGATTCACACTTTGACGTGGTCTCTGGTATCATGGTGAGAGACGATGGTCCGGTGCTTATATAGCCATCGTAGCGAATTCTCACAGCCCGTGGTAGCTGCTCCGTCATCCATCCGATCTGAGAGCGGATGGACACAGGGTGCGCGTCCGTGTTCAAATCGGCATTCCCGCGAACCCCTTTCATCCTTTGAACCCACGTATCAGTTCTTCTTTAAATGACCTCCCACCGTCTCGTCTTCAACTTGGAGTCAGGTGTCCACAATCTCTGCATCATCTGCATCTGGCTATTCTCTGCAAATGGCATATCCGACTATTACTCATCCCGACGCGCAGATGCCCCGCAAACTTCATCTATTTGGGTACCCAATCGCACACTCGGTCGGTCCATGCGTTCATACTTTTGTGGCTGAATCCGTCGGCCTTCCGTGGAAATGCACGCACTTCGAGACGCCCGACATCGAGAAGGTAGTCGAGGCGATGAAGGCTGAGGATTTTATCGCCGGCGCGGTGATGATGCCTTTGAAACTGCCTATCATGGCGAATATGGACAGTATCGACGATCTCGCTCGGATTGTGAGCGCCGCTAATACCATTACTGTGACAACCGGCAAAAAACTCGTTGGATCTAATACCGAGTCAGCTTAAATGATCAGTTCGCGAGCACGAGCTTACTGGCATACTCCACAGCGCTGCAGGCATCCGTGATGCTCTAGTCCGAAGTATCCGAGACAGGTAAGAATCTTCCTGGGATGATCATCGGGACTGGAGGGGCTTCGCATGCCGCTATGTACGGGCTATTTGGACTGTTCAACCGTGTATCTGGTGAATCGGGATCCTGCAAAGGCCAAGCAGGTCGTCGCTGAGATGATAGCAGGCAGATTCGCTGACTCCAAGGAGAAGATTATCGTCGTCGAGAACGTGGAGCAGGCAAAGACTTTGGACGCGCCGTTCTATGTCGTGGGGTAAGTATCTATGAGCTAAGAGCTGTAAGGAGAACTTACCAGTGTCTAGTTGTATACCGAACAACACACCTGTTACTGAAGGTGAGGTTACCGCCAGAGCCATGGTAGATAACTTGTTCCGCGGAAAGACCCGGTGTATTCCTCGATATGTGAGTGGGCGCTTCTGCAGCACATAGCAGGTCGTCGGTTGAGAACGCGATCCAGGTGCTTCAAACCTCGCATCACACAGCTAGTCGAGATCGCGGAGGTATATTTTACCCTTCCTCTGACATCGCGTTCCCTGACTTAGTGCCATAATAGCCCCGGGGATGGGCGACAATCGATGGTATTGAAGTCCTCGGACTACAACTTCTGGAGCAATGGCGACTCTGGCTTGGCCCAAACGTACCACTACCAGCTCGAGCTGCGCGCCAGAAGGTGCGAGACTTGGCTACAGGAAGCGCCTCTCTCAACGTCTCCAGCAGTGTTGGATTTAATCAAAAGCAGACAGACTTAGTAGAATTTGAAACAAACTATTGCGAAGTTCTTTAAAAACGCTCATGAGTTTCGAACGGACACTCACAAGGTTCTTCAACAGCAGCCACCCACCTCTACGGTTCGAACCTCGGGTGCCATGCTGGTAAGAGAGAAAAAACTTCCGGAATTAGAACGGAACAAATTCTTTCCACCGGTCCGGTCAAAGGATTAAGTCAAATCCGATATTTAAGTCTCCGATCATAACACGGGGGTCCGATGCCGAAGTAGAAGCCGTTTTCCCACACCTTTATTTCCCCACCTTTGAAGGGTGGGGAAACTTGAGGTAGATCGACAGCCGCCATGTCGTCGAAACGCACCATTCTGCTCATCAACGGGCCCAACCTCAACCTTTTGGGTACCCGTGAGCCTCATATCTACGGATCCGATACCCTGGCCGACGTGGTGTTGAATACGAGAGCCATAGCAGACAAGCACGATGCGACGCTCTACGATTTCCAGAGCAATCACGAGGGCGCCATCGTGGACAGGATCCACCAGGCGAAAGATGAGGGCGTTGATGGAATCATCATCAATCCAGGTAGGCCGTCAGCCAGTTCTTTTTGTATATTCCAGTAGTCTGATCGTTTTAAGGTGGTCTTACTCATACATCGGTGGTGGTCCGTGACGCGCTGCTCGGCGTTTCAATACCATTTATTGAACTTCACGTAACAAATGTTCACTCGCGAGAACCGTTCAGGCATCATTCATACTTTTCGGACAAGGCGGCAGCCATTATTGTTGGCTTTGGCGTTAAAGGATATGGTATGCCTTCGGTTCCTCTTTCGTGCTAGCGCTAATGGTATCTTGCTACTTCTCAGAGTACGCTATTGATTTTGTTGTTACGAGCCCGAAGTTCGGTAAAACGAAGGAGAAATAAAGTAGAAGTATGTTTGATTACAATGTAACAACCTTCTCACTCTCGAAACAAGCCACATTATTCATCGACTATGCAATCAAGATTTGAGATTCGACAGGTTGAACAGCAACTACAAAGCATAGCCCTGCTATATCCGGCTCTAGACGCCACTCCACCTAATCGTGACCGCATGGTTGGATGGTTCTGCAAGCTTCTTCTTTACCCATTAGGTACGTTCGTCATTATTACCGACAGTTCGTGTACAATGTGGGCTAAATATTGTCCATTTCACTCACGCGCCATCGGGCCAAGAGCTAGCTCCCAGTATAAACCTACTAAGTCTTTTACTCCAGTGCGGTAGTACAGTGGCGTTCTTCTAGTCATTCACTTTGTCGCTCTGCATCGAACCCCATCCCAACGCTTCTGAGCTGGGTGTCACGGTTCAATGGATGCCCTTAAAATGGCTGCTTTTCGCCCATTTCTTACTATCCTCACCTCGAAAGCAACAACCATGATCATCACCTCTGCGCAGACTGCTGAAAAGATTGCTTCGCTCGATGAGGTCCAAGCCATCACAGAGATGGTTCATCTCAGCTTTTCCAATTGTGAGTTTCATTGTAGTCGTTACATATATAGTAGTCGCCGCTTCTAACCTCACGACACTGGACAGGCACCGACGAAAGGATGAAGTTCCTCTTTAAGAACTTGGTTGGTTTCTTCAATAACTTTTTATAGCCAGACCGGCGTGAACCTTTACTTAGATTGATCATATCCATAATTTCGTCCGAGAGACGTCTTTGACCCATGAGGAGTGGTCGTAAGTCGTACTATCTGTATAATACTTGGCATACTGAGTTTCTTTCAGGGCATCGATCGATTTTCTAGACAGATTCCGTCGGGAAGATCGATGTAAGCAGCGTGTTCTCAGTAGTAAGAGTTGGGTTGATTTGCTAACTCGTCGCGGGTAGATATTATGGTCATATCGGATGTTTTTGGCGTGTCAGCCCTCGTTGATTTGGTGAATAACAACAAGCCTCGTCACGCCACAGAGCAAACGATTTTGGGTCCCTCTCTATACCGAGAATACTCAGATCTGTGGGTTTAGAAAGCACATTGTTCTTAATTACCGTAACTGACTTTCTGCAACAGTAAAGAAAGGTGATTCTATCGCCTCTGAGGGGAAAGGCGAATATCTGTATGTGTCTGGGCGTATTTTGGACGTCCAAGGAAACCCTAGTCGCTGGCGCGGTAATGGATGTCTGGGAGGCAGATCAGCATGGGGTTTACGATAAGGAGGTAGGTACTTCTTCGTCGTGGCTCATGGCATGCTAACGAAACGCACAGTATCCGGATTACAATGACAAACCTGATTGCCGAGGACGCTTTACGACCGGAGAGGACGGTACATTCGCGTTCAGAGCTGTCAAGTCGGTTCTTTCGTATTCTAAATTTGAGGTTCTCTCTTTGCTGATTCGTAAGGTAACAGACCATTGGCTTACCCTTTCAATGCGGGTGGACCAATCGAAGATCTGCTTGACGCTCTGAACTCTATAAAGCACAGACCAGCCCATCTTCATTTCAAGATTGTCGTAAGTCATGTTTTCTGATGACTCGTATACATAACTAAACGTGTTTCTTATTCAGGCACCCAACTTCAGGGAACTCGTCACCCAGTTGTATCTCAAGGGTGATAAATACTTGGAGATCGACACTGCGTTTGCCGTCAGGCAGTCCCTCGTTGTGGTGAGTTTGATGTATGCTGAAATTCATTGGACATGCACTTATAACGCGTCTAGGATCCAAAGCTAATTACAGACACGTCTGTTACCCTGGCTCGGGGTTTCAAAGAGGCTAAGCCGCACCTTGAACTTGAGCGAGACTTTGTGCTTGTCAGGGAACAGGACCTCATCAAGGCCGAGGCTAAGGCTTAACCCTATAACGAGGTAGACGTAGGTTGTTTTCTGTATATCTGTGTAAATGAACAAATTACTTGGAACGAATTCGCTGGAAGGGTTTCATGCCGAAACGGCCGAACGTGTTCTCTTTGTCAATTTAACGCCTTGTAAAGCTGATTTTCTAGGCTATCTAAGTTTTCCTCAACGGTTGTAAAGACAGCTAACTTCACTGATAATGATACCAATGGCGAACGATGCCGTTAAAAAGAAGAAAAGAAGAGATGATGAGCTGAGTCTAAACTACGACCAGGAAAGGCAAGACCGGCTTTTGGTCCGATTCTCCGTTTATCTCCTAATCTCTCCTGGAGTGCAGAAACTTTCCTCCGACATATAAAATGAAACGTTCTCCGCATCGCATACCCCAGTTACTGTCCCGCAATGGCCTCCCCAGTCGCTCCCCAGAACAAGCGATTCCCTCTCTTCGGATACCCCATTGCACATTCGTCTGCCCCCGGTCTGCATAATACCTGCTTTGACGCCTTGAAGTCGGGCAACAGATATGAACTGTGGCCGACGTCAAAGATAACAGACGATGTATTAGAGTTCATCAAGAGTGACGAGTTTGGTGGATGCGCGTACGTCGGGTACTTTTCGTAAAACGAGCTCTGATCTGAAAAACTGCAGAGTGACGATGCCCAACAAGGCGGCCATTATACCCCATCTTGACGAAGTATCGCCCGAGACCCAGGTTACGGACGCGTGCAATACGATAGTGAAGGTTCGGACTGAGAATGGATTCAAGTTCGTCGGGCAGAATACCGACAGTATGTCCCTATACCTGACCACAACGCGATAAAGGCTTACTTTTCCCAGTCCTCGGTGTGCGAAACGCGCTGCTCAACGCTCTTCGTGACCAATATCCTGGGAAAGAACTGTCTTCACAGTTATCCTTCTCCGTCCGTCAAGGGTGCTGGTCTTGTAATAGGAGGAGGAGCGACAACGCGATCTGCTGCACATGCTCTTACTTTGCTGGGACTCAGCCCGATTTTCCTGATTAACCGGGACCCAGAGGAAGTGCGCATTGTTATGGAAGCAATGCCCCATCTTTCGAAGAAGGGAGGACTGATTCACTTGAAGAATCCGGATGATGTGGAGAAGTACCTTGTCGGTCCGGATGCTTATACCCTCGTGATGGCTGTTGGTGCTATTCGTATGTTAGCCGGCATCTCCAGAAATACCTCAATCTCATCCTTGTTTTTATAGCTGCCATCGCGCCTGTCACCTATGCAGAACGTATGGTATATACAACTGTCATGGCTGCGTCAACCATTCCTTACAAACAACCTACCTCCGAGTCGGGTCTTCCTTTACCCATAAAACGTATCTTCCTAGAAATGCCTGTAAGTCTTCCTCCTCCGTCGTACATTTTCGATCTGTACTGATAAAACGTTCCGGTAGTACAAGCCGCGCAGGACACCCATGCTTCAAATCGCAGAAGCTACCGGCTGGCATGTTATTAACGGTGTCCAGGTACGAAAATTCTCTTATCCGCGGTCAAAGTAGCCTGAATTCTTGGGACAGGCAATGATTGAGCAAGGACTTGCTCAACAGCGTATGTGGTACAGCGGCATCGCTACAGTCGAAGCGGGCAGTGATACAACGATACTGAGCAAGGAGATTGAAGATTCTGCAAGACAATTCGCCGAAGAGATGAAGGAAATCATCGTTCACGACAAGGAGGTGGATAGGGCTGCAGGAAAGGATGCAGGCACCGTGCCGAAGAAATAGATGGAGACTATCAATTCCATACCAAGACTAGTTGCTCTGAGCGATGCAAATTCAATGTAACCCATATAATCAAAGCCGTTGGGCTGATCGAGTCTTGTTTCTCCCTTCTGAATTAGACTCTCTGGACAAGAAAAGGTGGTTAAATTCCACGGCTGTAGCTGGTAAGAATCGTGAGGAGATCAATTCTTCAATCCTCTGCGGCAGACAGCTAGAAAGGAGCCTAGCATATTCAGCTTTCAGTTGTCTCAAGAAAGGATGAAATAAGCTGCTTGTCCATGAACGAGTCGTAGGTTGGGTACAGAAAAGTCGGACGATCGGTCCGGTCATCCGCGAGGTCAGAACTCGTTCACCACCGTCACCGTCACCATTGCCCTTTGCATTTGTAATGCTCCATCCAAAGCTTACAGTCCCTAGCGACCAGGAACGCGTACAGAAGTGGTCTATGGGACCCAACAAATTTGGCAAGATGATATTGTGACACGTTGAGTAATCTACTAGTTCTGAAGAGCAGAATGCGAGCAGTGCGTTCGACATTCTCTTTCATGCGTATCCTGCTAACTTGCCGACGTGGTATTGAATACGAGAGCCATAGCAGACAAGCGCGATGCGACGCTCTACGATTTCCAGAGCAATCACGAGGGCGCCATCGTGGACAGGATCCACCAGGCGAAAGATGAGGGCAGTTGATGGAATCATCATCAATCCAGGTAGGCCGTCAGCCAGTTCTTTTATATATTCCAGTAGTCTGATTCGTTCTAAGGTGGTCTTACTCATACATCGGTAGGTGGTCCGTGACGCGCTGCTTGGCGTTTCAATACCGTTTATTGAACTTCACGTAACGAACGTTCAACGTTCATTCGCGAGAACCGTTCAGGCATCATTCATATTTTTCGGACAAAGCGGCAGCCATTATTGTTGGCTTTGGCGTTAAAGGATATGGTATGCCTTTCAGTTCCTCTTTCGTGCTAGCGCTAATAGTATATTGCTATTTCTCAGAGTACGCTATTGATTTTGTCGCTACGAGCCCGAAGTTCGGTAAAACGGAGGAGAAATAAAGTAGAAGTATGTTTGATGAGAATACATAAACTAATGCTGATTACAATGTAGGCAACCTTTCACTCTCGAAATGAGTCATATTATTCATCGACTATGCAATCAGGATTTGAGGTTGAACGGCAACTACAAAGCAAAGCCCCACGATATCCGGTTCCAGACACCATTTCATCTGTGAGGGACGCGCGTTTGGTTGATTCTGCAAGCTTCTTCTCCCACCCATCAGGTATGTTCATCATTATGACTGACAATTCGTGTATAATATCGGCCAAATATTGTCCATTTCACTCATGCACCGTCAGCCGCCCAGCATAAACTTACTAAGTCTTCTGTTCTAGTGCGGTCCACAGCGTCGATCCTCTTAGAAATTGCTAGTATTGTTACTCTGCATCGGCACCGCAACAACTCTGAGCTAGTTGTTATGGCTCAACGGATGTTCTTTGAAATGGCTGCTTCTTGCTCGTTTCTTGTCATCCTCATCTTGAACAATCATGAACATCGCCTCTGCACAAACTGCTGAAAAAATAGCTTCGCTCAATGAGATCCAAGCCATCACGGAGATGGTCCATCTCAGCTTTTCCAACTATAAGTTTCATTATAGTTGTTATAGTCGCCGTTTCTAACTTCACAACACTGGACAGGCACCAATGAAAGGATGAAGTTCCTCTTCAAGAACTTGGTTAGTGTCTCCGATGATATTATAGACAGATTGACGTGAGCATTTGCTTAGATTGATCATATCCATAATTTCGTCCGAGAGACGTCTTTGACCCATGAGGAGTGGTCGTAAGTCGTACCATCTGTGTAATACTTGGCATACTGAGTTTCTTTCAGGGCATCGACTCGATTTTCTGGACAGATTCCGTCGAGAGGATCAATGTGAAGCAAGCCACTGTATCAGCAGATGTGAGAGTCAGGAGTGATTTGCTAACTCATCATGGGTTAAGATATCTCGATCATATCGGATGTTTTTGGCGTGTCGACCCTCGTTGCTGTTGACACAACACAACAAGCTCGTCCAGCCACAGACAAACACTCCTTGGGTCCTCTTTATACCGAGGAATCCTCAGATCTGTAGGTTGAAACAATTGTCTATTACCGTGGGACTCGCACAGTAAAGAAGCGTTCTACGCCTAGGGATTTGTAGGGGCGTATTTGACAAAGAACATCGATGGGGGTAATGGAGTCTTGGGAGGCAATCAATGGGTTACAATAAGGAGGTGGGACTCGTCATGGTCGCTCATTGCGGGCTACGGCCTATGATCGGACTACACGACAAGCCTGATTGCCGAGGACGCTTCACGACTGGAGAGGACGGTACATTCGCATTCAGAGCTGTGAAGTCGGTTCTTTCGTATTCTAAATTTGAGGTTCTCTCTTTGCTGATTCGTAAGGTAACAGACCATTGGCTTACCCTTTCAATGCGGGTGGACCAATCGAAGATCTTCTTAATGCTCTTAACGCTATAAAGTACAGACCAGCCCATCTTCATTTCAAGATTGTCGTAAGTCATGTTTTCTGATGACTCGTATATATAGCTAAAGGTATTTCTTAACCAGGCACCCAATTTCACGGAACTCGTCACCCAGTTGTATCTTAAGGGTGATAAATTCTTGGAGATTGATACTACATTTGCCGTCAAGCAGTCCCTCATTGTGGTGGGTTTGATTTATGCTGAAATTCATTGGACATGCACTTATAACGCTTCCAGGACCCGAAGCTAATTGCAGACACGTCTGTCACCCTGGCTCGGGGTTTCAAAGAAGCAAAGGCGCACCTTGAACTTGAGCGAGACTTTGTGCTTGTCAGGGAACAGGACCTCATCAAGCCCGAGGCCAAGGCTTAACCCTATAACGAGGTAGACATAGGCAGTTTTCTGTATATCTGCGTAAATGAGCAAATTTCCGAACGAATTCGCTGTGAAGTAGAAGGGATTCAGGTAGAAACAGCAGAATATGTGCTCTTTGTCAATTTAACGCCTCACAAAACCTGTTTTCTAGGCTATCTCCACGAAGATAGCCAACTTCACTGATAGTCATGCGGCGATTCCACGGTTGTAGCTGGTAAGAGTCGTGACGAGATCAATTCTTCAATCCTCTGCGGCAGACAGCTAGAAAGGAGCCTGGCATATTCATCTTTCAGTTGTCTCAAGAAAGGATGAAATAAGCTGCCTGTCAATGAACGAGTCGTAGGTTGGGTACAGAGAAGTCGGACGATCGGTCCGGTCATCCGCGAGGTCAGAACTTGTTCACCACGGTCACCACCGCACTTCACATTTGTAATGTTCCGTCCAAAATTACAGTCCTTAGCGACAGGAATGCACAAAGAAGAGGTCTGCAGGACCTAACAATTTTGACAAGATGATATGTTCGTTGAGCAGTCTAGTTCTGAAGAGTAGAATGCGAGTGGTGCATTCGACGCTCTCTTTCATGTAGATCCTGTCAAGTGCTAACATTCCGCCAGGCTTTCCAAGGTATGAAATATCCATGGTTGTGAAGATATAGAGTATCCTGTGTTTTTGCCTTGTTGCAAAGGAATCATGAAGGACTCGTTCTCTGGGCGGCTAACGCTGAAACGGATGGAACTGGTCTCTTAACTGTGGAACTGACCCGTCTTCTTCAAGTTGCATCTACCTTTCATAATGGCTACATACTCTATGTCATTTCAGTGGCTTGCCTAAGCTGTTCCATTCCACGCCCCGGTTCATCACGCGGCAAAGGGACAAGGACGATTATAATAGACTACTCCCAAAAGAGTTTGGTCTCCAAAGCAAGGCATCACAATTTCTCAAGATCCCCACTTGCCGTACTGACTTTGTCGTCGGCAATATCCTCGTCGAGCATATTGAATACCGAAAATGTTGCTTCGACCTGGCTACTAGCCCTTCGGAGCATGAGTTCTTGATTCTCACGATAAGAGAAGCTGGGCGGACAGCATACCTCATGGCAGGCCATTGAACGACAGTCCTCCAAAGTGGAGCCACCCGTCTGCTGATGTGGATGCGACCAATACAGATGGGAGGTCATCTACTGATGTAAAATTATCTGCCTCGGCGACCCTATCACCTCCCTACGTTTCCCCTTCACAACAAATTCTTCATCTCGTGCATTCGATTCTATCATGCTGTACCGTTTCGTGTTCACATGACGGTGGAGCTCCGCAAGTCGCAGAGATGCGTCGCTCTGGAGCAATTTCCGCCCCTCCAGATCACTAACAGGAACATTCCGGAGTACCATCGTGTTTTCACTCAGTCTTATTGGTATGCGTTTACCGTTTGGTCGGTTCTTCAGCTAGATACCCAGGCTTTGGTGCGGCAATCTGCACACCATGATTTGCATTCTGCAATGGAGCGTGTAGAATTGAAGCCTAGATACCTGTCAGCACCGTCCCAGAGACGATCAAAACGCGGTGGGAAGCAGAAATGGTTACGACTGATCAGGAGTGGGCTAGTTTGCAGGAGGTGAGCTTTATCATCATTTAGGTTTTGAGCAGATCTTTCTGATGCAAGGCTCAGGCATCAAAACAGGAATCAGCTCGGGTGCGTAAGTTCAAGTTAGAAAAAATGATAAAAGACATGGAGAGGGAGTTAGAAATCTATGAGACCCATGCTGTGCCTACTGGTAATACCTCTACCAATACATTATGAACCCTTTCGTTTCTTTGTATCTTCATCTTGGTTCACCGTTTTTCATGGTAATCACTGTCTGCCCTTCGTAAAAGAGCTGATGTCAGATTGATGCGTCATGCCGAAGTACAGCCACCACTGACGCGATATCGCCGGCGCTCCTGGAACAGCTCCTTGCCTCTGGACCATCACCTTCCCTTACCACTGCTGAGCATAATCCTTACTGAAACGCGTCACTCAACCTTGCAGAGATGCAGATAGCATCTCACGGAGCGCGGGCGGCAACCCGCGACGTCTCCGCCTTTATCGTTCCAAAATTACGAACGACGGCAACTAGGTCCATTCATGTTTCTGCGTACCCAAGCTTGTCACCCGCCGGCACTTCATTCACTGGAAATGCTGCGCGGAGGGTGCTATCCACGGCCAGACAAATTGCATCCCGATTCTATGCCCATCTCACTGCACCTGGACTAGGTGTTCGCCGGGCATCGTCAGTTGCTCGGTCTGTCCATGGAGGAGGACTTCCGGGGCGCATTCCATCCATACAGCAGCGCATGTCGCACTCAGTTCGATACAGTCTAGCTAGACCTCTGCAACAACATTTCATTCCCCGCGGCCCTATCATTCCTCGGACCGTAACCCAAGTCGGTCTTGGGACAGCAAGGAACTTTTCCTCAGGCCGTGTTCTCTTTGATAATTTTGCACAAAACGTACCTGTAACAGGCCGTGCGTTTTGCGAGGTCGATTGGGAGATTAAAATGAGGAAGGAAAGGGAGGCAATGAAGAAGTCCATCAAGCACGACAAGAAGAAAGCTGGTGGCAAGCTCTCCTTGAAGGCAAAGGAGAACAAGATTGTTCTGCCTTCTACTCCTGTTTCAGAGCCTACTGTTGATGCCGAGATTGAGCACTACTTCCCCGCTCTTCCAAGCAATGGAGTTACAACTTCTCTTCTCATCCCCCTCGCACCTACCCCTACTGAGCGTATCCCTCTTCCTCCAGATACGTCCCCTCACCAGTCCCTCCTTCCTTTACCGAAGCTTGCATCTATCCATGCCTCTCACGAACTGCATTCACTGCGAGTGTCAACTCTATTCACCCGACTCGACGCGGCCAATGTCTGGGAGCGGGGCGTACAATGCTCTGCATACGCTACCCGCGCCGATGCCAATGGTGTCTGCACCATTCTCAAAGTCGAGTTTGTTGGTTGGACTAAAGCTGAAGTGAGGAGCATCATCGGGGAAAGTGGAAGCGGGTGGTGCGCGCTAGAAGAACTGCGAACCATACCAGAGGAAGACGATGATGATGCGCTCTCTGATACCTCTTCTATTCTTTCTGGCATGTCAGGAGAGTGTGAGGATCATATGGAGAAACCTCCTCATTTTGAGGAGCCAACCGGATCGTTCATCCTTCCGACCCTTGACTTCTCTTCCCCAAGTCGACCGCCCTCCGACTTTGATATGTTTTCTGACGCCGATTCTGACATCGATATGGAGTCCTTATCCGATGTGTCATCTGTCTGTGTTGATCCTCCCTCCACCAACGGATGGTATCTTTTCAGCTCGGATTTCTCTCGGCGGGCAAGTGATCATGGACGGCTATCCACGTAGACCCGTGTTGTCCAGATTATCGATTGATATGTAGGGGAAGATGATGTGAGCTCATACACGATTGCCGCGCATCTCTTTCTGTTTTATCTATATGATATTTACGACCCAAGGCATTTCTCATTAGTAGAATGCGTTCACAATCTTTTCTTCATTCCCTGTACTTGTATACTGCCCCAGAAATGCATCAATGTTTATGACTATCTCTATGACGTCGACACAAAAGTTCATGTTTCTCGGCCAAGGAGAGGAACGCCGATCTCATTGCTGTACAGACAATAGGAAACCATGTCCTTATACGACAGGCATCTCGAAGATACGGATCACTTGCATCCGCTGGAAGCCAATCGATGTTGTGATTTTACCTGGACGGTGTTGATCAGTTTCGGTCTACGTGTGAGGGGCACCGTCAGGATGGATATTGGGTTTCGGAACCGCTAGACGTCTGACTTTTGAAGGGGCCCCGTGCAGCGCAGTTCTATCCGACAGCCAATAATGAAACGGACCCTGTGAATACATGAGGGTAATCAGATATGGTCTCTCCATCTCATGACCCGCTCAACACAATAGTTTGCTCTTCCTGACTCACCTTCATCACAATCACTCCCACCTACCCCAAAAATACCACTGAGAATGGAGTTCGGGTGGTGCGGTGGTAACACAGAATGAACACCGATGACGAAATGATTTGAGGTTTCCTTTTTCTCTCGGGGATGTTACAATCGCCTAGAGAAGATCTACGGTTGTGGGGGCGGCAGGACCCGACCAAAGTCCGACCGCAGTTCAGAATTTGTACGTGGGGCCAAGAGAGAACTCTAATCATGGTTCAAGAATTTCCCAGATTTTGTAACAAGCCTCGAGGCGAGCCTAGCTCCTGGAGCGCGTGGTTCCTTCGACCCAGTCACAAAGGCACTATGCTGCTACTGTAGTCGGTGGTGGCGCCACACAACGTTGCAGCCACGCGTTGTCCAGGGTCTGGTTCATATCTATGATGCAATAGTCAGCGTGGAGGGGGTTCGAAAGATTGCGTAACGTGCCCCTCCATAAAAGGTACTTAGGGTGTAAACAAATCGCATTACAACTGGTCTACGAGTATATCATGATGAGTGGGTATAGTTTCCGACGTGAAGATGGCGTGAACCGTAATTGTGTACGTAGAGTCGTGTGCATGCGATATTATGAAGGTCGTTTCCTTTGGTGATGAATTAATGTGTGGAGTGCTCAAATTCGAGGCAGAAATGAATGTGGAGGTAGAAAGGCGGTCTGCAAGGAAGTGATGAGCACGATCGATCAGGGCGATCGAGACAAAAAAGCTATAGTCCCCACCAGTAGGAATGCCCGCGGTTGCGCCTCTTCTTGCTTGAATGCCTGCTTTGCTGGCGAGAGGGAGGAGAATTGGCGTTCTTCCCGCTCATAAAGTTCACAAAACGGGAGAAAACACCCTTCTTCGCAACCGGCGGTGCAGAGTAAGGCTGGATAGGGTATTGGTATTGAGGTGACTGGGGCTGTTGGTAGGGGGCCTGCAAGAAATGAATGTTCGTAGCCGCGAAGTAGCAGGTAGGAATACGTACTGTCGTCATCTGACCCATCTGGGGATGCATATAGTAATAATTCGCCGAGTACTGGGGCGTCGATTGCTGTTGGTACATTGGGGGTCGTGTGGGGTAGACGGGAGTCGTGGCCGACCGCGAAGATTTGTGATGTCGAGAATGGTCGCGAGAGGACTTTGGGATATATGTCTCCGTCTTAGATCTAGTATGTTTAGGTCGGGAGCTCGTCGTGGGACGTGATGAGGACGAGGATACTCGTCGCTCCGGTCGAGGTTGAGGCATGACATGGAATGTCTGTGCCCGCTGAGGGAGTTCCGGGACAAACGGATTGGATGGAGAATGTTTTTTGGTCTCGGTGACCCATTTGTGAATGCTGCGCTGTTTCTCGTGGTATTGATGAATCGCAGCTGGACTGAAATCGTACTCCGTCATGGTGGAAGGAAAGAAAGAGGGATTAATGTTTGGACTTGTTGGCCGTCAATAAAGAAAGTCAGGGCCGGGAGGTGAATTACGCATCGGGCCCTTGATTGCCTTTCACGGATGCGGGGTATCAGGAAGACATGTAATGTGTCCGAAACGAATGACGGAACACCAGAACGCAAAGATCGATGAAACGATGCCCGGCTGGGAAAATTGCTCCTAAGTACAGCTGCAAAAATCAAAACGGCTTCGGCTCGCCTTTATCAGAAAACGTCCAGGTGCTCAAATGTGCACCGCTCAGAGAGTCAGGACATGGCCCAGCCAAGGCCGAGAGATTCGGTGATTTGCACGCGGCACGACACAAAACAAACATCTAGAGGCATCTAGGAACATGAAGCAAAAGAAACACGCTGGAAGCAGGATTTGAACCTACGCGGTGAAACACCAAGTGATAATTTGATGATTACATAAGCCGCTGCCGCGACTGAGCTTCGTTCAAATCACTCGCCTTAACGACTCGGCCATCCCAGCACGATTTAGACTGGCGACAGAGATACCTACATCTCTAAAGTACTCTACTCGACTTCAAGGACACCCTCTTCCTCAGTATATGCTCCCCCATAACGCTGAAGAGTGACTAGTAGTGGTACGTACAGCCGCCGGTATCATACTTTCTACCTGCCTATTAAGGAATGTAGCTCAGACAGCAAGGTCAGGCGAGCAGCCACCAAATCACTCCAAGTAGGCGAATACTTGGCCCGGTAGTGATTGCAAGAGTTCTTAGAGTGCGGACATACAGGTTCCCCGTTCTTACGGTTGAAGATGAATCGGAAACCTTATGTACTAAAGGGCACACTAAGTGCACACGACAGGCAAATGCGGCCAATGAAAACCATCTGTTCAATAGTGCCATATGTTCAAGTTCCGAGGCGCATGACCAATTCTCGTTATGAATGAAACAGGGTGGAGGTTAATGGATGCAGCCGGATCTTAGCAAAGGATACCTCTTCCACTTCGAAATCGAGGCCAGACGCCAGCATGGTATACGGGCGTTATTAATTCAACACCAGAGAGGTGGCGAGTTACGGTAATGCAGAGATTCATATTTTTTTGTGAAAAGGGTATCACTGCCAAGAGTCCGAGGAGGTACATAGTATTAACAAGAAACAGCTTCACTCTGACCAGAGTTAGATGGCCGCTGCAAGGATGTCGCTGGTACAGCCTGGACTTGGTATTCTCCCACGTCGACTCACGGAAGGACTGTCACTGAGTATTAATCCCGAAGAAATTAGGTTGTTGAAGCCTGGGACCGGGTACAAGAGGGAAGAAGAGGACCTGAACACAGTCCCACCACCGCGTCTTCGCAGATGTACTTTTGCGGTTAATTAAATGCCGAGTTTCCAAAAAAAAAAACCGAGTACTAATATGCCTTAACGTCGTTGTACATCTTGTCGGCATCCTGAAATAAGTGAAAATAGTCAAAGACATGCGTAGTGACGCCTCAAAGGCATGAGGTCTGTGCCAACAAACGCGGCGTTTTCGATGCGGAAATGATGGGAGGCCAAGCGCAGAGCACGGAGAAAAAAATTCATTCAAACTCGGTGTAGCCATCGGCCAGACCCACGCAACGTATGAACTCCAAGGAAATCCAAGAAACCCGAAGAGAAATGTTATATAGTAGTAAAGATAGACTGTCCTCCATGGAGAGTTGTGAAAGTTTCCGAGGGTAGGTTGTTGTGTCATATGCCCAGAGAAAACCAAGGCGCCTAAGGAAGTGATGGATAAGTGATGATGGAGAGGTTGAAGTTTAACGCTGAAGGCGGATATGCAAGCCTGGAGGCATAGGTAGATAGATGTAAATGATGATAGTCCTGAACGAGTATACAATATCGACAGAGATATATGCTCGTCGTTAATGATCTTTCATTATCGACGTGCATATCACCTCATCGACATTATGCAATGTGATGAGAAGATTCGGAAGCGATGAATACGCGCGCACATGTCCTGAACAAATGTTCAATAATGATCAAGTGACCCGGAAATGAGGGGACATGGGAAGAGACAAGGATGCCGAAGGATGTAATAGGCCAACATGCAGTGACACAAAGGGATAGGATATAGAGGGCACAGAACTCGTTAACTACTGTCAGCAGTCAATGGTCCTTCTGAGGTTCCTCGGAGAACGGTGATGGCCCGTCGACAAGTTTCCTCATCTGCCAAGGACAGAAGGACAAGTAAGCTCGTCAGCAAACCAACCCTCCACTGGTGACCAGCCGCATGTACCAGAACCTGATACACCGCTGATCGTCCCTAAGACTTGACGTGGCGATGTAGTAGTCGTGTGACCAACATCCCTCGCCATCTCCTCGTTCATGATCCTTGCTGGATGGTTCATCAAGTGGAATATTGGGAACGGCATACCTGAGAATAAAGTCAGAACGATGGGGAAAAAAACAACTATGAAAATGAAGGCTCACGCAACGACGTGCTCGACGCACAGGGGATCCGCTTTCTTCTTGCTGGCGCCTTGTCGGCGCAAGAGTAAGGGAACAGAATTGAGTAAAAGGTTTTGGCAGGTTGATCTGCAGTAAGGGGATAGATGGGGACGCATCCATTCCAGGTCGCTGCACCCTTCCAGACCGTATAGAAATGCGTGATAATGACAGTTCGTCAGTACGAGCAAATCCAGTGGCTTGAACAGGGACAAACGATAGCTTCCTTCTCCAGGAGCCAACCGGAATGCGGGACGGTGAAAACATGCCTCTTCGAATACGCCCGAACGATGGTCTCTCAAACGAATCCTCGACCACTAAGTCATCGAAAGATGAGTCTGAGGAAGAGAACTGCAGGACCGGGTTCGATGGTCGTGCAAACGAAGAGCGAACCATGGATATATCCTTCGTAACATGGACCGTCAGCAGGTGCACCACGGCAAGCAACCGACAATGCTTACCAACGCCTCATTCACGTCAGATAAGTATTCAGTAGCAGTCTCGGTAGAGATAGCTGGCACCAAGGTGCGATAGAGGCCATTCGCTAGGTTCTCGTCGGGTAGCCACAATGCCTGAAAGTGATAATGAGTCATCGTGGATATGGGCATGGTGCTTTGCGAAAACACTCGCCTTGGTCCCAGACGACGAACCATCCGGTGCTCTCAAGGAATTGAGGCGAGGTCGAAGCCAACTGCCATTCAGGGGAAATGGGCTGAATATCCGTTAAGAACAATAACGACAAGGCACCGCTGGCTACAAATTATCGTGCATTAGCACGTTTGTCACGAAAAGGAGCTGGAGAAGCTAACCTTGATGTCCTCTGCGACTGCGACTTCGTCATACATGGGTTGGCGCAATTTCTCACAGACGGTATCCTGCACCAGATCGTTGACAAATAGAAAGGGCGTCGTGGAAGCCATAGCCTTTGCATCCTGAAAACACGAAAGTGAGTGACCATCGTACAGGCATTCTGAGAGACACCCACGTCGACGCCCGCCACTAAGCTAGCATAGAGTCTGAAGTATCGGGGACTACAACCATGTCCTTAAAGGTTATCTCCGATATCGGGTTTTGCTCGACCGTGGCGTACAGACCAAGGTTCGCCTGAAACGGAATCGCATTGAGAGTCCCAAGTGTGTCCTATGAGGCACATCAAGTTCATGCATCAAGGATTTGATCGACCAAGCTTACCTGGGATAGCGGGATATTCAACGCGAAGTTTACACCACGCTGGGATTGCCTGAGAATGGAGGCGGTACCGCGGGCGGGGCTGTTGTATGGGAAGGATGCCGTATCACTGACCTAGAGGTATAACAGTAAGAAACTGCCTCAAATAAAGCATGATATATGACACTCACATCAATTTGACGGTTTGAGGCTGGCAGCGAACCTTCACGGTGTTCTACGCAATTCGCCGCGGACGTGTCTAGTGATGTCCGGGCCGGGTCGGGCTGGGCTTTTCGGGCTTGGGCTGGGCTTTTGAGGGTCAGGCAATGGGAATGTGTGAGCCCGAGCCCTGAGCCCGCCAAAGCCCGCCTCAGGGTCAGGCTTGGGTCGGGCTGGGCTCGGGTATTTTGCTAGGCTTTTGGCATCCACAGGCATGAAATGAGGTGTAGATGTCACCTTCATGGTAAGTTTTGCTGTAAACTGTCATATTGATGCTTGAATCTCACAGATAAACCATACTCACCTTGTACAAAACCAATATCAGGATGCCACAGTCACTCACCAGCCTGACACCAGGGCTTGGGCTTTCCATATCTTGAGCCCGAGCCTTGAGCCCGCCAAAGCCCTCCATCAGGGCCAGGGCCGGGCTGGGCTGGGTCGGGTCGGGTCATGGGCTTTAAGCCTGACCCGGACATCACTAGGCGTGTCTGCCTCTATGACCTCCCCTCGAACTTGCCTTCTCAACGTAATGAACGGTACAGTCGGAATGACAGCGAGGACAGCTACCAGACCGATATGTGCACGCAGGCTACCAAATAGTAAGAAGTTGTCAAGGACAGGGAAAAGTTCGTTGGAATTGAGCTTCCTCAAAACGAAAGTACCACATGCGATGGCCATCACTGGGACGACTAAGTGGGCGAGTAGTGATAAGATGCGGTCCCGAGCACCTGAGCGAGCGACGGGACAAGGTGGTGGGTGAAGTGGGGGATCAGATGCGCTAGCGGATAGTCTGTACGCTCGCTTAAGCACCACGACGAAGGTAGCCGCTATGACGACGATTGTCGATAGCACCAACATCGTAAACATTGCCAGGTTCGCGACTCGTGACCACGGGCGCCGACCAACTAGGCAGGGGTTGGACAAATCCCCGGCTAGGCAGGCAGTTAATGACGATCGTTGGAGTCGGCATGATCGTCGGCTCGACTTCCTCGGCAACTGATGCGACGGCCCTGGGCGAGATAGTGTCAACGACGATGTCCTCAGCAGTACGGGAGAGCGGATAGACGGACGAGTTTTCCAAGAAGTTCATGATCTCCGCCGTGATATTGACGCTGGTGATATGAGCGACTCCAAAGGCGAGGCTGACCTTCAGGTAGGATGGTTCTCCCCATCTGGTATTGATGCCGACGATGTGAACAGTCGCTTTGTAGACAGAGGTCGAGAGCGCAGACAAGAGCACAGCGAGCGAGAGGCCCAAACAGGAGACCATGGTAGTGGTCTTTGGTTCAGATGTATAATGTTAGTTTTTCTCGATCTGTGGTTGGTTTTATATCCACCGATCCTGCATCGATCGTTCACCGGAGTGTCACTGATAGGTCGAGATGGCATGCAGTCTACAGAGCAGAATGGTAAAGCAGCACAAAGCGAGCAGCTCGAATTTGAACACTGGAAAGATAGGAAAGATAGACATGCATGTCACTCGTGTGATTGAGACAGTGACCCTGAGATAGTGACGACATCACATCCTGGATTTGGGCCAATGTGTGCTAGTAAAGTTGGAAGTATATTTTCCTAGATATCTGGTCAATGCGCGGAACATAGTCGCGTAGCGTGTTCGTTGTCTATGGTGAGAGCGAAAGTTGTTCCCAACCGTGACGCCGTGTATGTAGTTGGTGTAGTTCACGGTCACATCCAACACACTGTTGATGGGCTACCCTGGTTTATCACATCCAAGCCATGGCAATTCCGATGCATCTGCACAAAATTGCATCATAGAGATGGACTGACCCATATATTGTGCATTGTCAAGGATAGCTCTCCACACCTGGACCATTTAAGAATGGCCTCTTTGAGCATTGAGACTACGACCTGCACCAGAAATGTCGTAAGCAATAAGAATGTGGGTATGCTATCGCTATGCTCACCTTTCCAGAGCGGTTCTCGCGTATTTGCCGTCAACACTATACCAAGGACATCGAACTCTACAGATGCTCCCGGGATAAACCCATCACAAAACGACCTATCGACGCGACATAGGACATATCAGCGTTCAGCGATGGGTGTACCGAAGACGTGGTCATCATCCATATTGCAGCTTCACGCCGCCTCAGTTCAGTTGGCAGGCAGATACCAAACTTTTCATCCCCAAGTCAGTTGTCAAGAGCCAAGGTTATCTCAGCCGTAGAACCGAATATAAGCAACATAGGCAGAGCTCGAATTTCGCGACCAGGAGACAAATCGTGGCGTTGGTGAGTGTTGGAAGAAGGAACGACCGGAAGATCCCGGCGAAGAGCTATGCCCTAATTAGGACAAACATTCTTCCTGTCACCAGCCTTTCACCCGGCGTACATCACGCAGGAAGTTCGACGCGGTGTTCATCCTAAATACGCAGTAGGACACCGGTGATTCTTAGTCGTGCTCGTGTCACTTGATACTGTCAACCACAGACCCAGTAGCTGTAAATTACGGGATTGGGCGTGGAGTGTTGTTATCACAGCAATGTCATCAAACGTGAATGAATTTCTCAAAAACAGGAAAAAATCAGATTATGCTTACTTTTTGACGTATAGGACTCGATGGTGCGTGGTTGTCCTGAAACTGACGTTCATATTTTAAATGTCTTACTGCAGGAGCGACAATGACCAGTATTCTCATATCAACAACTCGATATATTACCATCTCTTTGACTCCATAGTCAATGACTACCTTATTAATCACTGTGGCATCAACCCGGCAGAATCTCCTCTTATTGGGCTTGTTGTATCTTCGGCATGCCAGGTTTGTCACTGCCTAATGTCTATGACTTACAATTGACAACATATCATACTCCCAGTTCTTCTCCCCGCTCTCCTTCCCTCAAGTTCTGGAGCTTGGCCTTCGGGTTAACAGTCTGGGGCGAAGCTCCGTCACGTATGAGGTCGGTGTTTTCGAGGAATCCAAGATGCGGCCAGCCGCGGTCGGCGGCTATACGCATGTTTTTGTCGAATCAAAATCACGAAAGAGCGCCCCGATAAGTAAGCAGAAGGGCTTAGAAGAAGGTCTGAAAAGGCTCCATGCCGATAAGCTGCGATCAAACCTATAATGTACGTCTCAGCCTACATTTTGTTGCGGTACAACTATGAACAACTTAGTAGGAGCCGTTGCTAAAGATATACAGTTCCCAGCCTAAACACTTCGTGCTTGTCAGAATCACCTATGTGCACGGAATTTTGCCCACTTCAGTCCTCTGTAACATGACCTGCAATACTGATTCTGCCCTGAGCAGTACCGAATCAACGGAGAAATGTGTCGTGACTCTTTCAAAGCTGCCCCTTGTCCTCGAACGTGATTTCTCTTGAAGGCGGTCCTGAACCGGACTTCCAGGTACCCTAAAAAATCTTCGTGCCTCAATTCTGTCTCTGTCTTCCACCCTGTGAACGGTTCCAATACTAACACTTCGTGTTTAGAATATTTTAACTTGATACCGTATATCATCCGATACCAATTTCTCAGCAAGGAAGTTCTGAGGTATGTCCACTTCTCACGAAGAAAAAAAGATCTTGGGAATGGACACAATCCCTGGCTATTGAAAAGAATCTGATAATCGCGTTCAACGTTGTTTCGAGAATATCCTTGTTGCGTCAACGATAGTATACGTGTGAACGGCCTGACGGAGGGTATATCGCGTTCCAAGGTCTTGACTGGGTGTCGGAATAACATCGGAATTTGGTGATTTGGGTGGAGTACGGGCCTGATGGGCTTAGTAGCTCTTAGTAGTCGTGCAGTACGATATCAGTCATCACCTTTTCTGTGATGTTTCACTGGGCCTTAAAATTTTCTTTCATATCGCCGTAACTGTGCTGTGTACGTGGGATACCAACGCACGTTTGGCAAATATCAGATCGCGACTGAATTCTACGCTCTATGTACCAATGATAGAGTTTGACAAACGTAGCTTCTCGATAGCGCCAATCCCGGTATAGCTTCACCCTAGGCCTCGGAACGTTTGCGGTATAGGACACGCCAACCGACCACTATCATGGCACAGGTGGAGGTGTATAATTAAACACAGTACGGGGACATTCCTTAGGGCAAAGATCTCGGCCAGGCAGGGGTGATGTGAGGCACTGGTTTAAGTGTGACCCGTCCGGTATTCAACCATGAACACATGCCTCTTGTTTGATAGATTCCTGAGAAGCTGCAAAGCGCAGTGCGATGCTTCGGATTTAAGTTGACCTTTCATCAAAGGATTTAATTATCGATTTCCTGTAATATACATCTTATCACATGGTATTTACACTTCCAGACATATTTTTGATGAACGCCAGACAACTTTTTGAACCTTACAGAATGTATCGGAAACCAGGCTGTCCCTCCAGAACATCGCCTCGCAGAGCCGACCGCTTGTTGCGGTAGGCATACGTTGCAGTGGTGAGAACTAAGAGCGTTAGCGTCAAAATCTGCGCTCCAACAGTTGCCCATGTTCCTGGTATGTATCTGCAGAACGACATTTTTTCAGTGTCAGACTTTGATTCTGTTACAAAAGGGGAAAAGTTCTTACCTTGGATAATCCTGTTGTCGGAATCTGTCATCATGGTGATTCAGATAGGTTAAACAATATAGTAGCAGTTCACCGACACTGTGGTTCCCAATATGCCGCCAATACCTCCGAAAGAAACGATGAGCGCGGAACAGACGGATCGCTAAGCCATACAAAAACGTGAGACAGGAAACACTGAAGTGGAAACCTAGGCACCTTTGTTTGTCCAACGATGTTGTTCGCGTTCTAGCCAGAGAACAGGGCCCTTAGTCCAAGCTGCAGAGTCTCAGGAATCCACGTCATGACTTACGTAGGAAATCACAGCAGACATGCAACCTGAGGAACCCGCAGAGAATAAAAATATACCTATTACGAAATTGGCGGTTAGTCGTAGCAAATCAGAGGCGGGAAAATAACGGAACCAATGTATCGTACTGCTTGACCGTTGGCGTAGCCGGTCAGCAAGAGACCAACTACGGTTAGCAGACTCTGCATGGCGATGAAAATTGCCCTACGGCCTGCTTTGTCCGATATCCAGGCAAAAACGAAGGAGCATACAGCCTAACACAAGAAACGCTTAGCGTGAGAAGAACAGTTAAGTTTGAAATGACATACCGCGAAGACTATCGGAGGTGCTGACAATAGCAAGGAGTCAGACAGGCTGTACCCCATGCCGGACAGAATTATTGGGGTAAAATAGCCTTTAGAGAAAACATTTGGTCATCCCGTGATAAAAAACTGGAGGATAACATACTCGCTGCGTATCCAGGCATCGCCGAGCTCATAAACATCAGTGCTGAACGGACCATTAGCAAGACCGTTGGTCCTTACTCCGAATAGCCGTACCATGTGCCCAAACTAACCAATCTCCAAGGACTTGTTTGACTTTAACAAATGTGATGTCGTCCGGGACGGAGTCGCCACGGTCGAGCTCGACGCGTTTCAACACGAGTTCCGTTTGTTCACGAGTTAAAAACCTGTTCTTATCAGGGAAATCCGGCAAGAACAAGAATGCCAGAAGAGCACAAAACACTGTGAAAAGGCCTTCGATGATCTGATCCCCGGCATAAGTAAACGGTGACGACCACCCCGGGTCTGAACGGCGCGCTACTCACGAAGATCCAAGACCAGCCGCTCAGGCCCCCATGGCCTTTCAGTAGAGTGATGGCATAGGCTGCCGGTTGATTATCAGTTAGTTTGAATGCGACAACACCGAGGAACCCTCACACAGAATCGCGCCAAAACCACTCAACCCAATTGATGTTTGAAAGAAAGCAGCAATTCTGGAAAATGACGTAAACTTGACTTCGGTCAGGGATGGAGGGGCCAGTTGTACCTGGTTTGCATTTCTTGCCGGGTGTACCTATTGATAACGAGCGCGCTCTTTAGAGTCCGTTGGGCAGAGGTTGCGTAATGTCCCTCACCATGTTGATACGATATAGGTCAAAGCGGGAAAGAACCCCGACTGCACGGTGAATTAGAATTGAAATGAGAGAGGTACCCCAAACTTACCTCTAAAGCGCCAAGAAGAACCCTGCACAGAACGAGATCTTTCCAGTTCTTCACAAAACCACTCGCCAGTTCAACGCATCCCCAGCCGAAGATATAAAATGTAAGACAGTAGCGCGCGCCAAAGTAACGCAGCACAAGGTTGGTCGGAAGCTGCCTATAGGCAAAAGATAAAGTTAGCAGCTGTGACTCGAGCTATATATAAGTACTGGCAGCTTACAGTAGAATGTATGGCACAAAATAGACACAAGAGGCAATACTGAATCTATTTCCGATATCGAGAGACTAGTATCGCGGATCAGAAAGGCAACCTACACATGGTCTCGCCGGTACACACCAAGTCAGTTCCCATTCCTGCAGTACGCGCTATGCCCATATTAGATCTACAGAATTAGCCCCAGAACATTACATGTGTCGATAACTCCACGACACACCTATCTATAATAGTCACGGAGTATAACAGGCCCAGGAGCGGCAGCATTCGCCAGTCGACGCGACGCCTACACGGAAAGTAGTCAGTGCATGGAATGGCGCTAACAGTCTACCATAGAGCGATTACTGACATGGTGTCGCGCTCATACTTTGATTCGAGTGGCTTGACACGGTCGGATTCATCTATGCTGGTGGCCACTTCACTGATTTCAGTGGACGCGACGGTCTTAACACTACCAGCTGGACGTCTAGAGGAATGCATGAGGATGAGGGGGATAGTTGGGACCTCAGAGATACTGGCCTACAGAAGATACCGTCAGGATATATATACGTTACTGCAGTAGGTTAATTCCAAAAGGACTGTCAAGCGTCAAGCGATGTCTTCCGGCAATCGCCCTTCCCCCGGAACCAAGTAGGTACACGTCCGGGGTAAGTAAGCAAATATGATTCCAAGCAGCGATGTATCCGCATGGGCGTACTAGATCCACAAAAAATCTCACCAGTTAGAAGATACAAGAACGAATGACGATGGATTACTGATACTTACATGGCAACACGTAAGTAATATGTCGAAAATGGATGTCCGCCGGTTCCAATCTTATTTTTTTCCCTTGTAATATTGGGTGAAACCCATATCGTAGAACAGTGATGTTGTTTGCCAAGAAAGAAATGGCTCCGGTCACCCACTGGAAAAGGAAGGACCACACCGTCGGACCGCATCTCCGTGTTTGGGAGTGGAGCCGTTGTAGCCGGTGAGCTTGCACATTGACCACATTTTAACTTTGGGGAAAGGATCGTCGTGTATCGGCCGTTTCTTCGCAGTTTTGTGATACCAGTTTGCCAGAATGTCGTCTTGATTTAACCGTCCAGCGGCACGCGACCACAGCAGGAACATAAACTTTACCAAATGGAATGATGACGGCGGAAAGCACCCGGAAAAATCTGCGGGAGTGAACATTGTCAAAGGTCGGTTTTGAACCTACGTACCTAAGTTTGAAGGGAATAGTTGGCTCACCCCGATAGCTTGGTTAGAAATACCCACCCTCATCTGGTTGCGTGACTCAGGAGAAGGGCCATGCCGTGCTAATGGCCTGACAGCGCAGCCTCGAGGCGTCAATGAAAAGAGATTTAGAGAGAAAGGCACTGATCTCCCTAGATCTTAGGCCATGGAAATCAAAGAAAGCGGGGTTAATATTATAACTCAGACCGATGTTCAAGGAAAACGCTGTAAGTGGATTCCTTGGGCGGTCCGTACTTCGTTAAGTTCGTTGACCTAGGAGCCTAGAGCTCCAAACTCGGAAGATTTCAGGGATTACTTTGATTAAAGTTCAAGCGAGGTGATGAGAATATTCTCACTGGCCAGGCCAAGCTAAAAAAAAAAGAGGACGCGGCGTTCTTGGATCTTGAAACGAAGGGGTCTGTGAGAAAACGCGATTTCTTCACTGCTTCGTACCAAATCACGAATCACCATTATCTCATCGAGAGCGACCAATGAGGCATGGATCTAAATCTAGCCCGTCGGGCGTTGATTACGCCTCGCGCTGTTTAGTACGATATCCGTACATCACCGAGATAACTTTAGTGCGCTATCATCAACAGGTGATCATATGCTCCTGGTTCAATACCGCTGACCCTGCATTCTTGAAAGGTGGATGAAACCGGTCAAGACTCAAAATCCAGAAAGGTCAATATTATATGACTGACAATAATCTATCACTCGCTAGACATATCTAGAATACTTCAACCTGAATGAAGAAAGATGAATTTTGCTGGGTTTACGCCTGGATGTCATTCTTGTGGAAAAGATTATATACGGACGCCCCCCCCCCCCCCCCCCCCCCTTTTTTTTTTTTTTACCAAAAATGTCTGCCTTAAAGTCTTGTAAATAACTATGATTCATCGTCAGAAAATACAATTGTACAAACTCTTAGACGGAGGGCCCGAACTCATTGAATATGATATGTCGTATGTTGACAGTTCTTCGGCATGAAATGATGCAGCCTGAAACAATGACGACCCTGTCCACTGTAGAAGGGTGATGCGTGAACATTGCTGAACTTGCCAGAACATTGTGGACTTCGCGAAGATTTTAGGCGGCGATGATCGGCTTCTCCCGAGGCAGCCCTTAGAATGAAACCACCACTTACTTCTTTAACATCTTTCCAAACACGATGTTTTTCTTCCGCCCGTGCCCGCAACAGCTTTACTGTGAAGGATGTTTTTTCAGATGCTAGGACTGCCGAATTCGCCTCAGCTGCAGGCGCGTCCACGGAAGCCGGCTCAGAAATCGTCTTTCCAAAACTTTTGGGCCTGCCCGAGGTATTTGCACTATGAAGTCCTATCTCTGTATATTGAAGGGACGGGTAGGTAATTGTTACAGGTGAATCTGGTCATGTATCACTTCATTTTCGCGTATTAACTGTCATCTTCACAGGGCGAGCTAACTCGGGCAAATCATCCCTGTTCAACGCCGTTCTAGGGCGCAAAAATTTACTTGTCACTAGTTCCAAAGCGGTCTGTCATGGAACCTGCCATTTCTGCTCGTTTTAATCTGCGTTTTAGGGCCGTACACGACAGCTCAACTTCTTCCGTGTCGGACCAGAACCAGGCCAACTTGTCCTCGTCGATGCGCCAGGGTACGGACGGAGAGGAAGGGCCGAGTGGGGGGATTTGTTCGATCAGTACTTGAAGACGCGTAAAGAGTAAGTATCATCGTGTTTTATCTTCCACATTATCAGCGCGCTAACCCAGAAGTCCAGACTACGCCGAGTATATGTCACCTTCAACGGCAAGCATCGACTAAACGAATACGATGTTCAAATGCTGGAACACCTCACCAAAAATCTATATACCTCAGAAGATGGCGTCCAACGATATTCTATACAGGCTGTAATCACTAAGTCTGATGCCATACTTCCAGACGAGGTGAAGGACGTTATCAGTCAGCTGCGCAAGGACATCTTCGACGCTGCGCCGTTCTGCCTACCTCCCATCATCACGAGCGCGAAAATGATCCCTCCCTTCGGCATCAAGGAACTCAGGAAAAATATCGTGGAATGCTGTCAGGATTGATAAAATGTACAATTTACTCTAAATCGAATAATAGGATTTCTGCCGTCTTGTCACTGATGTTCTCCACCTTGACTTGGCCGTCTCCGATGAAGAGGTAAGCACCATCCCCTTCCTTCAGCGTTTCCTCTGGACCCGATGCGCCGCTTATCTTTATGGTAGTTCCGGTAGCTAGGCCAGGATTGTATCCGCCCGTCTGCACCACATGAATGTATCCCTTCTTTCCATTCATAGCCTGCGTCAATGTCTTTCCCGGCGACAGCAGTGTCGCATAGAGCGTCAACGGGCTGTTTACCGGTGCCGGGCCATCACCCTCTCTCTTGTCCTTCTGCACTCCCTTGGCGTCGACAGGTGCGACAACTCGGACAAAGCTATCAGTTTTCTCGGCATCGGTGAAATGTCGAGTGAAGTATTTCGGTTGGAGGCGTGGAGTAGAAGGCAGCGACCAGATCTGCAGGAAGTGCACTTGGCGCGGCCCATGAGCTTTTTCCGAATGCGAAATGCCTGTTCCTGCGGACGTGAGCTGGAGATCGCCGCGCTTCAGAATCTCAGTGTTTCCCATGGAATCTTTACTAAAGTGAAGGAATAACTAACGAGTACGCGATGAGAGGATCTTTACTCACTGTTCCAGTTCTCCAGCAACTACATACGAGAATATCTCGAATTCGCGGTGCGAATGTGTTCCAAAGCCAGTTTTGGCCTCGACGCGGTCTTCATTTATAACCCGGAGAGCACCGAATTTTTCGTGCTCGAAATCCTGGTACCTGGATGGTCAAGGATTAGATGCTGTTATCATCACTACTACTAATAGATGATACATACATTGCGAACGAAAACGTGTGGAACGTCTTGAGCCATTCGTGGTCTGCGTGTCCACGCTGCTCACTGCGACGGGGAATAATCTTTGTAGATGTCATAGTGGATTGGTGTTCAATGGAAGTTGACAGTGACTTTGAAAGCTGATTTCGTAGATTGGCTTTAGCGAGTCTGAGGAACTGAGACAGGTTGGAATAGGATAGTGAAGGAAAGACGACAGATCCGAGCGCTATATAAAGGGGGATGCAGGTGATGAGAAGAAATAGACTAGATTTAGGCAGCATTAGAGACACAAGCGGATCTCATCATGGAAATTGCGAGAAGGGGGGTTGCTTATGCGCTTTTATTCCCTTTTTAAGAAATTAGTCGCCCACGACCTCCCACGACGAGCGCCATCAGGCGATGAATAAGCAACATCAGGTGCTCATTTCCATGACGGCAGAGCAATTACGCGAAACGTAATCGCATGACATCACCAAGAACTTGAATGATGACGATTTTTCAGCTACTCAACTACTGCATGTTTTTCAACCAGAATATTCTTGAAAATTCGGAACTCTCGCTCTATCTAGTCCCTCAGTAAGTGAATTCTTACCAATTAACCTCTTGACAAGTAAGCAGCCGAGATTTGCAACAAAGGAAGGAACACTATGACAGATGTAGGTCTGTTCTATTCAACAGTCTTCCGGATTTTATTCTCCTTGACCCAAAGCTGCCTTATACAAGACCGCCCTAGCCTCATCTGCAGGGATCTGTTTAGCTTTCTCTTCGCCAGCCCATAAAGGCCACTGTGTCTCGATCTGCCACGCAATTATATTGACTCCATCAACGGTTTTCCAACCCCCCTCCTTTGCAAGCTTCAAATGCCGTGTCTCGCGAGGTTTATAGCACATGTCGAGCAGAACACCCTTCTCGGGTTGCTGAATGAAGGCGACAAGAATATCTTGTGCGGTGATTTCTGCAGGCGACACGGGAGGGAAGTCTGGAACGGTCCCGACGATATAATAAGGTGTTGCAAGGGAGTGGGCTTCGTCGACGGAGGTAACGTGTACGATGGAAGGAACGACTAGGCCAGCAGATGTGTAACCTTCGGTCACGTCCTTCAGTAGGTCGGCGACTTCCTGTGCATCGCGATTGATCTGGGCATTGGCATAGAAAATAAGAAACACTTTTGGAATCTATGAATCCAAGACCTTACAATGTAGATTGTTGGTGCGTTTAGGTGAATTGCGAGAGCATATACCGCTGCACGACAGGCACCACCAGCGCCGATAACTATGGCAGGCTTTTCCTTCCCCTCTTCGGTTGCTGCGATCAGACTACCATACACGCCTCGCCAGTCGGTGTTGGTGCCCACGAGCTTACCATCATTTGTCTTCCAGATACCGTTGCAAGCCCTAAGCGCCGCCACATGTTCATCAGCTTCATCCAGAAGGGGAATTACACTCCGTTTGTGAGGCAAGGTGACCACAGCCCCTACCCACGATGGATCGCGCATTCGGGAGATGAATCCATCAATATCCGGCGTGTCTGCAAGGCCAAATTTCTAAGGCAGGTTTATTGACTTGGAGATAAAATTGTGGATCGCGGGGGCTAGAGCTAACGGGGGTTAGGTATTTACGTATACATAGCAGAACAAGCCGCGAAGCAGTGGACACTTACCATGAGAAATCCCCGTGCCGACAATGACTAGCTGCCTGTTTTCGTTCGACATTCTGTAGGTTCACAAAAATCGAGAGCAGGGATGCTAAGGTAACGCCGCATTATCTAGGAATATGGGTCCGTGTTCATACCGGAGGGATGATCGCTCTTCGATCCGGCTGCAACCCCGTTATCAAACCGGAGGAAATTGATTTGCTAATAAAAGTAACTTTACTTCCACCCATCATGTCAGGTTTTCCCACAAGTTTCCTATATATATTGGTTCGATCCTCGCAATGTTCTCTTGCCTCTTACTACCACCATGTCCAACGAGAAATTTGTCGAGCCTGCGATTCTTGCCAGACGTGTTGCTGAGCAGCACGGCATTGATCTCTCAAAGTTACCAACGATCTTGGATATGTCGGCAGAGTCCATAACGCCCAACGTCCATGCTATTAACGCGAACTGTGAGCACCGACATCGTGTCTTAGGCATATGTTGATTGTGTTGTTGCAGGTCCTGACGAAAGGTTGAAATTCATTTTCAAGAACTTGGTAAGTGTCAAGCTTAGTGCGTTCTCTCTACTCTTCTGACGTTTGAAAAGGTCGATCACCTTCACGATTTTGTACGGGAAACATCTATCACGACGGACGAATGGATGTAAGTAGTTTTGCTGCTCGAATTTTGGTTATTAGCTAACGCGAGGCTGTGAAGGACTACTATCGAATTCCTTACCGCGACAGGGAAAACGTGTTCGGATATACGTCAAGGTGACCTCAACGTCACTGACACTTTCATGCATCGACTTACCCACTTTCTACAGAATTTATTCTACTCTCTGATGTTGTCGGCCTCTCTACGCTTATTGACACGCTGAACAACGTAAAACCTCCAAATGCAACTGAAACTACCGTCTTGGGGCCTTTCCACACTGAAGACGCCAAAGACTGTACGTTGAATTCTCCATAGTTCCTTACTGACTAACGTCTGGCAAAAGTGGAAAATGGCGCCACTATCGCATCGGAAGGGAAGGGCGACTATATGTTCGTTACCGGAAAAGTAATGGACACCAAAGGTAATCCGATAGCAGGAGCCGTCTTAGACGCATGGGAGACCGACGAGACGGGTCTGTATGATACCCAAGTAAGCGATTTGTTTCCCACTCGACTGCACGCTCGGTCGAAACTAATGACCTTATGACCAAGTACTCTGACCGTGATGGACCAGACTGCAGAGGAAAAGTTACAAGTGCTGCGGACGGAAGCTACTCTTTCCGCGCGGTCATGTAAGTCTTACCCCATAACTGACATTTTTCGAATATCTGACTGCCGTAGACCGGTTCCATACGCAATTCCCAGTGACGGCCCCGTTGGAAAACTGATTGAAAGGCTTGGTAGACACGTCTTCCGTCCTGCGCATCTTCATTTCAAAATTGAGGTGTGTCATCAGTCCCGTTTAACCTTCAATCCCGTTTACCCTTTTGCTGACTGAGCAATCAATCGTCCAGGCTCCCGGATATGAGAAACTAGTCACTGCGCTCTACTTCAAAGGGGATCCATATATCACGAGTGACGCGGTGTTCGGTGTCAGAACCTCTCTCATTGTCGTACGTTCTCGTTGTTCTCACCTGCTGTGGCCCTTTTGGATTTATGACTCTGCCAATTAGGAAACGGAGACCATCAAGGATACTTCTTTGACGTTGGCTCGTGGGTTCCAACGCGCTGAACCGCATGCAGAATTGAAACAAGATTTCATTTTGGCGACTCCAGAGGAGTGTGCGGAGGCGAGGAAGAGAACGATGCCCGCTCTTGCGCAATAAGCTGTGGTCAGCAAGGAAGAACGCAATATGCTTGTAACATTACCTATGCTACGGAAAGATGAGTAGCCCATCTGCGAATTGAATAAAGTTGTTGTCGGTTGTTCTCGAAGAGTTAGGTATAATCTGTAAGCAGAAGAGAGAGATAATTGTATTTCTCAACAGACATCTATCACGTAGGTACGGTGATCAATATGCATCTCCGTAGTATATCAATGAACTAACCGGTGCTGCAGCGTCCCTGGTGCCATTTGACACTTCCGTTGAATGCCGAAGCGTCTTGTGCCTACATATTCGTGATGTGACACAGCTAGAGAATATGGAGAATATGTCGACAACGCGACAGACATTGCTAATTCGAAACGACGGCAATCGTATCTTGACATCCTTGTAGCAAATTGAATGGTGGCAGAAATTTTCGAAGAAGTCGAGAAATATCTGGAAAGATAAATGGATAGCAAAGATTAAGACGGAAGAAGCAAAATGGCTTGGTTTGCATGAGCACCAATAGTGCAACGCCAATGCAACACTCATGATCTTTCACTTGAGACCATCTTCGGTATCGCGTCGACTTTCGGCCTTTGAGCCTCACAACGAGCTTGTACTACCTTCTGTCCAGTATATCAGATCTAAGGTTAAGGATCAAGATCTGTTCACCTGCTGTAAATCAGGTTGTACTTGGTACTAGGGTTTGACCTTTTCGACAATCCATTCCGCTTTGCCGCCGGTTGTCAACAAGACTTTATTCATATCCCGCTAAGGAACGCGAGCATTGGAACTTCGCCCGCTCATGCGTACGCTCCTGCAACCGTCGAAGTTCCGCCGTAATCATCAATCGACCCTTGTCATCACTAAGATTTTGGAGCCCAGCGCTTGGGATGCCACGGTCCCAGTAGGGCTTTCTATGGAATGGATTGTCTGTGGTGACGTTATATCACTTACCTGTACAAAATATCTCTCGTTTGGTAACACCCAATGGTAGGCTAAGGAATCCGACATGATGACAAGGACGCGAACCCGTCGTGTCGGACTCGATGTATGTATGTTTTGGAAGAACATCAAGCCAAGAGGCTGGCTATATGCGGGTTTCTGGTACATAATTTCTCGTCAGCAGGTCTGTACATCTTAAAAGACTAGTAGTCTCTCACCATCAGCATTTGAGAATCAATAATATGATATGCGTTCCGAGTAAGACTCTTCCACTGAATGCCATCAAAGCCGAGTCTGTTATCAAACATGATGAATGCTAGCATAGGAGTTGTCACGCGAATTTGGGAATGCTAACCCTGTATATACACGTTGAAAATATGGTTCAAAGAATAGAAAGAGATGCACGTACTCGAGCAGAAATTATCACGCCCCCACACTTCAACGCAAGTCGAACTCTTTTTGAAAAAATACCTCTATGTTCGGTGAGACGTAGCTATTGCCTGTTGTCTGTGTTGCTCTGGGAATCCCCGGCCCCACGTTGAGAGCTGGCATCTTATTCCGTATTCATGGACAGGTAGCACACCAACCGCATTTTGGAGGCTGCATGTTGATGGTAAGGACTAAGACTCGCGTACTCGCGTGGCAACCCAAATATGGGCATCACCTTCACGGACTTTCAAACGCGTCTCTGTTAGATGATTACATACACGCACACTTGGTCCTAGATATTCTTTCCAAATGCGACCTCCCAGAATCCTGGCACCTTGCCCATCCTCCACGTAAATTCGGCTTCCCACTCATCTAGCCACACTTCACACGCCGTGCATCTCAGTCCCAGCGTCTCCCGCGCCCTTCTCCATATGCTCCCTCCATCTATGAGTTTTTCTGGGTGTCCCTCCAAGTCGAACGCGACAGTAGCCCAGAGCTCCGTCCAGACTTCACAGGGATTGGCCATAGGTTTAGCGCCGACTTGGTCTTTCGTGCCTTCCCAGTGACGAGAAATGGGGTCGCGGAAGCGCAGAGCAGCGGAAAGGGCGGACATCCATGAGCGATGATATAGAATCTGTGGTAAGTGAGTACTGATTGCTGATGAAAAAGAGCCAGATGACTCACCCAAGGCGCCAGATATGCACTGTCCAGTGACCGTACGATTTCTTCAGCAGAAAGAGCAATGGTATGCTTGGCTGCCTCGTCCACGAGTGAACGGTCTTTCCATTTGAGTGCAGCGCTGAGAATTGGAAGCGAGTGAGCAGGTATCAAACAGCGAATCGCGTTCCTGCAGGAGCTGATAGCAGCGTAGACTCGATATTTGTGAGCCGCCTCAGCAAGCGGGAGAAGAACAGCAAATGTAAGCTCGGCAAGGTCCGGCTGTGGTTGATTATAAAGGAATTGGAATAAAAGTTCGAGTATCCTGGACGATTCAGGAAGACGGCCGTCTTGAAGTGGGATGTGAGAATTGAGGGTGATGTTGATGCGGTGTAGCCGGAAGAGGATGCCGTCGGACGAGTAGATGGAAGTGTCGGCATCTGGGTACGAGACTGTCGGTGAATTAGACTCTGTCTATGCGACAGGCGGTCGGTACACTCACATCTGGACGAGCTCATCGAAGTGGAGGTGATGGAGAGACCGGGCATCAAATTCAAAGCTGAAGTTGCCGGATTCACAGCATAGCCACGGTCGGCCCGGTCTTTTGTTTTTGTTTTTTGTTTTCTTGTTTTTTTTTGTCGTTCACTTCTGCTTGCAGCTTCACCGGCGCTTATTCAACGGCTTGTGCACCAAAAAACTCTATCTTTTTCCTCCTAGGCCTACGACTATGAACTCTGCCTGACAATCGGTGGCGGTGGTCGTCCTTTTGCACCGAGTGCCTACGCGTACACTCAGACATGCTCATGGTCGTTTTATTGATACCATAGGAAGTGAATTTTCCGAAATATCGACTGTATTTCGTTGTGGCATGCTTGGGGATTGAACCTACTTCTAGACGGCCCCCTAATGAACGCCCAAATTAAATGGTGTCGTGGCGGGCTCTACCGAAGAGTAACAGTGAAATTTGAGGTCATTGATGTTGATGGTGAATGTGGGGAGCTTTTTGTGGGGGTGAGCTTTTTGCCATGTACATGAACACTCCTCTTGCTCATCGAATTTTTACCTCAGGTAGCGACCTGACTGCCAAAAGGTAGCATAAACGCCAAACACTTTATTCAGACAGCCCAGGTACACAGGGCGTCGTTCATAATACTACAAATATCTGATAAGGTAAATACATCTATATGGTTCTGCTTCAAGTAACTGAATTGCTTCTTAAGTGTATAGATGCCGCCATGACCGGAAGGTTCTGGACAAGGATGGGCCATCAACAATGTCTTTGATGTCTTCACGACCTCAGAACACGAGTACTCAGTCTTGGAAAGTTCCGTGAACTGTATGCTGTTGTACGCCACTACGGTGTCAACGACACTGGTCTTCCCCGCCACAGAGAGTGAACACGCAGCCTGACTGAATTTCGTACATCGACTAGACATCTACAAAAATATTTTTCCAGTTTTATACGCTCGCCTTGGTCGATATCTTTCCGAGCCCAGGTTCAAGACGTGACTATGATCAGCAAATCCAAATTATTCAATCACATGAACGATACGTTCGACGCGTGTCTATCTTTCAGGGATTCAAATATATAGTCCCTTCCATTACCCGCCCTTCGCTATATTATATCTCTGCTCTCTAGGACGCGTACTATTCCTCGACGTGTCGGTCACGCAGCGGTCAACGATCGAGGCAAGATCGGTAGGTATAAAGCCAGCGATAGATCGAGAAAATCAACCTTTCACTTCTGACCCAGAGCTACCACCATGGTTTACTGTTCAGGCCTTTGGCTCACCACCGCCATGTATATTTTCACAATCTCGTTCTACAAGGCGTTCATGCCTACCACCGACATCATTTGGAGGTGGAAAGCACCGTCTGTCTTGGCAGACATCCTCGCCTACAACGTTCCTCAGCATACCGTGGTCATCGACGTGGCCCCGGAACTACCTGGCGACACTCTCGTCCAAGGCGTGGTTACCGACATCATGGAACTTATCGTCGTCGAGCCCGCTGTCGTCGTCGAGTCCATCGAGTCCATCGACCAAGGCGTGGTTACCGAAGCTATCGAGCCCGTCCTCGTCGTCGAGTCCCTTGCCGTGTTGATGGTTCCGGAAGCTTCCTTGGTGCCAGCTGCGACGATGCCCCTCGACAGCCCGCCTAACGAGGCAACCATCCGAGCCCGCCCTACACGCTCAGCGCCTATCGTCACTCAGGCTCAGTCAAACCTGATAACCATGACGGCGTTTGTTCAGTTGGCGGTTATCATGATGGTCGCTTCCGTCGTGACAGTACTTGGGCGTCCTTCCAGGTCCTCCAAACATCTCTCGATCCCCATCCTGGCTCCTACCTGTCATCCATCTCCTTCTCCCATCGGTCGATCAGCGTCGTTCTTCGCCCTTTTCCCCGCTGCAGGTGTCTTCATCGCTCAGTACCTCTCTGACAAACCTTCCCTCATCGTCAACATCCTCCGCAGTCTCTCAGTTGGATTGATTGAGTACTATGGAGTGATGGCCTTCGACGCTATCATTTCTGGGATGTCCAACATCTTTGGGAGAGGTCAAGCAAGTCAAGGAAGCGGAATTGGACGAGGCGAGGTCACCGCGGTGGATTTTCTCAGAGCGGATCACGCAGAGCTGGATAACACTTCATTGCTAGTTTTGAACCTCGAGGTGAGTACCATATATCGTATCGTGGTCTATTCCGCATTGGCTCACGATGATATATTATAGGCGATAAACAATACGGCATCTCCCTTATCTGGAAACCTCGTGCCCAGCCTTGACCTGTTCGGTAGGCCAGCTGAGGTTGACATGTCCTTCGACATGCCCCAAGCTCAGGTAAGCATTCCCATTCAATGCTTTTGATCCACGAACTAACATGACCTACCTTATAGGATACGTCTGTCTGTCGCGAGTTGGTCTCGGCCCAGTCGATAGTCAGTCTGTATGCAGGGGTCTCGGAGGAGAACTCGGTGTCAATCATGATGATTGAAGAGATGGCGAAAGTTTATGACGTTTTGAATTCCATCGAATCTGCAATTCTCTCAGTGGCGAGCATGGATGTGAGTATCCGGCCAAATTCATGTCCGATAATCACTGAGTTTCATGTTTTCAGGATTTACAGGCGATGGAATCTACGACTCCGTTGCCATCTGGAGATGATCTGGCCCATACCACCGATATTGAGAGATTAGACCGGTCTGCTTGTGATGAGCTCGCAGATGAGACTAGTAGTAGTGAGGTGAGCTTCCTAGTGCTTTCTTAAGATGAGTGTACTAATATGTGTTATTTCTTGTACTAGACGGTTTCATCCGTGTCTTCGTTATGGTCTGTAACGGATCTTCGGTCGGCTCCTCCTGAATGGCACTCAGCTCTGAGTTCGCCTCAAGTCTTTGAGAGTACCGGAGAGTTCGGACATTTTGATCCCAGTTGGTCCTCAGAGGCCAAGGTGAGTGCCTGCACAAACGATGTTTATATTCACGGTTGCTCATTACTACTTTCAGGCATCGTTGTTTTCTGACGAAACCTTTGCCTACCGTGGCCTGCCTCCAGTTGACTACACTGAGATATCTGGTTCAGGATATGTATCCCACGAGGATGGGGTATTGGTGAGCATTTTCAGTTGCCTATTGTGATGCAACTGCTGACAGATCATATTGCGTAGTTCATGGCACGGTCTTCATGTATACGGCCGTCAAATTCGGTCTTACGGTTCTCTTCTTCAAGATCATCGTTTGATGACCTTGAGGTTGAGGACTCTTTCGAGATGTCATCGGCCATACCTATTCACAAGGGCGTGCCTTCGCCGTCCCGGATTCCAGTCCCCTCCAAGCGAAGGAAGACGTCTGTCGACCTGGTTCAGGTGACTAGATCCCCTCGCACTGTCAGACAGTCGCCGTCCCGTATCCCCATTCGGTCTGTAAGGGTGCAGCGATCTGGAGTGGATGGAGTGTCATCTATTCCCTCGATGCAGCCCATCCAGCGAAAACCCCTCGGTCCTCCCCGTTTCCTTGCCTTTGCACCGAAAATGTGCGCGCAGGAAGAAAGCGGGTCCCCTGCGCGTCGAGTACGCCGCTGCGTAGGTCTTCATTCTACTCCTTGCATTCTTATGGTTCTAACTTTATTCCCCAGCATGGTTGTTCCCAATATTCACCTCGAAGAGCGGACTAGATGAAACACCAACGAGCGCATGGAGATGACGAGGATGGCCACTACACACTACTACGTTGCCGCGTTGGGTTATTAGGGACGATCAGTGGTGCATCAGGGTCGATGGGCTTTGGTGTATGCAGCTGGTCACTGGAGGAGGACTGGTTCGCTGACGAGCTAGCCGGTTCTTCTTCTATCCCTGGCAGATGAGGAACCTCTGAGGCGGGGATGGTCGACGGGCCATCACCGTTCTCTGAGGGTCCTCTGAGGAACCATTGACTGCCGACGGGTAGTTGATGTGTTCTGTGCCCCCATCCCCTCCCTTCGCGTGCACGACAGACTATTACATCCTTCGGCCTCCTCGTTGTCTCGCGCGTCTCTTCGGTTTTCAATCTCTCGTTATCTACGGACCTTTGCTTGGGACATCTGTGTGCTCAGTGCTCATCGCTTCCATCTCTTTATTATCTTGATCATCGACGTGCATATCTCTTCGTCGACATCCTACCCTCGTTCAGCCTATCATTTTTCTTGACTATGCCTTGGACTTGGCTATCTGTCCTTGGGCGTCAAACCTCAGCCTATCATTATCACTATCCATCACATTTCTACTCCGTATACCCCATTTCTCCTTGTTTTTTTTTCGGTTTTCTCTGGGCAATGATATACCTCGCCAACCTGTACGTGTGTGTCTCCTTCGAGGACAGTCTATCTTTATCACTATTTAACATTTCTATACCCCATTTCTCTTCCGGATTCTTGGGTTTTATTTTCGCTTTTACACTTAGGGTTCTGGGAAATTTAATTGTTCTTGGTTAATGGCTTCATCAAATTTCTTTGAATCTAAGCTCAATGCTCAGCGTTCAGTCTTCAATAAGTTGCAACAGTTCGAGACTTCGCCTTTGTTAGCATTGTTTCATGCAGCGAAGTTTCGATCTATCTGGCTTTCCTCCCAAGTAGAGCTCGATATTCTCTACTCTTCTATTGTGAAACTCCGAGTAAAGCTTTCTCGGAAACCCCGATGCAAAAGAGATCTACCCTGTCTCTTGGTCTACACGAACTAGCTTCGAATCGTCAGTCTGTCTTGCTTGTAATATTCGGAACACCGCGCCTGGAGTTGGTGTGCATCAACAATGTCATCGTTCACGAATGGGTTCTCTCCCCTCAACTGTTTCCAATAGACTGACATGACTAGGTCATAGATCATGGCGAGGTGACCGGTGACCCAAATGGCGGATACATTGAAATAAAATTCAAGGTACGAACTTGCACTGGACGAATTATATATAGTAGCCATAGTCGATACTCCTACCAGAGCCATAAAATGTTAATATATGTACAGTGATTAGTATACAACAAAGCAATGACACGACAGCAAATATTGACTGATAGCGGAGACAACAAGAAAGCAACGATAGCAACAACCAAGAGGGAAAAGAGAAAACAACAAAACGGCTTCTTAGACTGCATTAGCCGAACCAACAGGGCGCTCAGAACTTTCCAGCCTTCTCTCGAGCTCACGCGCATAAGCTTCTGCTTCCCGCGCATGAGCTTCTGCTTCCCGTGCAGGAGCATGAAGTTCCTGCAAGTACTATTAGAAATGACCTGTTCGTCCGAAAAGCCGTGATAATGCTCACTGTTTTCCGTTCAGCCCAGTCCTGATCTTCCTTCGCTTTGTCCGTGTCCCACTGAGCCTTGATCGTCTCTGGGGACCTCGCAGCATTCACCGATTTGCCTTTCCCTAGAACCAGCCGGTTCCCATAGCCTGTTAAGCGATGCGAACACTGACGTTCGGCCAGCCTATGCATGCGTATATGCGGCTGTGTCTCCATCTCCAGGACCCTCCAAATGGTGAAGGCGTACCAATAACACTGAGCAAAAATTAAGTGATATAGCGGCGTGTTCCTTGAAGTAGTCTGGAGAAGGTGTGCAAACCGCTCAAGGGTAACATTTTGTGACTGGGAAAGGTCCATCGTGAGGAGAACGTCAAACTCTAGTGCGATGTCGCTTCTCTTGGGCAAGACGATGAGCCTGTCAAGAGCATCGGGTGGATCTTCCTTGGTGATTGTCTTGACTTTGGCAATAGAGCGATGAGCACGACTCGAAGTATCCCATGTTGAAGCAGTGGGTAAGGCTCCAGGAGGCGAAGTTGTCGACTGGGTGGGAGATGATGTGGATGAATCGGAATCGGTCCCCTCTATACCGGCCATTTCCTGGGCCTGATGCCTAGCCAAATCGGCTCGCAGTTCATCCTCTCCTCTGTACTTCTTCGTATCGTCATTCAACCTGTCCACCATCAGATATGCCGTCCGCCGAACTCCCACAGATTCCTTCAGCGTTACAAGCAGGAATTCATGTTCCCCGGGACAATCCTGGCTGAAGTGACATTTACAGTACTCGGCCTGGGAAACGATGATGTTTCCGAGGCCATGATCAAGGAAATGGTAATTCTCTCTGAGAGAACTGAGAAGAGAGGACGCGTTGGTCACGTCCTTGACCTTTGAAAAGACGCGCATCTCATTGTTGCGTTGTGGTGGCATAACGAAGCGCCGAAGGGTATTGAAGAGCTGGGAGAGCCAGGGAAACGGGATCATGTCGCTGTGTCGTCTTTAAAGCAGAGGCAGAAGCAGCAAGCGCTACACTTGAGACAGTTGGCAGTCTACCATGAGGCTTGAAGCTAAGCTCAGTTCCCACGGTTGTGCTTTCATTCACTTGTTTACCAGTTTCATACGTAGCTCTTGGAACGGAGAACTTGAACCCGTCATTTGGTTTCTTTGACAAAAGGAAGCAGCAAAAGATAGCTTGTCCCATCTTCTGTGGCAGCACCAAACACAAGCCGGCGTTTAAATCCAGCAATGTGAAGCCGTGAGGGTATTCAGTACTTGGACCCGCAGCCACCCCGCATCCGATTCGCTATTTCATCTTGGTGCCTTTCATTCATGAGCAAGGATCTTTCCTTCGAAGGAACGTGGTCAAGTAGCCAAGATTAAGCCAGAACGAGGTGCGGAACCAGTATACCGATGAGAATAATCGTAACAGCAGTTTAGCTAGACGACAACTGTCGGAGGTCTGCGTGTTGCGAAGATTACAAGAAGCAGTGTATGGAATCAGCTGGTCCTCTCATGCCATCAGATTAATTAATACTGTAGGACCAAACTGTGCGCGAAACACAGACTCCTGTGTGAAATCGGATCCTGAGCTATACTAGGCAGACCAGTGAGTGCCGAGAACGAGGATGAGCGCCTATGACAGGAAGTTCAAGAAATAGGAAACGACATGCATGAGTTGTCCGAGTGGCCAATACCCCAGGTCCATCTCCTTGTCGACTCTGTTAGTGAAGGGAAAAAGGTAAAAGGCAAAAGGGTCTCGGGGCTGAGCAGATCTTCGGAGTATCTTTCCCATCGTGGACTTTCTATTTCAAACTGTGTTCCGAGCCCCCTACCCACAAAAGGCCGGCGTGAAGATCAACAAAGTCTTGCGACATATGCTAGGCATGACATAGAAGGAGGACTATCGGGATATCAGCTAAAGATTAGAGCAATCGATAAGTGGCGCCACTGCTGCAAAGATTCGTGCAGTTGTAGCGGCGAATCAAAGCTTTCAAGATCAAGACCGTGTGTTAAATGGATGATGTTCAGATGCGTACAAAGATTTTCTGTAACTCGACAAGGTTATTATTAATTACCCAGAGAAAGAGAAAGAGTATTCGATAGAAGAGAAGTGACAGGATAGACCGAGTGGGAGTGGCTCATACACTCGATAGTATCATGATATTTATGGATGCGCCAAGTCAATTGGACACTGGTGAACAGACGACGAAAGTCTGTCCTCGAATGTGAACTGCCAGGACTCGTGAGAGGACCTAAGATTAGGGTACGCAAGTGCAAGCAGTGTGACAAGAATCTAGATATGAAAAACGCTCAGCTCGGGCGGCCTCTCAGCTCAGCTTATCGTGACGACAGTCTGATAGGCACACCGCACTATAGCAGCGCTTACAAATAAGCACCTATAGAAGCCTGTCCGTGATACCCATCTTGTGCATCTGACCGAACCGAGTCTAGGCGATCTTCCGGATTTTTATCTTGGAAGAACAATGAAGCATTGTTTGAGGTGGCGTATCAGAAGAATAGAGTTGCACTGAGAACCTGAGGGTAATGTAAGAAGAAGCAAATACACTTTTCTGTCGTTGTAGATGAACGGCTTTTACTTTTGAAAAAGTTCAGGTCCTATACAGAAGGGAATTTGAATGTGCCGCAAGAGTAATGACGATTCACTGCTGGAACCGACACATTCTCCTGTCGGAAGAATTAGACAAAACGTTGCGACATTTCATTGAATCTTCTGATCGTAAAAATTCGTCCAAGAAAAAAAAAACTGAAAGGATCATTTACGTACTATTTGAAGTGAGGAAAACAGGGGGAAAAACGGAATTGAAAGGGTATTTCCCGCAGTCAGAACAAGAAACCCTTTTCATTCGCAGAACCAGAGCCGTTTTCGGTATGTGAAAGGAGCGCTAAATGGAAGGAGTTTTTCATCATGTTTTCGGTAACCAATTTTTGCGGCACACAAAGTCATGAAAGAAAAAGTGCAACATTTTTAGAATCTTCTCTTCCGTCCTAACATGGTTTCTGCCCCAGGTGTGATTATAGGCCCCAGGTGTTGTGTGGCGTTTTATGACCTGCCGGTACCAAAGATCCGGAAGACGAAGCTGCCGTTAGATGATATCTATATCAACAGCAGAATGTCTTGCGCACTTAAGGACTCACGTATGCTGGCCACCTCTTAGGTTCCAATCATTTAAGAGAGGTGAGAGACTCGGAGAGTCGTGAAACATGCACCATGCGTCTGGCGCAGAGAAGAGGACCCGGACCGTCGAACCACGGATCTGCCAGGCCACAGTGAGTACAAGCCTATGCCGACAGTCTGTTCAACGACGCCGTTGAGGGAAAAGAGTTGATTAACGGTTGTTTTATCAGTTGCAGCATCGATCACCATATTTCCTGGACGAGTCTATTGGACTGACCGGGACTTTCCACCTAGGTAACATAACTGCCAGTGTACGGAGCAGGTGAATCTGCGAGGACAATACATCGATAGCTGTTGAGCTGATGCTGATGCTGATGAAACTTTGAAATAGACCACAGGATGGTGTAGCGTCAACGGAGTGATCCTTCTCACCACCGGAGCATAGAAGAGTTACCCGAACGAGTATCGTCGTTGACACGAGCTTCGCAGAACTTGGGCGGTATTGATGAGCCGGTACACCAGGTTTTCATCTACTTTAAAAAGGAAAACTTAATCACTGCGCAGAGGGGGTATGTATAAGCACAGCGCTTACCACTGACTGAATATCCTTCGCAACTCCCAGGGACCAATGAAAGGCACGCAAATAGTAATACCATGAAAGATTCACAAGCCTGAAACTTGACCTTTGGCAACAGTGGCACAGATGTCGCACATTTCATCTAGCAGAACCTGACGTTATGAGCTTCGATCCATCCGGTAGATAAGATGCGGAGCAGTGGATGCTGATATCCCGTGAATAATGCGAAAGCACTGGTCCTATGGAGAATTTGTACGGATGATGTTGATTATGAACACTCTGCCCACTACGATGGCAGAGACCCGATGGCAGAAAAGCCTTGTTACAAGCTACGGATTTTGAAATCCAGCCGGCGACTTATTTGAAAACATAGGTCGATGGGGGTATGTAGAGGCAAAGGATCGCCTATACCGCTCTCTCTGAGTCGCACCCACACAGTAACATCCCATTGTTAGCTCTTCTTGCAGCGCATCGACCACGATGTCGTGTCTCGCGTTTCCCGTGGTGAGAAGCTTATTGAAAAGTTAGTATGGGATAATCTATATGGAGTAGAGAATTCAACGCACTTGAAGGCAACCAAATGCGATCATCCTGACACCTCGTCCTCCATCTTCGTATGGAGAGACTCAAAGAGACCCAAGTACGAACCAATTTTTTGGTTGAGAATATTGCGCATTCATTTGGTTGATATCGAGTGCTATATGATCGTCAATTAGCGAAAGTTAGTCGCAGATACCTTCGTGCCAGCTTGAAGTTCGTGGTATGGATCAACATCGAAAACTCTGGATGGCGTACGTTCCATCGGACATTCGTCCCGAATAGTACCGGGCATCAAATTTGAGTTGCCGGATTCTCGACACAGCCACTGTCCTTTTCTTCGAGTCGTTCCCTTCCTGCCTGCAGCTTCACTTATTTCAACGGTTCATGGAAGAGGTTGAACCAATGTCATGCACAAGATAAACTCTGTTTCTCTCTTCCAGGGCCTATGGCTGCAACGAACTCTGCCTTGCCCCTTGTTTATCCAGGCGATACCTACGCATACACTCAGAAATAGTCAGAAATGTGCAGTCGTTTCATGGATGCTACACGAGAACATTGCTTGGAATCATTCGCACTCCTTCGTGGCGTCTACGGGACTCGGAATGACCTCCAGTCATCTTTGGCTGAACTGAAAATCGGTTTTGTATGGCCTCAGCCCTGGATACCTGCAGCTTTCGACGTCAGTGGTGTGGTACTGAGGGTACATTCAGCACAATTCTTTACAAAGGTGAGCATTTCGATGCATATCCAAAATTCTATTACTTATAATTACTATGTTCATTGCACAGGTGATTTCAAGTTGGTTACCGAGATGGTGCAGGCAAGAAAGCCTTTGCCTCGCCCAAGTAAAGGGAATCGTCCTCGACACAAAAAGGTTAAGACTAAAGTATGTTCCTTTCCAAATACTTATAATGCCTTTCTAACGCGACTGATTCACCGGTTAAGGATGTAGATGCATTGGATTCGGAACAGCCATGGCTTGGATGATCTGAACAAGGAATTCTTTTACGGCTTCGCACACGAGTACTAGTCCGTGCTCAAACGTAGCGTAAGCTGTATGCACTGTTACACTTCAGTACAGCGTTAATACGATGCTAATCGTCACATAGACGTCGGAGGCGCTGCGTAACGATATTCAAGTCATCGACCAGACACGCAAGAGAATATTCTCCCAGCTTTGCTATGACGCCTTTGCCGAAGTTCAGAATATTGCACCACCACAAAATCAGAATCACGTTCGACGAGTGTCTATCTCCCAAACGTTCAAATCTCGCCTATTCCTTCTTTACTCGCCTTTCTCCATATTGCTACTGTACTTTCTAGGACGCGTGGTATCCCTCGACGTGTGAGTCACACAGCGGTCAACGATCGAGGCAAGATCGGTAGGTATAAAACCAGCAATAGATCGGGAAAGCCAACCTTCCACTTTTGACCCAGAGTTACCACCATGGTTTACTGTTCAGGCCTCTGGCTCAGCACTTTCCTGTATATTTTCTCCGTGTCATTCTACAAGGCGTCTATGCCTACCACCGACATCATTGGGACATGGGAAGCACTGTCTGTCTTGGCAGACATCCTCGCCTACGACGTTCCTCACTATACCGCCGACCTCAACGGGACCCTGGTACTACCTGTCGACACTCTCGTCCAAGGCGTGGTTACCAGCACCATCGAGCGTATCGTCATTGAGCCTGTTGTCGTTGTCGTCGAGTCGGTCGAGTCCATCGACCAAGGCGTGATTACCGAAGCTGTCGAGCCCATCTTCATTGTCAAGTCAAGTGCCACGGTGATGATTCCGGAAGTTTCTTTGGCACCAGCTTCGACCGTCGACAGCCTGCCTAACCAGGCAACCGTCCGAGCCCGCCCTACACGCTCAGCCCCCATCGTCACCCAGGCTCTGTCAAACCTGAAAATCGTAATGGCGTTTGTTCAGTTGGCGATTATCGTGATGTTTGCTGCCGTTGTGGTAGTACTGAGGCGTCCGTTCATGTCCTCCAAGCTTCCTTCGATCCCCATTCTCGCTCCAAACTGTATCTGAAGCCGAGGCTGCGAATACCAAAATTCGACTTATACCATATGAATCTCCGGGATATAATCGGGCGTATCTTGGTCTATTCCCTGTCCTTATAGGCGACCAGTCAAATAGGTCAGTTTTTGGCTAGATCACTCGCCGTCAACGGTGTTCTTATGAAGGATAGATTAAATGAAATAGATGCACTTCAATGGATGCTTTCTCGACGGATACGACTCAATGGCTCTGTCAACCCGAATCATGGACTTCCCGACACGTCCAGCTCATGGCTATCGCTATTCATCTGCTGTGATATCCCGGCTGATAGATGTGGGCCTGCATTCAAATCCTCCACGATTAATCTTGATTTTGGTTTCATAGGACGCCTTGATTGATCGCTGCACGCAGTATCTCACCCCACGACAAAGGATGGCCCTCGACCACCTCAGTCATGAGCACCTGCAAGCATGAGTCACTCCATACCGCCGGGTTGGTCACTTCCTTCGCCGAACCAGACCAGGTGCCGTTGATAGTAGACGTGCAACGGACTGCCAGTTTCTTCTAGCGTTCAAGATACCTTTGGAGCCAACTTCAAGGATGAAAAACCGTGCCCGATACGGTGGTCGATCTTGCTCAACTCGTTTCTGACGGCAGCGTGGACAGATAAGGTTCAAAGGTCCCAGCATCGTTGAGTTTCAGTCAGTCTCAACTCTCCATCACCCTCATATCATTATCTCATACCATGGTCATTGTAAGGTGCTACCCGTCCTGGTCGATGCATCGCAGGGTCAAGAGCAATACCATCGTAGACGAGGATCCCACACGAATAGTTCTAGACGCAGCATTTATCGTCAACCTGACTTCGTCTTTGGTGATACAGCGTTCTCCGAGTATACATATGAGGAGCAGTTTGAGTTCTCCGGCGAACTCTCAGTAGTAGTGAACCCCTCAATCTACGTGGGGGAGTCAGAACATTCCGAAGTTCCTGTCCTTATAGTGGAATACGTGAAAACTATAGCCCGCAAGGACGAAAATCGTACCTGGTTCACTTGTCGATGGCGATGAAATCTGCGATGGGTTTACTTCGCACGTTGGCGTTGCCTCCTATCGTTCTGGGCCTTCTTGTGGATGGTTTTCGCATTACGGTTGTCTGTTGTTCGAGGTCAGAGGCTGAGGTCCGTTTATTCCCATCCATGGCTGTCATTAAACTCATCCCTTTCTTCTCTGCCAGGATCTGGTCACCGAACTCCCTGAAAAGTATGATTTCGACCTGGTCAAACCGCACTGTTTGGAAGCTTGCTCACGAGATTGAAAGACTGGATCGCGCAGCCCACGTTCAAGTAGAAAAGTCGATATCCTCAGGCACGTTTCCTTGGTGGAAGACGAGCTCAGACCGACATCTGGGTAGTAACCAGACGAACGATACCATTCGTGACTGGTGTGATGATGCTGCTTCCAAAGTTCCCCCTTCTTCACTCTGATGTTCCGTTACGACACATCATTAATACTTGACTCGCGCGTTCTCAATTTTTGTTGATTTGCTATATTACACAAGTTGTTCGCGAAATGTGGATTGATCAGGAAGATGAGAAAGTGTAGAAATGACGTCATACGCATCATGGAAAAGCTTGAGTACATATATAAGTCCCTGAAGGTAGAGGATTCGTATTCTGGCAAAACGGTTTCAATACTTCGCTGAGCTAGACTAATACAAACGGTGTATATAAGTGTCTTCAAGCTAAGCACCAAGCTTACCCTTAGCAAGGTATTTTCGGAGCTCTCAATTTGAAATTTGGCGCTTGAACCACCACCATCACCATGGGCTCGAGCACCACTTCAGGCAATCCTTTCCTTGACTCGGAATTGCTTGCCTGCTTAGTCGTGCTTGACCATGGCCTGTGTTTGGAAGTTCGTGGTTTCATAGTCTCAGCACGTCTCCAAGTATTCCGTTTTCTGAACCGATCTATCTGGTCAGCTATCGGCTTGACCATGTTCTGCGTTCCGTTGGTTTCCGTCATTCTGTTGCTTGCTTCCGGTTTGCTTATAGGTGACGGATGTGGTCATGATTCGGTGTTTTTGTGTTTGAGCATATCAAGGGCGCTCTTATCTACATGTCCTGTGCTGCCCCCTCTAGTTGCCGAGCTTGTCTACCACTTCAAATGCACATCACGAAGACTGTCTCCTACTAAAAAGTGCGATTTCAATGCTACGGAGTGATCTTTAGTGGTCACAGCATACGACCTTTAAATACATCAGAGCTGTGGGTCCGGGTCTGGTTGTTCCTTATTATAGCTTTGCGTCGGTGCTGGGTACTAATGCCGTTTACGAATATCATCTCGTCGACTTCCTTCACGCATTTACGTCTCTCTCACGGCTTTCTACACGCCGCTTCGAGCTAAAACTCGATTTTCTGACGGCGTTCGCAGACCATGACCTTGTGCCGGTACCAGTACCAATACCATGACAACGTCGCTCCGCACTAAATACATTAAGCTTACAATGCACGCCGAGAAGACCAGTCCTTTGTGAAACAAGTAATTTTCAAGTACGTTGCGGTTTTTTGACAAGATATCATTGGATTGATCTACTGAGCAGACCTTCTCATATCGAGCGCTATGTTCAACGGCACGATAACCAGCTTATATGAGTGTAAATCTTTCCCGTGATGGGAATGTACGTGACCCTTTACACTTTTCGGAAGAAAGATTTATGTTTATTTTCGTTCGTGGGGCACCACTCTCACCTAACCTTATCCATGGACTCCCTCCCTCCGAGCGTGCTGCCATTCTCAAACGACGATGAAGCTAGTTCTGCAGCTAGTAGCAATGCGGCTTCCAGATCCCCTGTGGAGAATACGACGTATTACTCGAGACCCAGGCGTCGGAAGTTCCGTCGTCGTCGGATGGGACTGAAGGCTCAGTCGCAGACAAGAGGTGGCTGCATCCTCTAGGAATCCTCCTTACGGCTAACAATTCCTTTAAAGCTCACGATCCCTCGGACTATGAGCAAAAATATTCAGAAGATGTCAGAGGAGAAGAGATGGGCCCTTTTGCGAGGATATGGAGAACCTATTTGGACGAATGCGCGATCTTCGATGCGGAGATGGTAGAAGACTGGAGAGACGGATTGGACGTACTCCTCATATTTGTGTGTCATTTTCTCTCCCTATCTTACACCTTTTGACATGATAATCTGTAGGCCGGGCTCTTCTCAGCCGTCGTCTCGACATTTGTTGTTCAAACGTCCCAGAATCTCCAGATTGATTATAGTGAAGTTTCAGCAGTACTTCTATTTGAAATTGTTGCTGTTCAACGCGCCATGGCCAATGGAACATCTGTTGATCTTGTTCCCCACTCCAACCTTACTCCCTATACACCTTTCCATCCCCAAACACTCGATTCGTGGGTCAACGGGCTGTGGTTCGCGAGTTTGTCACTTAGCCTCTCCACAGCCTTAGTCGCCGCGTTGGCAAAGCAATGGATCCACCAATACGTATCAGTGCCATCGGGAACGCCTCGTGACAGGGTGCGTGTTCGCCACGTTCGCTACAGGAACCTCCAAGTCTGGCGTATACCCATGATCATTGGCTTACTCCCCGTGCTCATGCATACCTCCTTGGGTTTTTTCCTCCTTGGCTTGGTTATTTTCCTCATCCCTCAGAGTAGTGAAATTGGGTGCACGATGGCCGTTATCGTACTCGTCGGTTTCTCCACATATGCTATCACCAATCTCCTGCCCCTTGCCTATCCTCACTGTCCGTTCAGAACACCACTCTCTGGATTCTTGTATTCCGCCTTCGGCAAGGTGTATTCGGCATACCATCGCATCATCCTTCGTACCTTCTCCATATACTTTTGTTGCACCGATCCTCCTCAGCCCAAACCTCGTGCGAAGTCATTGAAGGACGCTGAGCGTGAGGCGGTCTATGAGATGGATGACTCCCCCGATATCCGAGCAGTTGCTTGGCTCCATTCGATTTCTTCCAACCCCACTGTTCAGAGCATCGTCGTGCAGTCTACCAGCTGCCTTCCTCTGAAATCGACGGGCCTGATCAAACAAAAGGAGAGTATGGTTGAATCTATACGCCAAAGAATTGAAGAGTGTATCGACATACGCACCGGTGTTCGCTCAGGCATGGACGGGGATTTGGAGCGATGTTTACGCGCCTGCCTACATCTTCAACTTCCTGCACATTCAGGAGTGTTGAATCCCTTGTTCACAATTGTTATGCACGGTCTCGCTAGAGAGAACCCTCGTTCATCGCGTACCACCTTTCTCGCTGCATTGAGGTACCAACAGGGCGACGATGTCAATGTTATAGCGTACCTCCTCAAGTCAATATCATCAGAGCTGGATGAGCAGCCGGTGATATGGGCCAACATTCTTTGTAACATCCTTACGCAAGGCGGCCCATTCCAAGGAGACTCTGCCGTTCTTCTCTACAAAGCTCTCTTGAACGCATTTCCAGACACATACTGGTCGTTTAATTGGGTAGAGCCTGTTATTGGGTTCCGCGCTTCTGCAATGTATCCCAAACCTGGATGCCCAGATATAGAGATCTGCGACACGGAATGCGATGCCCAGGTCAACCTTGGTTCCGCTATTTCGTCCTGTCTGTATCCGCTTCTCGGCAAGTTGTTGCTTTGCCACTTTTCTCAGCGAACAGAAACAGAGGCCGGAGAAGAGGATCCTTCGCCATTTTGGCCTGACGTGCCCATACCCCTACAATTATTACTATCTATGCTTCATTCGCAACATATCGAAGATGCTGGTCTATTATACGACGTCTTGGGCCGTCTTAAACTCTATGTCACGACCCTGACGGAACAGGAAGCACAAGTCTGGAAGCCAGATAAGCGACGTATATGCCGTACGATTATCCAGTACCTTTATACCATAACACACCACGCGATTGATGCCAGTCCTCATATCGCTTGGTCTCAAACGAATCAGCAATTCCTGTGGGATATTTTTGTGGACGCCCTCAGCACTTCGCCCAGCCTAGGCGATCCAGATTTCGTCGAACAAACCTCCGGATGGTGGACGTCTGAGGATAACAAGCTTATAGATTTTGTGTTCACTGGGAATCTTTCCGAACCAATGCCCATCTACCGTCTGCTTGCAAAAACATTCCAGCTGCCTATTCTTCCCTCTCCCATCTTCATAAAGGTCGTTAAGGAGCACGTATTTGATTATATGTGTGGCAAAGTTGTCATACACCCCCATCATATATCCCAATTCATACCGTTCTTTCAAGGATATCTCGATCACTTGACCACCTCGACGTCTCTGGGCTCGTATTCCTCCGATGACATTCTCCAGGGAGCCACAGACGACCTATTCAGACCAAGGAATCTCATTATCACGTTCAAAGTCCTGGCGATGTCTAACGATATCCCACGCATGAGACGTATAGGGCGCCTACGACCTCATGCTCTGGCATGGAAGGTTTTATTCACCGCGTTTGACGACCGTGTGTCAGATATCGCATTCTGGGAGCCGTTTCTACAACCCGATGACGATCTGGCGACGTACAATGCCATACTGTTAGAGTTTAGGAAGAACTGGGAATCTGAACGGCAGGTTTCGGATCGAACAACCTCAACCCGCTGTAATTTTGCACTGGGTGAACACGCTGCCAGCTTTGCAGGAGGCTCGTTTCTAGGCGACGATGTAGCATGAGATAGTGTCCGAAATTCCAGGGAGTGTAGAGTGCCTAGTATTCACTGTTCGGTGAATCACATTCTACGATCCATTTACGTCCCAAGCGGGTAGCAGTCAAGTAATCGATGCATTTTGGATTATATTTACACGTTGGCCGATATAACAGACCACGATATCAGGGAGTGGACGCTTGTAGGTTGGTCGTGAACTGTCGTGAACAACTTGACAAAGCCTTAGAGGGACCGGTCTAGAGCGGCCCGACCTCAATGATGACAAATCTCGGCGAGAATTATTCCTCTTCATTCTTCCTTTGCACCGCCATATCGCGTCTCGTTTGGATTGGTTTGCTGCCGTGACGCGTAAACTGCATACCATTTGCATATAACTATTACTTGGAGCATGTACTCTGCTTTTCCCTTGCTATTGAAGCGCCAACCAAGGTAGGAACCAAGTAGGACAGTTGGAGCGACGAAAATGCACGTTTACCGGAATGAGAGAACTTTTTAGTGAGTATCGACGGTGCTTCTATCATTTTGTATTGAATATCACGTAAATAAGGATACTTCCATGCTCTAAAAGCTGTCTTTGTTCGCTTCCACAAAACTCTTCAACGTTCTCTTTCCGGTAACTTTCTTCTCCGCAGCGAATATCTTTTCCTCAACACCGTTGGCGTTCAGATCATCCATAGACGAGAACATTGCAGCGTAATCTTCAGGGAGACCGAAAGCAAGATATCTCTTCTTCAACTCCTCGACGGTGATGCGTGTGTGAGTAATCTTCCGGCCAAGCACCCCTGTGAAGATAGCAGCAACCTGGTTCGACAGTCAGCTGTGGTGAATTGGATAAAAATTGGACGGGGCGTACATCATCATAAGAAAGCAGTTCGGGGCCCGTAAGGATATGGTCCGTGTTATGGCTCTTCTCATCCGTCAACGTACTAACAGCCAAATCCGCAATATCATCTGCAGATATGAACCCAATCTTCCCATCTGCCGACGCGCTCACAATTGTGTCTTGTTCCTTGATGCTTTGAAGATGCAGTGTCAAGAAATTCTCGGCAAAGCCCAACAGTCAATCATCGAGTTTTTGCTACAGTTTCGTAACATACCGAAGAACCACGAAGGACGAATGACCGCGTAATCGACTTTGAGTGATAGCAGATACTCGTGAACTTTCCCCATCGCCGGGTATCCGGGCTCCAATGTAGATGCACTGAGGAGGACGAAACGCTTGACGCCCTTCTGCACCGCCAGATCGATGAAAGGCTTCATTGGAGGGAACACGTCCAATGATGCATCACAAGCTCCAAGTTTTCCTGCACCCACCGCTGATGCATGTAAGTTGGATCATCGCTCGCAATCGTAATCCTAACGCCCTCGTCCCACAGTCGTTTGATATTTCCAAATACGTACTCTGTTGGGAGCCATCGGTGGTAGGCGTGGGGGCACAGCGTGAATCCTAGGCCGTGTTGCTTGATCATCTGGATCAGCTCTGGTCGTTCAATGGCGTTCAAGCCATGGTCCATGCGATCGGCGCCTTCAAAGCCGCCAACACAGTTGGTAGCGACCTCGCGAATGTGTTCGTGCGTGTCCTTCTGTCCAACATCGCAATGCGCTGTGATCCAATACCCGTCCTTCCGGGCTTGGGCGAAGACGTCTTGGAAAAGACTTGGCGGTCGGTCATACTCGTTGCTATCCAGCCCTACAGCATGAAAGACATGCTTAAATCCTCCATCGAGCGCCTGCTTATACGTCTCCATCGCAGATGATGGGTCCACGTCCCGTAAAAAACACATTGTCCAGTCCGCCTTTACGCCGTATATCTTCTTTGTATCCCCCTCTGCTCGTTCAAGTCCATGCATTACAGCTGCGAGGGTGACTCCCCATCGAGTATGTGCCTGAGGGTCGAAGAACGGATCTGTGTATCGAACATTCATCTCCGCTGCCTTGGCAAAGTACTCCATCGCGAGGTCGTAGAAGTCTTCTTCGGTTCGCAGTACCTCCATACCGACGTAATAGGCTTCGAGAAAGGTCGGGAGGCCATTATCGCCTTGCATTTCTCTTCTGTGGTTGTACATGGTCGCGTACGATGCGACAAGAGACTCGGACGTTGGATATGTCGGCAGAGGGATTTGGTTCTTCTGCGCGAGGCGCCATCGCAGAGACGGCGACAGCGTGCCCTCGATATGGGCATGCAGCTCGACTTTGGGTAATTTGGAGATAAATGTTGAATGGAGGCATCGATGTCAGCCATATCGCAGTGGGCCGTCGCAGTGGTATCTAGGTAAGAGAGTTGTGAAGTGCATGTGGTGCAAACGGCAAATCACGGCAATCAAACTACGGACCGGATCGTCCGATCCGCGGTATGTCCCGCCTCTTCACCTTTTTTTGTTTTGAAGCTTACATATCTTTCAGTTCATCGACTTTCAGACACGGCTCATAGACTATGATCATCTATCAAAGACTATCATAGTCTACCGGCTCAAATTTGACTGCTTCGAATGGCCCTATCAGATTCTACAACCGCCGCGTGACACACTTCCCAATTCGGTAATCATTCAACGGAGGAGCACTTGCGATAACGACAACGACTGCATACAGTACTTAACACCGCTACTTCCCAACTCTGGAGTGCCCGCTCAGTTGGTCTTTGCCTCCTCTCCGTTCTTCATGGCTGATGCCACATCAGTCAAGTCGTTCATCTCCATCTGTCGTCGCTCGCTCAAGTGCACAGAAGTTGTTCTTCGCCCTTTTCCCCGCCGTGATAGCTGTCACTGCGGGTGTCTTCATCGCTCAGTACTTCTCTGACAAACCTTCCCTCGCCGTCGACATCCTCCGCAGTCTCTCAGTTGGCTTGGTTGAGCACTGTGGAGTGATGGCCTTCGATGCTATCATTTCTGGGATGTCCAATTAGTTCGGTTTCATCTACAATGAAAATAGCAAAACCCAATTTGAAGGTCGTTGTCCTACGGTATACCTCCACTGGCAGCACTTTTTACATGCCTCTGATCAGGCGTGAAAAATGTATATATAGCGAAGCCAAAGGGTAAATCCATAAGCCTGAGTCGCTACCAGAGCTCTGGATGCTTTCACAGGATGATCTTGGTTTAAGTTGACACCTTTGATTCATGAGCGAAGGGACTTCCCTTCAATATGATATGGACAGGCCTAGCCAGTAGTGAAGGTCATCACAGAAGGTAGGACAAAAGTTGCTGCAGACGCGAGATTGATCAAGGACAAGGTGCGAAATCAGTAGATCGATGGGGGATTGAAGTAGCTCGCTATCGGTGTATGGAACCGGCCAAGCTGCGAGTTCAACACATCAACAACTGTCCAACTTAGCTGCTGATGGTATCGATTGAACTGTGAAAACAAAGAAAGAATAGAGTGGTGTCAATTGGCGCTTTTACCTTTTCACTATCGAATTATACAAACGATAGATGAACTGATATTGTCATTTCTACATGCATCACAGAACCTTGGTGATATCGACGAGCCAGAGCATCGAGCGGCACTGATTTTCTAAGGTAAAGTTGATGATTAGTCCTTGCTATGCAGAAAAATTAAAATATATACCAAATCAGTGCTCATTGTCTGAAAATCTCTTCCATGATGCATCATCAATGGCAAGGAATGATGCCTTGGTCGTTATAGAGGACAGGCCACTAACTCGCAGGCTGAACGTGAACCGTGAACGACCTTCCGAGAAGAGTATGCTTACGAAAACTTCCTTGACATTAGTCCGATACTTCCTTCCCATCTTACGCGTCTAGAGGAAGAAAGCGGCTCCCCTGCGCGTCGAGCATGTTGCGTGAGCTTTCGTCTCACTAATTGCATGTTTTATGCTTATAAATTTATTTTCAGGCGTGTTTTCCCCAATCCTTCTGATAAATTGGCCGCCAATGAGAGCGCGGGGATGACGGGGATATCAGTACACAAATTACTGCGTCACTGTGCTGTGTTAGTATTAGGGGTTGATCAGCAGTGCGTCAGGGCCGGTGGTCTCTAGTGTTGAGAACCTTCCCTGAGAGGGAAAACGGACAGCTAGCCTGTATACCCATGTGAAGGCGCTTGTCAACTAATCAGAGATTATCGACGTTTTTTTTCGGTCAAGCTGCCTTGATCTCCGCCACTAACTTGCCATTCATGACTATTCTCTGGGTTCATAATTCTGGATTAATGTCAGCCAGACCCATTGACTAACACTTGTCTTCAAAGCGAATCCTTTGTAATATCGCACTGGAGATGTTCCCAATGCAAAAACAATAGACAGGAATCAGGTCTTCACTTAATACACGTGGTATGCTTCAGCCCCTCGTATGGGACTTAGGTCCTTCTACTGTTTTGCCTGGATGCATAATCCGTGGAATAACGCCTCTGTTTGTTTGATATCCGAGTCTTGCTTTCTCGGAACCGCATATTGTTGTCGGTGTATTCCGCCCCAACGTCATACCTTCTGCCTTTTCTTATTCCTCTTTTTCATTCTTTCCCCATGTCGTATAGGGATATCATCAAGTGACTCTCCGCGGAAGTTAATGATCTTATTGCCGAAACAGTTTGTACGGTAGTGAGCATCGACATGGCCTCTCACAAGTCCTCATGGAGGCCGCTAATTCTACGCCACCCGCGTCCGGAATTTCGCGAGCTAGGCTTTCATATTCGCTAGATGGAAAATCTGTACGCGATTCGCGCTGAAAGCCGACTCGATGGAAGTCAGAAGCCAATATTATTTCATTTTCGCGTCGGCACTGCCTAGGGCTCATCTCTCATATTAACGCCCCATGGAATATGTGTCCACCTGGCGAGTACCTGGCGGTCTAGGGACAGACGCCACCAAATTTCTACTGGGCTCGGAGATGTCCCGTTGACATCGCCACTTGGGAAGGCAGGTTTTTTCGGACGTCGGGAGTTTGCGAGCACAGGGGGACCGGTTGGCAGCTCGAGGGTATGACGCTGCAGTAGCGCGGGTTAATTTACTAGTGCATCCGGTGATTGCCGTTGTTGATGTGATCAATGCATACGGAGAAGTTAGCATCCGTTAGCACGCCACCTCGGTCATGGAGTTAAGTGTGTTATATTTACGCTAAGCAATTCAGTACCTTGGCGGGGATTTCAGATGTGTCGTAGTTATTTCTGGCGAAGAAGCCGGCTACCTAGTCGAGTCATCGTTGCGTGTAGGTTCGCTCTGATACGGACTGGTAAAGGTATCATCAAGGTATCGTGGTGATTATATACAGGACAGATTATTATATGAGGCATAGGTAAAGGAGAGACATATGCTAGCGGCGGCAGATAAAAGATGTGTATGGTATGTACATTTTCTACTTGAACGTTGTGGATTCCTAGCTAAGGCTGTCAGATTATACAAATTAGTGAAGAACCTATATCAAGGTGCTCCAGAAGAGCTTTACGAACGGAGAAATATCTCCACCAATGGAACTCAAAGTCTCAGATCGCTGTCCGAAGGGGAATACTGCTCCCCATATCCAGAAGTCAGAATGTGTCCCTGCAGCGAATAATGCGCATCCGTGTCATTCAAGACCACCTTATGATGATCCACATCCCAGGCCGACGCATGAGGTTGAGACACACATGCAGTTGGCCAATGGGAAAAGTTCCGATCATGACACGCGCTGAGAGGTGGCGGTATCACGCTGTTACACACAGGTATCTCCGCAAAATGGGGTGGTAGGGCAGGTCCAGCAGACGAATGAGAGTAGAGGATAGGCGAGGGTGCTGCATATGTATGCGAGAATTCGTATACGAGGGACAAGAGCACGACTTCATCCGACGCTCTGGGCTCGATGATGTTTTGGGTCACGGTACATTGCGCTAAATCTAAGTGTGCTGTTAGAGAAGGACGTTACATAAAAGAAGGACACAACAACGTACCGTATCTTTCACAAAGATGTGCCCAAAACTCGGGTAGGAACCTGGCTCGGTAGGCATAACAGGTGGCAGGGTTCGTTTGCTCCACGTGTGGGAGTAAAGGGGATACTTCCGAGTGCACCAGTGCATTGTTGGAGTAGACAATGAAAGAGGAAAAGGTAGAAACCGACGTAGGCCTCGAAGATGTGAAAGTCACGGTCGGGGCAAGGGTCCACAAAGGACGGTCCGCTGAGAGAATGATTCGGCGATGATAAAAAGGCTTAGACGGCATTGGTTCAAAAGAATGTCGTAAAGGAGAGTGACCACGCCGGGTGGATTCTTGGTGACAGATCTCGATGCGAACGACGACGTTGCGAGGTATGGCGGGGAGCTCTTGATATCCAATTGAGGAGGAGGAGGAGACGCTGCTGAGCGGGCTCAAACGAGATGATTCAGAAGAAACCTCTGACGGTGACGACGTAGTACACTCTGACAACGGCGAGGCCAGAGCGCAGTCGTTCGTTTCTTCTACTGGAGAATCGGCAGAAGTGTCCGTCGAGGATGACTCTGGTTCAGGAGAATACTCTCTCCGTGTGAGCAACTCAAGGACTAAGCGTTGTTGTCGTAAATGGAAATAAATATTCAGAGTGCGTAGACTACTCACCTCTTTCGTCTTCGCATGTGTCCCGAAGCTGCTGCAGACGACTCCCCACTTGCTTCGCCGTCCTCCTTTTGCCCGTCTTCTTGAAGATTTCGTTGGATATAAAGATATTCCGTTTGGGAAATCTCCGAAGCTCTTTGGGATTCTTGATGTTCGCGGAATGTGGACGATATTTTTCCAAAGCTAGAGATTTCAATGTGTTAGCCAGAGAGAAAAAAACTATATTACAGTAGATACCTTCAAGCAAGGCAGCTTCAATGTACGGCGGCCAGACAGCTTCATTCTGTTGATCTTTCATCGTCTTCCATGATTTCCTACCCGTGATTATGGTATCTGGACGAACTTTAGAAGAGCGAGGAGGACGTCGACTGGGGATGAGACGAAGATTTCCTTCCATCGTTGGGTATAGGCTATTAGAGACAGGAGAGAACTGGAGTTCATTGCCCATGGGCGGGTGAAAGGAATGAGCCTCGGGCGCCGAGCCATATAAACCACCCAGCCAAGGTGGCAGAGTTCCCACAATAGCTCCGGTGAGATCCAGATTGTCTGCCAAGTGCCCATCTTTAGCAGATGGATCGAATGCAGACGGCCAGTTTATGCTCAACAAAGCTGTTATGCCGTCACCTCGATACCATGGCGCCCTATCCAATGCAGTGGATAGGGCGCTATGGTATCGAGGTGACGGCATAATGGCTTTGTTGAGCATAAACTTGTCGTCTGCATTCGATCCACCTGCTGAAGAAGTTCCTGGAACCTGATACTACGCGCACAACTGCTCCAGTTTAACCGGATGCAGAAAAAAGACATTACGTTATTTTTGTTGGAGACCGCCATTGAAGTTCACGTACTTACTCATACTCACCAGATGGTACGGAAACAATGTCAATTGGACCCTTAGTACCAATTTTTTTCGCTTCCTGACGAAAGACAGGACGGGCAAGACAAGGGGAGTTCTAAAGAGACCTTCGAAAAAAAAACGACGCTAGAAAGAGATCAATAGATTGAAAATATAGATCCAACACTTTCCATCGGAAAGATGATGAAACACAGATTTGTTGAGGGCCGGCAGACCTGATCGTTCAAGTTCCGAGTCAGTTGTTGAACTTGGTTCGAACTTCAAATATCAAATTCAACTTGGCCTATAATTGGCTTTGTTTGCTTCTAAGAGTCTTACGGCTCCGAAAATCTAAACAGTGACTTTGTTTTTGCTTCCATCATCGTGCTCAATGGATCCCCATGCATCAGACGATTCGTCAACGGAAGACGATGCAGCGTCGCAGACGACAGAAGATGACCCCCAGGTCCCGGAACTCAATGGGCAAACAGTTCCACCACCGCCTACGCGAACTGCTCCCGTAGCATCTTCAACAGCGAGAGAAAGACCTCACTACGAGCTACGACATACGATGAGAGGTCATACAGAGTCAATTTCGGCTGTAAAATTTAGTCCAGATGGGACGCTCTTGGCTTCATGCGGTAAGTTCAAGGCGTTTCTTTTGTTACCGGTGTCGGTTGAGAGCTTTCTTTGTCAGGAGCAGAAAATATGGTCAAGATCTGGTCCCCCTTTACCGGAGAACTTATCCGGAATCTAAATGGACATACCGCTGGACTCTCTGATATCTCCTGGTCCACAGATAGCGTCTATTTGGCCTCGGCGTCCGACGATAAAACTATTCGGATATGGGAGGTCGATACCGTATGTACTGATAATGTTAGAATGTTTTCAATATATCCTGATGGCTTTGGAACCAAGGGTATGACTGCAAAAGTCCTAAAAGGCCACACCAAAGAAGTGTTCTGCCTTAATTACAACGCTACGTCCAATCTTCTCGTATCTGGATGCTGTGATGGAGATGTAAAGATCTGGAATACGGCCAGAGGTGTTATGCGTTGCTATACTCCCCCTCCTGACCTTAATTGAACTTCGGTACCGCAGGCAAATGTATGAAGACGCTCCATGCACACTTGGATTATGTGACCGCAGTGCATTTTAATCGGGATGCGTCTCTGATCGTTTCCTGTTCCTTGGATGGCCTAATGTACGTTCAGGAGTTCACTGTGATCAAGGCTAACTCGTTCCTTGATACCAGACGCATATGGAATACAAGCGATGGGCAGTGTCTAAAAACCCTTGCCGAGTCGCAGGATGCAATCTGGTCGGTCATGTCATACCGGATTTTCCCAGTATTCTGACACTACCGTTAGCCAACACGTGCAGTTTTCGCCCAATTCGAAGTATATACTTTCCACGGCGCATGATAGTGCAATACGACTCTGGGATTACCAGACTAATCGTTGTCTAAAAACTTATGTTGGCCATTCTAATTCGAAGTACTGTATATCAGCTTGCTTCAGTGTCACTGGTGGGAAATGGATTGTAGCAGGCAGCGAGGATCATAAAACTTACATCTGGGACCTGCAAACGCGGGAGATCGTTCAAATTCTCGAAGGGCATAGCGGTATGTTTCTCATTCACCTGACATAATTAGTACCAACACCGTACTGTTTTAGACGTTGTTGTGGCAGTTGCAGTGAGTATTGTGTTGTCTATACTGTTTCTTGCCCAGGGACTAACATACCCCTTCCAGACACACCCCTCGCAGAATATGATTGCAACAGGCTCCATTGATAGCGATCTTACTATCCGGATATGGTCTGATCGCACTGGTGAAGCCTGACGCCGACTTTGTACCCTTTTTAACGGTTTTCATGGCGACAGTGCGAGATTTACTTCCAGATCATCAATGACATGTACAACTTGGTGTAGAAGAGGGGGTTACGCCGGAAGGTTGATAATACTAATACAAGGTCCATTAAATGCAACAGGGAATCGTTGTGAGCAGAAAAAGAAAGCATTGTCGACAGTCGTAACGTATGGTGCGCGTGGCTGGCTCACTTGACAGGTTCGGCATTCAACAAATCTACCGCAGCGAAGAGTTAATTAACATCTGACAGATAAGTGATAACCTCACCTTTAGCCACCTCTTTATCCGCATCAGTTAATCCGGAGTCATGCGCTTCCAGGAAAGCGTCAACCTATACGCTGTTTCAGCCGGCAGCTATATGATGCGAGGCAAAAGCCGACCAACCTCGTCCATGACGTTGTCACCTTCGTCTAATGTATCATCACCAGAATCCTCGTCGTCATCGTCGTCCTTGGCGTCATCAATGGCAAACGCAGTACGTTCCATGAGAGCCGCGTTTGCTGCTTGCACCATAGGCATCGGCGAGAATACAGAATTTGCCGTAGCGCTACTTGCTGTATCCACACTGAGCGAGGAGGATGAAGTGGCAAGCGTCGAAGAGCTCTCGCTCGACTTGAGACTTGCTTTCGACGGGGAGTGCCGCATAGATGGCGTGAGAAGCGATTCCCGAGCCTTGGGTTCCTCGAGTTTCGTGTAACGTCCAATAGATGGCCGATGGATCACCTTCGGGGATGTCATGGTCAATAAACCGGCTTCCGCTATTCAACTCTGCCGCGACTTACTTGATGTTTTCCAATCGTTTTTCCAATCTCATCTGTGAACATGTTGAATATCTTCTTGTTACTATCCGTTGCAATCGTGGACCAGATATCGCCTAATAGGCCGCTGTTGGACGTCGGCAATTCCATGTCAGGCAAGGGGTCTAGTCTGAACGACGCTGACAAGTCAGTCTCGAAGAAAGACTCAAGCACTTCGTCGGCTAGTACCACCATTCGGAATCTAGGCCACAAAAATGAGAATTGTGCACAAAGTTAGGAGGTCATTTTGTTGCATACGTCGCCAAGTTCAGATAGGGCTGGTTAGATGCAATAGGCGGCGGCGACGATGGCTCGCCATCCTCTCCTGTTTCGTCTTCTGGTCGGGGTAATAGAGCATCTCCATATTCGAATGCATTAGTCATGAATCGACTGACGGCCCCGAGGTACGCATCCCCAATCTCATATCGAAATATAAACTAGGCAGCAGTAAATTTAGAGGGCGAAAGGACTATCGCAGGGTACTTGACATACCAGGAATGATTCCGAAAGAGTTAGCACTTCGTCCTTGGTGAGATAGCCGTCTTTATTCTTGTCGTGGAGATTGAAGAACCATTCGATATTCTCCATTAGATCATTGAACATGACGCCATCTAATCCAGAGACAAGATCCTGTTAACGCCGATTCAGACGTGATCTAAAGATAAAACCAAGGGGCAAAAGTACCTGGAACGACAGGGCGCCGCGGCACGACGTATCCCAAAAGAAGAAAAGGCGATCAATGAATTCGTGCTCTGCCATTTCACGATCAATACGTTGCTGAAACAATTAGTGAGAAAAAAGGCCAGGAGGAATGGTACTAGGGCAAACCTGGAAGCCGTTGCGGACAATCCGCTCGTCCCGTGCCCACGTCGCGATTTCGCTGAGGAAATACTGGAATGTCTTCAAGCCGATCCTGGTCTCGGGTTTCTCTTCTGTCCCGTCGGCAGGTGCCAAAAGACTTGGTGGAGGAAGTACAGCTGGAGGCGGTGGGTAGATGCACATTGACCTATACAGCGAATCATAAACGAGACCAGCCTGTTCTTTGTTGAATCTGCCAAGACTTTTGAGGTTCCGCACAGCAGAACGCTTAGAAAATGACTCTATGCTGTGGATGATCTCGCTCCTGAACCGCTTGCGCTCAGAAAGGATCATGTCATCGGTTATGACCGAGAATTCACGGAACGAGACCAGAAGGAGCTCTTGGAAACGTGTGATTGCTCGCGCACGAGGATCGGTCGAGTCCGGATGTGCAGAATCTCCCAAAGACGCGAAATAATCTCGCATAAGACTAAGATGCAAGGATCAGATCATAAGCAACAAGAGGAAGGACGGAATGTACTTGAGGAATTGGCCGTCATCTTGAATCTGAAGAAGCTTCTCCCCATTGATCTTGAGAATAGCTATTGACAGAATATGAGTCGACATTCAGTAAGTCAACCATCGTACTAACCCAGTCTAAAATAAGGAAGAAAATTAAGTCACTAAGTCGGGGATATTTATGGTTATCACTTACCCCACTTGGAATAGCACTTTCGGACCCATGCAGAAGAAGCAATCCACAACCCGAAAAGCGAAAATCATAGGCATGCTGTTAATATACCTATGGCGACATTAACATAAACCAAAGAACACAACAGCAGACATGCACCCACAGACTCAAGAACCAGGGCAACGACGCAACCGAAAGTTGAACATCTACCTCTTGGAAATGATCGTGAATCATCGGCAAACACCGTTGGACTAGGGACTCGAAGACACGTTGATCTAATAGTGTTCCGTGCATCGAGGGGCTGGACAGGACTTAGAATCAATAGTTTCAAAGGTGATCAAGACGGCGTACGCGTAGTAACCAGGAAGTAGGCGGTCACATAAAACTTCTAACAGCCAAAATGCTTGCTCTTCCGACATATATCTAAAGCAATTTGGGTGTATGAAACACTTTGAGAACTTGGTCACTCACATAAGAATGGCCGCAGCCAAGATATTCATTGCCTACCGGTTTCCAAATCAGGGTCTAGGTATGACTGCGAACTTTTGAGTTACGGACCTGACAATAACCAAGTTCGGGATTTTTGAACGAATAAGCTTGCAACACGCGTCGGAGAGCACCGATCCCTTCTTCAGACTGGTAGCCCGCGTACTCCGGCAAACTCCTGTGAAGATCCTTCTCGATATCTTCCGTGCTGGTACTTGTCCGTCCCTTATTCTCCTCTAATATCCGATCATAGCAGCCGGGGTTGGAAAAGCGCAGAAATATGGAGCCGGATAAAGTTTCCCACATCTCCCCACGAAGTCGGTTCGGTAGTCCAACCTGTACGAGCCGGGTACATTGAGGGTACCGTAAAAGGGTGAGGTTACGCCCGTGCGCTTGCAAGTAGAATCAGTCAAACACGTTGAACGTACACCGGCGTCTAACACATACTTCGCAAGTAATTTGTCCATAGTTTAATCTTGGAAGCTTCTCGGAGCCTAAGTATCTCTGTATAAGTAGAACTTTATGCAGAAGAAAGAGTGCGCACTTCTTTGGATCCCCAGGAAACTTGAAACGTAACCCTAGACCGCCATGGTAAGTTGTCTCCCTAGGCCCTGGGTGTTCCTTCTCCTGGCTAATAAGGCTCCCATCCTCCCTCTCCTGATCTGCAACTGACGACGTCGCGGGAACGAGCGCTTCCGAATAACATGTCTTCACGAACCCCTTGACAGCCTTCATCTGCCCGCGCTGCAGCTCGATCTTCAATGCGTCACGCAGCAACGAACAAAATTGGTCTGCTGTCGGTCGAAGAGACGTCAATTGAACGATCTTCAACCATTCAATAATTGTGCTGCCACCCACTAGAAACCGTAACTTACTATTTTGCCTCCGTGAAAGAGAGCGAGACTCAATGCATAGATACCCGCTCGAGCATTGAGCCGTTCGACGCGCCGTATTGTCGATAACGGGATGGTGAAGCGCACAGACTTGCGGTCGAGCGACGTAAAGGCCAAGTACGGAGCGATGAGGTACAATTTGCCCGCCTAAGAAACCATCGGTCAAGGGTCTCGATGCTGCAATACCGTCACTGTACTCACATACGAGTCTTCCTCTTCTTGTACCCCAAGGCTCAATACCGCATTGATATCCATCTTTTCCACCTCCTCTTCAGGTGCCTTCTCAGACGGTGATCCATTGGATACGGGTGTCGCAGGCAAGGAGAAGAATATCTGTGTCAGCTGTTCCTTTGTAGGCTCCTTGAAATTCCGCAGCGCGGTCGAAATCGTCGACATCGTTGCCCGTCGCTAGGAGCTGCAGAGGACGAGGACGAAGCTGACGACCACCCTCGATTCCAAGAGTGACGGAACTGAGCAAGACTGTCAAGGGTGAAGGTGGCTGTGCAATATGATTGCTTCATTCAAACATGTTTCCCTCTGCGTAAATTCTGTGATATTACTTATTTGTCTATAGTACCGATACCGTAACTTGAGGGGCTGAGCCCATCGCAGAAAGATATCAGTAAATTTATTCACCTGCGCACTGGTTCCCTGGATTTTGGCTGCACTGTTTAAGGCATCTTTTCTTCCTGTTGTAGACGATACCTGTTTCCTGTATTCATCCTTTTCCCATCTGCGGCTGCCTGCCCATCGTAAAGTTTACGTGGTCTTCCAGTACCCTTTTCTCTGTTAGAATGATCCCGGAACTGTCTGTGCCGTCGACGTGTCTGCGATCACGACGTCCCCTTATCAACATCCTGTAAAGTAAGACTTACACCTCTTTTCCCCCTTATCCTCGCATGCCCTCACCGCGAAGGTTTCGCGCTAATTGGACACTTAATATTCGCCAATCACTTCTTCCAGTGAGTCTTCCCTCTCTTTGATGCCACTTTCTGGTAAATTCATTTCCCTCGTTGCGAAATACATATGCAATCCTTGGATAATCTGTTGGCACGCCTTGTCAGTGTCCGAGTTAATGGCCCGGGGCATCCCATATGTTCTCGGCCGCAGTTGAGGATGTCACAAGCACGGTAATCGAACCCGGGTTACATATAATAAAGAGTTACACAGCAATACTCTAGAAATCGAACGGATCTCTAGAAAAGCAAAATCATAAGAAAAACTCTCAGACTTGAGTAAATTCAAAACCTTACCTAGGCGGAGGTCTCCGAATTTCATACCTCACATTATCATACACCTCTCCTTCCTCCCGAAGGATCACAATTTTCGCATACGCGTGCCGCTTCGCATCGTACTTGTAATGATCCAGTTCCTTCAAATTGGGGCATAACAAGAGCACTTGCATGATCGCTTCGTGCATCTTGTCCGGATCCCCATCTACGGCTCTCCATAGCGACATGCCTTCGAATACTTCTAGTCCGGGTAGAAGGGAAAACAGGTGTAGCCAATCGTCCTGAAGACATTTCAGCTGGAAGAATGAATCATAGCACGACTACTCACTAGTTTCATTTCATATTCGGGAAAAGACAGGTGAGTGATGTTCGGACATTTTCCCGCCAAAGCGAGCACTGCGTCGTAGGTGTTACCAATCGAGAAAGAGAATCTAATCTCACGAAGGCAATCCGTATTGATCCCGTCCAGACAAGCGAATATCGCTGGATCGACCGTCGTTTCAACAGACTCGATAGGCCGCGGAGACGCGTAAAGCGCTTTGAGCAGTAACTCGCTTCCAAGCACACGCCGAACACAGGGAAGGGACTCAGGGTCTAGCCCGCCAATCAGAGGTCCCAAAGGAAACCACGACAACTCTTCAATAGTTGGATTCTTTTCAAAAAAACGAACCCAATATCTGTCGAGGGAAAGCGTCCCTCCTGACTGGAGAAATATATTCACTTGCTTCAGCTGCGGAAAAACGCAGTCGGAAAGTATGGTTAGCTCCATCGGCACTTTTAAAACCTAGGTTGATTGTGACATCAGAAACCTGAAATTAGGTTGCGGCCAGAATACCGTACCTCAATCGCGGGACATGCTTTCATCATCGACCTCATAAAAGGCCCGATCTGAGGCCTAACCCACACACGGCCCATTAATGACAGATGCGTCAACTTGGCTAGATTCCAGAGCTGTGTAGAGTAACACGAAATCTCCCATCAGTAACGAAGTATCGTGACCGTCGTCCGGAGACTCACGGGATATATTGAATTATGACATCCAGGCCTAGCTTCAAACGCTCCAGCCAGCGCCACCTTGCTCAACAATGGTTTCCTAACCAGAGTACCCAGAATCTCTGCCTCTTGCGATGGGGTGGCCGTCGGTTCTGGAAACGGATTATACGTACAGGACCAAGTAAAGACCCGCAGACGATCCATATTCTGGAGGGCCGTGCACATGTTCTGGACCCGTATATCCTCGCTTCCGGTGTCGCCCATTTTGCATGGAGGAACCAACGTGGTGGGGGAATGGTCGGAGGCTGAGTGGTTGTGTCGTTCACAAATGTGCACCTCGCGTATGTTGCGTGCCAGATCAGCACGTTTCGCGAGGTGCGCCCACATGGAGGGAAGCTTGTGACGAATGCGAACTATACGATATTCGCTATGCCTGGGTATAACAAGTCGAGTGCATGTCCGAGAGACCAGAGAAAATGAGATGAGGTCGCGGTGAAGATCAATTTCAGACAAGATCTCATCCAGAATTTCTTGAGGTAGGTGTAAAAGTGGGGAAGTGTTGGCCCGGAGCATTGGAGGAAAAGAGAGGGGGGAAATACGTCTGCAGGTCGAGGTGGCCACTGGAAAAATGTGGTTCCAGAACAAGTGATATCATGCTGGGTGTCACTGGGTTAAATACAGCACTGCGCTACTACCGGGGACAACTGATTCCTTTTTAGGAGAGCTCCAGTGTTCATCTTATCTCGGAATGATCCGACCTTATGGACGCGCCGAGAACACTAATGTAAGGAAGAAGTTCTTAATGAATCGCTCCACAACGATAGCTCGACATGCCTAGAGGCGGGAACAGGAGACTGTACGCCGAAAACACGGTCCAGACTTCCACTAAGTATGACAGCTTTCATGTTTTCCTAACTGTCGAGCGACATTCCACTAGTACTTGTACATGCCGGTTGTACAAGTAAAGAGGGCCTATTTCCCCGCAGAGCGCGGTACGTGGCGCAGGGAGGATGAAACAGGCACTCGTGGATTTTTGAATTTTCCTCAAGCACGCGCTGGAGCCAAGCTTCAGCTGATCGAAGCGACGGAGGGTCTGTACCGATGTTTCGTATTCAGGGCTGATCTTCAACATTACAACCGTGCTGCAAAGGTATTTGTATACTGCAGGATTGTAGCGTTACAATTATGGACGATCATCATATGCATACATAATGGGATGAGGGCCAATGGACCGATGGTGGCAGTCCGTACGCGTATAGCTGAAGCTCTGATGTATGACTGAATCTGATATGATATTCAGCCGCTTCCACGCTTGCCGGCTTCTGGAAAAAGTGCGAAGAATGATGGAAAAGAATCTCACTTTTGTTGATGCCTGCATCACCAGCGGGCCCGTCCAATCAATAAAAGCATACGAGTATTGGTTGATTCCAAGGAGTACCATGGCGCCAGTCTCACTGACACGGATGACAGCTTAAGCTGTATGTAGCAGTGTACCTGACAACTTCTTGTATGAACAGACACTGGATGCTTATCGAGGCCGCACGGAAATGCTCTTAAACTCAGTCAATTGATGCATCACAAGATGATAAATTTTCCAAGAGCCTACATAATATAAACACAAAAAGTCCGAAGAGAAACAAACTATAGAAGCGTTAGATAGCATTAATGACCGACTGTCCTCGAATAGGATGCCGTCGATATGCACATCAATAATAAAAGATGTTAAAAAGATTCGAAGCGATGAGCACACGTATGGATGTCCTGAACGAAGGTCCAAAGATGAAGACGAGAGCGAAAACCGAAGAGACGCAGGAGACAACAGGGAAGTGGAAGAATGTAATAGTTTGTCGTGCACGCGAAAGGATGGGGTAGGGATGGAACAAAACTCGTTGACTACCTCGTCAGCAGTCAACGGTCTCTCCGAGGTTCTTCAGAGAACAATGATGGCCCGTCAACTGCCCCGTCTCCAGGTTCCTCATCGCCAGGGATGGAAGAAGCACAGCGAACCAGCCCTCTGGTCACCAGATGCACACACCGAAGCCTGTGGCCCTGGTCCCGATGTGCCACTTGTCGTCCCTAATAAGACAATGCTGCGACATAGTAGTTGTGATGTCGACGTTCTTTCAATGCGCTCGTCAGTGTTTCATGCTGGCCAGTTCATCAAGAGGATTTGTAACAAGACAGCTGAGCATAATGTTAGAATCATATAGATTGACCAACAGAATGAAGGCTCACACAGTGAGGTGCCCGACATGCAAAGGTGCCGCTTTCTTCCTGCTGGGGCATTGTCTGCGCAAGAGCAAGATAGCAGAGTTTCCTAGGATGTTTTAGCTAGTTGGGACCTAACAATGGAATAGATGACAGCGCACCGTTGCCAGGTCGTTGCACCCTTCCAGACCATACGGGAACGCGGTGCAAGGAGGGCCTACCAGTGCGAGCAGAAGTCTGAACAGGGGGAACACATAATATCCTCCTTCTCTAGGTGCCGACCGGAATGCGGGACGGCGAAGGTATACCCCTCTGAATATGCAGGCCGCCGATGCCCCAAACAAATCTTTGACCTTGAGATCATCCAAAGGTTGCTGAGAGGAAGAGAACCGCAAGACTGGGTTTGAGGACCGCGCAAATAAGAAGCGCGCCTTGGACGTATCCTATATAGCGTTGACTGTCCGCAGTTGCACGTCGCAATAAGCAATCAACTATGCTTACCAGTGCCCCACCCAACCTAGGTTGGTATTCAACACTGTCTAGCAGAAGGGCTCGATAGGTGCGCTTCGCGAGCTCCAGGGGAAACGACACCACAAATCAGCCCCTAGCCTATAATTGCTGGATACCGACGTGCCAAGTTATATGAGGACTCATCCTCATATTTGGAGATTAATTGGGATCGAATCACCTAAACCGTCCGGCGCTCTCAAGGAGTCCAGGCAAACTTGAGGTCGATTGCCTCGCAGGGGAACTGGTCGTAGATCCGTTACGGACAATAATGACGATGACGGCACTACTGTCTACAAGCTATGCATTAGCACGTTAATCATAGAAAGCGGTCGGAACCTCACCTTAATTTCCTCTGCGAGCTCATTAAAAGCAGCTTGGCGCACTTTCTCAAAATGGGCTGTGGCGCGAGATCGCCTACAGAGGGGATTGGCGTTGCAGATGTTATCGACCATACATTCTGAAAACACCGAAGTCAAATCATTGTACATGTATTCTGTGTGGTACTTACATCCGGGCTCACCACTAAGAGAATTGCGAAAGCAATAGAATTAAAAATGTCATGCTCTACGGCCATGCGACCATTATACGTGATGCAGAATTCTGCTCAGGGACCATGGCGCATAGACTGAGGATGCCTGGAGAAAAATTGACTCAGATATATCCTACAAGACGTGTGGTATTAATCAATACATTAAAGATTGAATGGCAGTGCTTACCTAGGCTTGGGGAGGCCTAATGCGGGCTCTCCCAACCTTACTGACAGGTAAATGATTTTACTGCATGCAAGGTTTCTGGACAGGAGGGACGCCGTATTTCTTAATGCCTGAAGGTATAGCAATGAGTCAGTGTGAACAACAATGCGATATATTGTACTCACCTGACAGTTTGAACCCAGTAGCAACCTTAGTTTGGCCAATTCCATTTCATTAAATCGCATGATGTCCCTGCAATGCATCTAACACCGCAGAAACGAAGATGGCGTAGACCGATGCCATTACAAGATAGGCAAATAAGTAGTGCAACAAAGGGCGGACGTGTCGTCGTAGGCAGCGGAAGGATTTTCAGTGAATTCTCCTCGGTGTTCAATCCTCAGGTACTAATGCTACATAGAGGCGTTGAATGATGCCCAGTAAGATTTCTTTTTGTAACACTGATGAAAGACTGAGTGTAAGCCAATCCCGTCGCCCGAGGACAAGAGCCGACGGTCAGACCAAGGCAGAGTCTCTCATAGTCATAAGCCCAGGAGAAGAAAAACTGGTCTACTTTATGTATGACATTATCAGTCTCTTCTGCAAGTACTTTGTTGAAATAGGTTTGCCATGACTGTTCGGAAAAAAAGAGGCCCAGCCCTTGGCAGTGGCTCCGGCAATTCCGGCAACTTCAAATTTTGATGCCCGATGCGGCCTCGTATCCAAACGCCGAGTCGCCGGCACATCATATCCGACGGCATCCACTTCTCTTCTACATCCCTCTCAACTCTCACCTCTCCCCTTCCAGAATCGTCCAAGATAGTCTAACTTTTATTACAGTTCCTATAACAAGTCAAAGCTGGGCTTTTCTGAGTTGACATTTGTTACCATTTCAGCTTGCCTGCCAAGGTGGCTCATGAATATCGAGTCTGCACTGCCATCAGCTCCTACAAGAGGGTGATTTGCCATTTGATACCCGTCTAATCACTTCCGATTTTCAGCATTACGCTCAGACGGTTCGTGGACAAGGCAGTCAAGCATACTATTATTCTTTTCTGGTGAAGAAATCGTATGGTTGCTAGACGCCGCATACCTGATAAGTTCTTTGGGTAAGTCAACCAGTCCTTTCTGATATCAACAACCATTATAATCATCAATTGAAAATCCGTGAAGGTGATGCCTATATTTGGTCATCACGCGAGTATTCTTCATACCTCATCCTCGGTATACAACCTTCGAGATGCGACCGGTGCACTACCTGTCCACGAGCACAGAAACTGCTATTATCTACTAGTACGATGCCAGAGATTATCAAAATATTGACTGCTGCATCGCGTGCGACGTTGACGTCTCAACAAGTATCGATTTGCACGTAAAGGCAAACTAGGATTCTTCAGGATTTCAGCACAAGGACGATATCTCTTGCTAGTCTTTAAACCATCTTTTCTGCCAGTCCATGGTCTCCTTCGGTCATAATCTCATTCGGGTGTGGATTAAGGATTCGGACGGGAGAAACGGGAGAAGGAGGCCATATAGCCAATATTGTGTACAATTGCCCTGTAAGCACAGGAATTAAATTGTATACAATCCCATGAAGCCTGAGTTGTATACTTACATGACTCCTGATATGTAATGGCCTAAATCCGCATTTTCTCAACTATTAGGCACATTTCTCATTGGGATGGGCTAGAATTTTCTGTGGGACCTTTCATAAAAATCTATAATTAGCCTGTGAAGTCAGCCCATCAATATCTGGCCGAAAACGGCTGGATGCGACCAAATGAAAATGGATGTAGTGGCAGTGCCGGATTTTTGATGGCATCATAGGGGCTATTTTCCGGTCAGAATAGGATTTAGGCTGGTTTCTGGGTGCTCGGCAGGTCAGGTCATGGTCCTGTAATATTCACAAACCTAAATAACATAAAAGCGAACCTACTGATGAGGTATAGGGGCTTTGGAGAGTATGTAATATAGGTATTTTCGCAAAAATGGCTGCAATATTTGCTTTTTTGGGGGTTTTTAGGGTGATACATGCATTGGATCGACCGGGGGACTTCACCAATGAATTTCCTGACCTTGAAAACCCCCAAATGATCCCTCTATAGCACTTGTGGCACATTTTATTACCAGGATTAGACGAGCATATTGGATTTTTAGGATGCAGCATGCTTTGGATTGCTTTGAAAACTATACCAGTCAATTTGTACACTATGAAAACCTTAGAATACATTGTCTTCTTTAATATTTGACCTGTATAATACTGTAAAAAAGTGGGGATTGGGGTGCACATATGGTTTATTTTGTTTTCTGTGCTTCGGATGAGTCTGGGACTATCACCAATAGATTCCTTGACATTTAAAACCCTAAAACGACTATAGGAACCTTTTATTGGGCTCCATAAACGATGGTAATAACAATATTACAGTTTAGGAGGAGCACATATGGAAAATCACTTTTCTGTACCTCGGAATACTTCGGAACTTCTACCAGTGTATTTCTTGACCTTGAAAACCCTCGGATAACACCAGGATTTAAAGAAAACCTACAAAAATACATGTTAAAAAAGAGTAATAGGGGATGGAGGAGATATACCTTGTATTACGCATTTCTAGTGGTTGGTGAAGGTATTCCTGTTATATGAGAGACGATATGTATTGTATAATCATTTGTACAAATTCCCACATTTATCTGAAATGCATTGGAAGAGATATAAGTAAATAATTCTGCAAATGATGAGGAGCACATCCCCAATTTCGATATTCTGATCATTCTATAGCTTGGGGAATGTCAGAATCGGATTCCTTGACCCAAAAAATGGTAGGATCACCAATCATCCATGGTCATTTTATCAAGAAAACATCTGGTGGTAAGAACAAATCAGACTGCAGCAATTGTCAAGGAAAGTCCATATTGTACTTCGGAGTGTTGACACTTCACATCCCATGGATGATTGGTGATCCTACCATTTTTTGGGTCAAGGAATCCGATTCTGACATTCCCCAAGCTATAGAATGATCAGAATATCGAAATTGGGGATGTGCTCCTCATCATTTGCAGAATTATTTACTTATATCTCTTCCAATGCATTTCAGATAAATGTGGGAATTTGTACAAATGATTATACAATACATATCGTCTCTCATATAACAGGAATACCTTCACCAACCACTAGAAATGCGTAATACAAGGTATATCTCCTCCATCCCCTATTACTCTTTTTTAACATGTATTTTTGTAGGTTTTCTTTAAATCCTGGTGTTATCCGAGGGTTTTCAAGGTCAAGAAATACACTGGTAGAAGTTCCGAAGTATTCCGAGGTACAGAAAAGTGATTTTCCATATGTGCTCCTCCTAAACTGTAATATTGTTATTACCATCGTTTATGGAGCCCAATAAAAGGTTCCTATAGTCGTTTTAGGGTTTTAAATGTCAAGGAATCTATTGGTGATAGTCCCAGACTCATCCGAAGCACAGAAAACAAAATAAACCATATGTGCACCCCAATCCCCACTTTTTTACAGTATTATACAGGTCAAATATTAAAGAAGACAATGTATTCTAAGGTTTTCATAGTGTACAAATTGACTGGTATAGTTTTCAAAGCAATCCAAAGCATGCTGCATCCTAAAAATCCAATATGCTCGTCTAATCCTGGTAATAAAATGTGCCACAAGTGCTATAGAGGGATCATTTGGGGGTTTTCAAGGTCAGGAAATTCATTGGTGAAGTCCCCCGGTCGATCCAATGCATGTATCACCCTAAAAACCCCCAAAAAAGCAAATATTGCAGCCATTTTTGCGAAAATACCTATATTACATACTCTCCAAAGCCCCTATACCTCATCAGTAGGTTCGCTTTTATGTTATTTAGGTTTGTGAATATTACAGGACCATGACCTGACCTGCCGAGCACCCAGAAACCAGCCTAAATCCTATTCTGACCGGAAAATAGCCCCTATGATGCCATCAAAAATCCGGCACTGCCACTACATCCATTTTCATTTGGTCGCATCCAGCCGTTTTCGGCCAGATATTGATGGGCTGACTTCACAGGCTAATTATAGATTTTTATGAAAGGTCCCACAGAAAATTCTAGCCCATCCCAATGAGAAATGTGCCTAATAGTTGAGAAAATGCGGATTTTGATTGGATTCAGGCTTTCATACATGTGTATACTTATCAGGCCTACAGGCCTCACAGAATTGTGTACAATCTAATTCCTGAGCCTACAGGAAATTGTATACACAACTGGCCTTATGAGGTGGAAGAAGCCCCAAATTTCATCTGGACGCCTACCTTGATTCCTCACCACCTCAACTAATTAACCATATCACCCAAGGTTCACAACGTTTGAATACTTGCCACTGATATGACTGGATTTGACACTCTCGATCCTGAAACCAGGATATTGGCTGTGGACACTGATGCAGTTTGCTATGACCTCAGACGAACCGTGACTATGTATTGGCAAGGCTTACCTGTGTGTATGGATTTACTCAGAGTGCTAGTCTATTCAAGACCAGAGTAAGTGATTTGACTGCACCTGCTACATAGTCAGAGCCTCATAATGTCAGGGTCTGCTAAATGAAATACACGATGCCTGCACCACTGTCGCGTTTCCAGGTATATGCATGTCAATCAGACCTTTGCATTCATGCACGCACGCCTTGTTTCATCTGCTCCTGAGAACAAGAATATCCAGTCAGCAGTGAGCACTGTCCTTGGTGGTGAGTTTACGCTGTGCCTACTATGTGGATCAGGTCTCCTGATATCAGGTGTACTAGATGAACCAGCAGCGCCTGTGCGACTGTCACCCAAGTGTCTGATGTACATGCATATCTATGTGCCTGTGACATTACAAAAATTGTCAGACAAAAGCAGTTTGCATCATGCCTCGTGTAAGGATATTCAACCAATGGTGAGTATTCTAATGCACATATTCTGTGCAGTGGTCAACAACCAGTGTCACCTGATGCTCTGGCTTGTCGATATCGCCAAAGTTCTGCAACAACAAAGACATTCATTTGTGTGCTGTTTCTCTGATTCGAGGGTGAAAAGGTTTATTCAGTTGACACCACAGCATCATGTAACGGCCTCTGGTCAATATCAACATCAAAGTCCTGTGCTTGCAGATTCACCTGTTCCGCACACTGATGGCAGTTGTATCAATGAGGTGGAAGGTGTCATTGTCCGAACAGTGACTTCATTTCATCTTCTATCCATTCTAATCCAAGAGATAGGAAATACAGTGGTAATCATCATAACTGGTAGGTCAACTGCTATCCAACTCTTCCTCCTTGACAGTGCTTTGCGTGTCACTGAACAGACAACCATTGTAGGTCTGTACCAACTACATCCTGATTGCTTTATGGTCCGAGTGTCAGGGAAACACTTGTACCTACCCCTCTCAGCACTAGATACATGGTGCACGTTTCATGCTTCTTCCTTGTTGATTGGAACCCAAGAGATGGCCAGCATAGTACATGAGCATTTACGGCCTTGTATTCATGGCTTAATATAGGTCTTATTTGACGACATCTCTTTCGTATTCTGGCAGTGCATCTTTTCTCTCCTACACTACCCTCAGAGTCTCACTGCCACTCAGTCTTCCAATTCACCACCTCAAAAATCTGCTTCCCTAT